ACAACATCAATTTCTTTCGTTTTCATGACTACTACAAAAAAAAAAAATCAAATATAAAGAATACTCTGAAGTTTAAAGGTTAACTTTCAAAATCCGGACTGGGCAGTGAGAAAGAAGAGCGACAAAAGAAAGAAAAATAAAGAAGTTACCCCTAGGGCCTATTCCCTTGCAATACTATATTTAAACGTAAAGTGCTTTCGAATTTCGATTCCTGTAGAAACATAACGCCTATTAGATTCATACAACAGATGCAACCTAGCTTGAAATCAATCCAAATAATTCCACTATTCATAAATCATTTTATGTGTGACTGCGCACAGTGGTCTCTATCCACCTCTAGAGGGTAACAAATATGTAATTTTTTGAATGGGGGGGGGGGGGGGAGCCCTCTATAGGGGTACCCAATAGGTACTGCGGTGGTCCTATGCAGGAACACCACGTTTTCTATTCTTTCATTATTCGGTTGCGTAGAACACAATTATCATGCATACATGCTCATGAACAAGGAGTTTGGTTCGTGAACGGTATAATAGTTTATTGTGTTGCACCTTTTTCCTACCATTGCAATCGAAATGTTTCACACGTAACCAAAGATATTATGAGTAAACCGTTAGGGGCGCCTGTGTAACTGACGTCAATTTAAAAATAATAATGATAACAGTTGTTTATTACGTATTTAATAGGCCTATATCTAAAGAGAAGGTTCTGGAAATAAGGAAAGTGTGTACGTTTCCCATTCTGTTGATTCCCGTACGGAAAATATACCATAATATCAACTTCCCATGCATGAATATAATTACTCTCGATGTGTTCTTACATTTCAAATTTGGACTAGAAAGAGTTTAGGGCTTTTAGGCCTACATCTTTTGACGAGAATTCTGATGTCATATATTCGTGTCGTCCAATATACAGACAATGTGCGTGTTTCATACCTATGGCATGTGCGTTTCTTTCTTTGTGATTTTCAGCCGAAGATTTGCCATAATTCCGTTATTTCCCAGGTAATTCCGTTGACTCCAAAACCTCATGTGTACCTAATATCATTCCTATTTACTTCCTATCATTCAAAATAACTACAATTTCTTTCACAATGTAATTTCAACACTATCTCTAACGTGATTGATCACCACGAGGTCGTTTGAAGTCATTTTAAATTTTGCCAGTTTGGTGGTTAAGTACTTTCAAGATTCATTTACCGCCAGGAGATTTGGTCTAGCTCGATAAAATGTCACGCAAGAAATAAGATATGACTGCTCATGGAAGAAAGCCAAGAAAATCCCACGTTGTGTCTATATAAGGATTGTAAAAACAAACTAAATTAAGAGAAGCTATTCTTATTGCCTCTAAATGATTTTTTTTGTTTAATCGAACAATAGCTTTTCGTCTTCGTCAGTATAAAATGCAAGATTGATAGCCAATAGAGCGATGTCTTTGTTTAGAGCCGCTTCTTGATTTTAAACAGCTAGTAATCTCTTTTTGTATTTGCCAATACCAAAATGTACTTCCTCTTCAAACACACAGAAGCATGAAACACGGGGGAACAAATAACGAGTAGTTACATCTTAGGCTAATCGGATACAAATGATCGGATAAATATCTAAGTAAGCCCGATAGAAATAGCACCTTTAAATAAAAACCGAAATAAGATCATTGGGGGATAAACGGTTTTAACGAAGCAAAGAAAAATATATTTGGTCAGATAGAGAGTAGAGAGAGAGAGAGAGAGAGAGAGAGAGAGAGAGAGGGGGAGTGAAAGAGAGAGAGAGAGAGAGAGAGAAAGAGAGAGAGAGAGAGAGAGAGAGGGGGAGTGAAAGAGAGAGAGAGAGAGAGAGAAAGAGAGAGAGAGAGAGAGAGAGAGAGAGAGAGATAGCAAGAGACGTATATTAATCATAAATTATCATCTTTCCACTTTGACCTCATTTTAATGCATCCACTAGGTCATATTTAAAATACCACATTAACTCATTTGCTTTTTAAAAATAAATAATCACAATATGTTCTTTCCAAGTTTCATTTGTGACTAACATCCCTAAAATCTAGATATAAAGAAGAAATAAGAAGAAAGGAGAAAGAAGAAGAAACGGGAGAAGAAGAAGTAGAGGATGCCAAAAAGAAGAAAAAAGGAGGACGAGAAAATGAACTCCCTTTTTGGACAAACATGTCCATAGGGGGCGCTAGACCTCGTTGAACACTGGAGCGAATGTGTCATTTTCAGCATTTTTATTTATTTATTTTCTAATAAAGAGTCAGAACTCTTGTCCCAAATCCAGCCTAAAGTAAATAATTACTAATATGTTACTCATTTAAATTCTTTAATTCATAACTAAAGCAGAACACGCTTGATTGGTTATGACACAATGCCTAAAATATATTGGTTACGACAAAATGCCTAAAAATTAATGCCTAAAAATACAAGTATTTCATAAGCAACTTTGTTTCGACAAAATGAAGCCTGGAGCAAATGTCTCCAGTACAGGGAGGTGTTTCACAAAGATTATAAGCCGAACTTAAACATTTTAGAGAGCCATTTGTAGCCTTACAATAAAATGTATTCAAAAGGAAAAAGTCAAGTATTTTAAACTTTTCATAAGTTCCACACCGAGAACATGAAATCTCCTTGATAACAGAAAATATGAATGATTTGAAACAACATTTTATGCCTTTTAATATAACTACTTTTTTATAAAAAGATGCTAACGGTTTTCCATAATTGTTAAGTCCGACTTAGGATCTTTGTGAACCTCCCCCCCCCCCCCCCCCCCCCAAGGTCATGCAATGGTTCTGTAGCAGGTCCATGATTGGATCACCATATTTTACAACACATCATCATCCTTGTCATCATCCTACCGCTCTCGTCCTGTCGGCTCCACATCAAATTTCCTACCATCTTCCACCTCTTCCTTTCTTTCTCCATCTTGTATCCTTTTCTGTTTGCTTCCCATCTTCATCTTTTCTCTTAATGTGTCCATACCATCTCAGTCTGGAATCTCTCATCTTCTCCCTCATCCCTGTCACTTTTACTTCCTTCCATGCCTCATCATTTCACCTCCTCTTTCTTTTTGTTACCCCTCTCACACCTCTCATCTTTGCAGCTTCCAGCGTCTTTATCTAGGGGTGTTTCACAAAGATCTCAAGTTGAACGTATCTCTAAGTTGGACTCAACAATTATGGAAAGCCGTTAGCATCTATGAAAATATTTTGTAAAAGTTATACTAAAAGGCATAAAATGTTGATTCAAATCATTCATATTTTCTATTATCAAGAAGATTTCATGTTCTTGATGTGGAATTTATAAAAAGTCTAAAATACTTGAATGTTTTTGAGCATACACCTGTATTTTAAGGCTACGAATGGCTCTCCATAATGTTTAAGTCCAACTTAGAGTTAAGTTTGACTTAGGATCTTTATGAAACACCCCCTGGTCCTATATTTACCAACATATTTCTGTAAAACATATGTTTTATGTGGGAAAAGAAATTTCTTTGAAAACATTAATATCCACCAGGAAAAAAAAAGGAGAAAAAAACCTCATTCTTGCACGTGACCATAGAAATAAACCAAGTACAAATAGATTTTCAAATTCTTTATCATTCATTTCATGGTGTAGAAAATTGTACTTACTTCACAGTATTTGCTCTAACAATTTCTTGGATCTACTGGACTATACTACAACAATACCACATGCTTACTTTATAACATCTGGTGCATTACAAGTACTTTGATCTAGAATTCTGCAGACTAATCTTTAATACTACAGGTTGGGCTTTTGGAGACAGTGCCTAGAAAATGCAAACTGGAGTACCATATTGGAAAAATGCCTACCAAATTCAAACTTTCTTCAAAGGACTAAAATCATGAGGTATTTTATTTTAGTCACACTTTTTGGCACATCAAATACTGATCATCATCATCCATAATAACGTCCATATATATTTCACCAATCACTGTGGTGCCCTTGTGGACTTTTATCAAATATTCATAGATATAAACTCTTATTGGAAATTGGAATGTCAAATTCAGATGATATATGTAGTATAATAGAAATCACAATTTTAACTTAAATCAATTGACAGGTTGACAGTATTTCAACTGCCTTTCTTATAAAGTCACGACATGGATGAATTCATGCTTATAATTATCTTTAGTCACTTCTACATACATGCATGCACAGAAAATGTTTACAAAAATAAATCAGTTTGATAGAAAGTTTGATTTGAATATACATAGTATTTACAAGTTTACAGCTTTGTGATATCACAAGTATGAGTTTCATTCATTCCATGAATTGAAATTGACAGAATCTGTAAGTATTCTACAGGAACTATTTACCCCTGGCACTAGATAGATCGCCCCCTTCTAACATTATCTGTACCTAGGCTTGTAAACCTGACATAGTATACAAGTGTAACATGCGATAAGAAGTAGCCCCATGAAATGAAAAATTCTACTTTTCTGATGCAAGTCCTGAATTTATCTGTATTCCCCCCCTTCTATTATTTAATGGTCTAACGAAGAACTAGTATAAAATTTCAACTAAGTAAAAATGAAATAATAGAACAGCAGCCCTAATATGTGAGGCTGAAAAGTACCTCTCAAACATAAGCATTCTATAACTTTGATGTGACATCTATTTTTTATTTTTTCATTTTGTTAAATATATTTTTAGCTTTACACAAGTTGAATCTGTTCAGACCACCTAAAAAAAAACGAGGTCAACTCATGCAAAATTTAACTTATTAAGTGTAAATAACACATTTTGCATAATTATGTAGTTTTGTCAAAAAAATCGACTTGTGCGAATTTGAGTTATGCAGAGTTAACTGTCTGTTAATAGCAAAACTAAAGGGCGAGTCATAATTTATTTATACATGTTCAATGATGGAATAGCATCCCTAATTCTCAGCTTAAGGCAAGTACAGTCAAACCTGCTTTAGTGACCACCTGTCTACAAAGACCACCTGTCTACAACAAGCACATTTTTTGTTTCCCTTGAAAATGGTTTCTCATTGAAACATGTACTAAAGGAACCTGTCTACAAAGACCACTTTTTGTGTTTCCCTTGGTCGGTCGCTATAGGCAGGTTTGACTGTACAATGATGGAACAGCATCCCTAATTCTCAGCTGAAGGCAAGAACAAGCAAAAGACCAAATCATCACTGCAGGGGGAGGTTCCGTCTGGAAGTACGACTGGTCCTGCTACTCTTAGGTGTGCCCAAAGCGAGAGGCGAATTCATGAGGCTGTAGAGCCCTGTAGCAGAGAGGGGCGTGGTCACAAAGCTGGGCTTGCCCGTAGGAGGAGTGGAAGCGACCTCCGAGGTGGAGGGACCCGCAACATCAAAGACATCATCGTCGGCAGAGGACAAGCTACTTGCCTGCAGGGGAAATATGGTAGGAGAAAATGAAGGGTTATATTAGTTTCATAACAAAGTAAAAAACGTTAAATCAACTATCTAAATATATGCTGTAAATATCAGTCCAAAAAGATTATGAATAATAACATGATAAGTGGGGAAAATGGTATAGATGCAATTTACATTATTCTTGTTTGTACAGACAAGACCCACACTAGACCAACCAAAAAATTACATGACCCCTATGGCAAAAAAATATTTGGTTTGGAGTCGGTCTGGAGTCGATTTGGCAAGGTTACTGAGGTAATAAAAATGAATTCTAATCATGAATACCTTGCCATTGGCAAGATATCTCTTTGTTGTTACTTCTTTAGTTACGATATTTAGAGATAATCATGCTATGCTCTGATTACCCTTTTTATAAAATGAGTTTTAATCCTGAATTTCTTGACTGTTCCTGATCTTTAACTTTGTGAAAAAGCAATATAGATTCCCTGCCTTCCAAGTATCAGTCCCTGAACAAGGAAACATGACATAACACTTACTGTGAGGGAGTAGTCCTCTGAACCTCCGATAAACGAAGCAGGTTCGGGTGAATCGGTCACTGTCCAGTTCTCTCTGGCACTCGGTCTCTTCAGGGTCATGCTGAGCCTGGACGGAGTTGATCGACGCTGACCCAAGGAAGAAGAAATCCTTGTTTTTAAGGTTACCTTTTTCTTCTTCTTTGGAGGTTCCTCAGGCCTGGTGTTTTCAACATCTTCAAGCAGTTTTGAATCTGGTGCTCTTAGGATGGAATTAGGTAATAGCTGCTTGGGGTCTACTACTATTGTTTTGTCATCAATAACATCCTGCATTGGTTTGCAGCTAGATTCCTGCCTTTCTGATGACCTACGTTTTCTAAGAGTCTTTCCCACGTTACTGCTATCAAGTAACTTCTCTTCAGAAACTTGTTTTTTGTCCATAGTTCTTTCATGAGTTGAAGGGTGCTGCTGGTGAACAGGCTCTTGACCAAGTGACGTGTGAGATGGATTCCTCTTCCGCAGCTTCTTGTGACCTGAATCACCATCGCTACAGTTTTCATTTGAACTTCGACGCAGGTGTCTCTTTGACAGTGCCTCCTCTTTCTCATTGTTAAGTTCTGCATCTTTGTCCATCATCATGGCCATCTCCGAGTCTGACAGGGTACCCACTGATCCTTCGCCGGACTTTAGCTTGGGGAAGTCAATCTCCGAGTCAGTGTCTGCATCCGACTCTAATCCCTGGTCAATAAACGACATCTTTGCAGTGTTAGGCAATTCTTGTTGATTGATGCTGCCGTCGTCAGACTGCGAAGAAGCACTGGGGTTGGTGACTACGCTCTTCCCGAATATGGGAGAAAAGCTTCTGTCCAGATCGTCCAAAGATTCCGCACTGCTGATGCTGCCCTTGGTTCCTGGAGACTTTGACTTCCTGACAGGCTGCAGCTTCTTCTGGGAGCTCGATATTTTTCTTGTCAATGCTTTGTTTCCTGGTACTTCTGACGTTGATGTATCATGGGAAGCCTTGCCAAACACTGGTGATACACAGCCCTGCTCTAGATTATTTTTGGACGTTAGCATACTCAGCAAGGATCCTTTTGCTCTTGGGGAGTTCTTGGAGCGTCCAGTTGATCGATGCTGTTTCTTCTCACTTGAATTGACGCCTGGTGACTGCCTCTTGCGTTTTTTTCCAAAGTCACTTCCTGTCTGCTTGGAGGATGACTGAGGAGTTCTTCGTCTTGTACGAGGTGAAGTCAAATCGGCGATGATTTCATCCACTTTGACTATGGGTGAGATATCGCAAGGGCTCAGTACTTTGCTGGTGCTGGGGGATGGGCTGTTGTACCTGATTTTGATGCGAGGCCAACTGTTGATGACCTCTGGCGTGGTACATTTGGAGGCAGGCACGTACGGAGGTGTACAAGTGTCCCTCCTTGTACGTCTTCGTTTGATTGGAGGTGTGCTAAGATCCTCTTTACTAGGAGTACTTCTATTTCTCTTTTTATGTTCAACAACGTTGTCCTGATTGATATCTTGTTCCTTGTCTGTAGAGCCTTCCGCAAGTTTGTCAAACCAAATGCTTGCCTCTTCTGCTGCTTGCAATGGCTCTCCATCCTGCCTCACAGAAACATCAACCATTTCTCCTCGCACTTTTCCATCATTTTTCACAGTCCTACTGGCTTGTTCTTTAACTTCCTCTTCAAAGTTTGGTTTGCTTGATGCTTTTTCTGTTGCATCATCAAACAGTTTGGTTTCTTTTCCTTTCGGGTCAGGACTAGTTCTGTCCTTCAACTGACCTGCATCCTCAGTTTTACGGAAGGCAATCTTTCTCAAGGCTTTCCTGGGACTACGTCTGGTAGGTGTCTTTACAGGTACATTTACCTTCTTAGAATCAACGTGGCTTTCTGAAGCATCTCCTCTTCTTTCTATCTCTTTGCCTCCTGATCCACCCTTCTGCAGAAGTCTTGGGGACTGTCTGTGTCCGCTGGGGATGACTCCCAACTGTGCCTTACTTGGTGTTTTAGAGGGTGTACTGGGGATGGCTGAAAGATCCTTGGCAGGACTTTTCTTTGGTTCATTTTTAAACAGCTCATCATTCAAGCGCCTCCTTGCCTTGGCACGAGGTGTTGTCCTCATGGCACTCCTTTCAGGACTGTCCATCACCAACTTGACAGGGGTCACGCCCATCCTAGACCTTGTATTCCGACTTGGTGAATTGAAATTGGCTGGTGCTGGTGACTTGTTCACAGCCAGAGCTTTTGAGGCTGGACTTGTGATTGCGCTGAGAAGGAAAGTGGCTGGGGACAACTTGAGCTTGGTCTTCTCTGCCTTTTTCTCTGACAGGGGCGATTCTTTGAGGGCTACTGCAGGGGGGCTTGTCCCGGCTATCCTGGCTCCCAGGAGCTTAGCACGGTGAATTTCTTGCTTCTTGTAGAAGGAGGGTCTTCGCTTAAAGGTGGGCACCCGAGGACTACGTCTCACGTTCGGTTGGGTGAGGTTGACCGGTTTCTCTGGGGATTCTTCAATGACCAACATGCTACCTGGACCAGGTATTCCCCTCTCTTTAGAACTGCTCCTCCTCCTGCAAATCAATATAAATCATGAAAGATTAAATATCTTCATATCAAAAATAAAAAAATAATAATTTCCAAGAATAAAGAAGATTTTTCCCTTTTTTAATTGAAACAAAAAATAAAAAGAAAGAAGAAAAAAAAAACAACATCATTTTATATTATCAATTTAAACCTAAATTTGGGGTAAATTAAAATTAGTAATTTTGATTCTAAATATTCATTACAGTTCATTATAATTCAATTTCAATCATACCTTGCTCTGTCCAGCTTGTTGAGCATGGCCTTTATGACTTGTTTCTTGCCAGGTGTCTCCTTGACCACTTTGGTCTTCAGGACCAACTGACCACTCTGCACTGCTTTCCTGGGACTCCTCCTGCAAAATGACGATAGAAGCACATTATGTTTTTGTTTTGGTTCTCAGTATATTTTCCAGACTGCATGAGGTTTAATTAAATTTGCAAGAAAAATTTGATTCCTTCCCAATAAGGTGTTTTTTTCCAAAGGGAGGGGGAGGGGGGCTTTTTCACTCTTTTTTTGTTGTTGTTATCTCTGTATTTTACATTAATAAAATTAGAAGAAGAGTTATATCCTTTCCTTTAACTTCTATTCTGTATTTTCACCCGAAAGCAGAAGACTTCTTCCTTTAAAGTTCTGTTTTGTTAGAAATTATATTGATCAAATTATACTAAATTTTAATCTCAAGGCTTAGGCTTGGTCTAAGGTTGAGTAGAAAGAAGAAGTTCAACTGATGTTATACACAAATTGCTCACAGTAGGGTCATTCCATGGGGTTGGGTCAATTTTTGTGACATACAAGAAGTGAGAAACTAAGTCTCCTATCAACTGTAACAATGTTTGCTAAAATTGAGTTTAGCATAAAAAGCATAGCCAACTATGTTTACAATTACCGGTACTCAAGATTCACGGTGAATCATTATTATAGATCCAAAGTTTATGTAATGTTATATGAATAAGCTGGTAAAAAGAGAAATGTGTTTTGAGCAAAGATTTTGAAGAGAAGCAACTAAAACAGGAATGGTTCTGGCAGAGCACTGCCAAATACATTTATTGCATAAAACTCTTTAACAGATGATTTCATCTTCCATGTTTAGTAGAAGATCTTATACCAACGGTACATGGATATCGTCATATTTTTTTACCATAGAATGACCCAGTAACAAGACTAAATGAAGGTATAGACCAGTTCTGGTCATGCAATTGCATTGTGAAAGAAATATTGTGGAATTGATCAGAAAAGGTTGATCATCTAGCATATAAGTATTGGTGTGTACTACAAGGTTCTGGAATCATCAAAATGATAAGAAATATGGCCCAGTCTTGGTAAAGTTACAAGCACTGTAAACAGAAAGATGTAAATGGGACTACCTTAAATCTATCCAGTCCAGATAGATATAATAATTTACCAAATATATCAATTAGACAGGCAGTTTCCCGGCAAAATTTGTATCATCACGTATTAGTCAAAACATATTCTTTTACATGATTGGTAATAAGAGTTTCCATTTAATTTTTTGAGAGGGGGCCGTTTCCAAAACTGGTCTTTACCTGGTCTTTAACTGAATTACTAGAATATTGAACTTTGTGCATTTAAAATACAACGTGAATGAATGAACATCGATGACCTATCCCCTTTGTCACCAATTTCCTTCTTTTTTTTTAAAGTCATGAACTCTTAATTCTTTACCTGGGAGCATGAGTCTCCATCACAGCCACCGAGCGTCTTCTGCTGAACTTACTCGCATCAGGGCTGTCATCATTGAAGAGGTTTCGTTTCACCGTCTTAGCTGTGTTGTCCTGCTCTTGTTTCTTATGCTTCTTCTCTCCAGTGTTAGTCTAAACAATAAACATATTAATACAAAATAATGAAAATAATAATTCAAGGGACTTGGTAACTTTGTTGAGATGAGAGAAAATGGTGCTAAGTTAATGACTTCAATGCTAGATGTACAATTAAAGATAATCTGAAAGTTTGAGTGAAAACAGACCATTATTAATGATACAAATTGGGAAAAACTGATCGGATCGATTCCTGAATTCTCCCAACTATATCATTATAATTTAATCACATTTGAGGTGAATGTAAATCTTCACAAAGCAATGAATGGGCTCTATTTACCATTCCAGACATTTAAGTGTTGAAAGATTTTTTAAAGCTTGTTTATGTCTTATTTTCATGGAAAAATGGTTGGGAAAATTAAAAAATTGGTTGAGAGAATTCATAGAAAACCAAAAATATCATTGTGGTTTTGATATTTTTTTAGAAGGCATATAATAAGTAACATTTCAAACAAAAATTACCCAGTTTTTTCATCAACCTTCAAAAATGTTACTGAGTAACTTGAATAATTACAAAAAATAGTAACTATTCATAATGATATTCACAAGGAATGCTCTTATCAGATTCTAGAAATGTACAAGTGCCAACATTATTGTTTCCAGATTCTATTACCAGCTAGCCTTTGCAGGCACTACGTAAGATCTGACAAATTTCCAGCTACTGAGATAATATCTAGTGTAATTTCTGAAGCAAACAAGTCAACAGGGCATTCTCCTCTTTAGGCAACAAGCCTCAATAGAGTACCGAAGCTGTGACATCTGAAAAATCTATTTTTAGAATTTTTCAATTTTTTTCTTCATTTTCTGAAAGAGCATGACAAATAATGTCCGAATGCCGAAAACCAATTGAATATGACCATCTGAATAAAACGATTTCCTATAGGAGCTCAGTGTTATTTTGCTCTGGCTCCTAATGTTATGAACCAGAGCAAAAATTACACTGAGCTCCTATAGGAAATCTATTTATTCAGATGGTCATATCTCAGCCAATACTTAACATATCCAATTGGTTTTCGACATTTGGACATTATTTTTCATGCTCTTTCAGAAAATGAAAACAAAATTGAGAAATTCTAAAAAAAGATTTTTGATGACGTCACACTTCACCACTCTATATGGTATTGTCAAGTGAAAAATACCATTTGACAAAAGACCATTCAGAAACAGGATGAAGCAAAGCTGAAATTGAATCTTGAAAAGGAATTACAGCAGAAGTAGAAGAAGAAGAATGTGAGGAAAAACAAAAGAATCTCACCTTTTTCTTCTCGTTTGGTAGTCGTCTTGCAGGAACGCCTATGATGCGCTTGGGTGCTGCATCGGCAATGCTGGGATGTCTTACAAGTGCCCTTGATCTACAGCAAGAAGATCAAAGCAATAGAAAAAGACACTTATTTCCTGGATAAGCACAGCATGAGAGTGTGTGGAACAGCGAGCTTGTACCAGAAAGATCTCATGGCTTATAATTCAAATTCAAATCATTTATTTCCAAGTTCCAACATCAATTCAAACAATGTGTAAAAAACAGTCAATGGGCAATAAAAACATAATAAACTATGACATTTAAATCAAACAATTTAGAAGATAAAAACAAAACAAGCATATCATTCAATGAGAAACAAGGTGAAGAAAGGGGCAAAGTAGACCCTATAAATACATAATTCAGTATTATCAGACTACATAAAAAACACAAGTGGGTAATTGGAAAATGTTGAACACAATGAAAGCCAGGTTTGTGGCTTGTTAGGGTGTGTACACTTAGTTTATGTATTTATTTGTTTTTAAATTATTATCATAACATTTAGAGATTGGTCAAACAATTCATATAACATAGAACATGAGAACGTAAACATGAAAAACATTAAAAAAACATATAAGAGTATCGATCAGTATGTTACAATAGAGTCAGTGCCTCTAGGGTCCAATGGTAAAGTCTTTAGGCCCATTCTTAATCGCTGCTGCACTTGTTTTGAGACATATGTGAGGCTTAAGAGTGAATTTTTTTTGACTGGAATGAAGAATGTTATCTTTAAAAGATCCATTTCTACTCCTCGTATCTAGGGCTCAGAATTTTAGGTATCTTTTTAATTTGGCTACCCGCTCAAATTTCGGGCCATACCCAATACCTAAAAAAAATGATTATAAACTTGCTTAAATTTGACCATTTATAGTAGCAAAATACCTTTAAATATACATGCATACCTTGGTTAATATCGGAATATCTCATATGAAGTTATATTTATCCATGTGTGGTGATGTTTAGTGCTATGATCATGGCTCTGATAGTAAAAAATAACTAGGGCAAACATTGAAAGCTAACATGCAAGCCCCTGTTTTTTAGCCTCCGGTTTTAGTCCCAGCCCTACGCATGTCGATGATGAAAATAAGAGTTACCTATTGGAGTTGGATCCAAGGGTATTGAGAGAGCCACCAGAGCTGATGGACCTGTACGACGCAGGCTGCTTGTGAGAGGGTACTCCTGTCATATCGCTACTGGGAGACATCAGAAACAATGGTACTGGCTTCACCAGCCCCTCGTAGATTGCGCGCACCATGTAGGGGATGGTCTCCGCATAACTGTAAAAGATGTACAACGGTTGTCAGAACGATTGAAACATTTTTATTTGAATTACTAAATTTACGCTTCATCTTTTCATAATGAAAGAGACTCTTGTCAGCTCAAAAGAACTTACCTACAAGTTCTAGCAGGCTTCCCAGCAATTGTTTTTCCCTCCTGGAGTTTCAAAATTTCAAAGCATTGTTATTTCAACCTATTTCTAGTTTGAAAGTTATTTTCCTGAAAAGGAGTTGTAGGCGCAAGGGAAAAAGTATGCTAATTATCCAGTAGTTACACAGCTTGGATACCAGACAACATATTACAAACCGACTGAAATTCATGGATTTTCCCCCGGTGTGAGTAATTTTCCTAAAATTCCCTGACTTTTTACAGGTTTCACTGCAGTTGAAACAAATAACACATAATTTGCCAAGTTGAGAATATCTATCTTGTGTGTTAGATCATATGTGTGAATGCTACTCACTTGGCTAGAACAATATCAGTCAGAAAAGAAGCAAGCTTGTCTGCAGATGCAACAATTGGTACCGTCTCAAGCAGATGAACAACCTGTGAGAAAGAAATAATGATGGGTGTACCAAAGTCATTAATCATCAAGGTAAGGCTGATCTTCATTACATAGGATTATCAGAATTTCATTAAAACCTAACTGCACTAGTTTGGCCAGGAGGGATTAGACCTCCCTGCGTGGTCACTGGCAGGTGGTTATCTCATCAAATCACCTCCCAATTAACATAAGAAAAAGGGTCAACGGGTAACGCTTGGGCATTGAGGGCTATATAGAGGGCGCAAGTAGCTACAAATAGTGCAGTCCCATTTTAAAACAAAATTCCTTGATTGTTTTTCCATATCAACTTTAAAAATTCCACAATCATTACTTGAACCTACAGAGATACCAGTTGCTGTTTACCTGTACAGCCTGAAAAAAACAGAAGCAGGGTGGAGACAGGGCCGAAAAACCGGCATCTTTGAAACTATTTCCACTTTGAAACCTTTTAATCCAGTGGATAGGCTGTTTAGACACAAGATAAATTATTAGAGAGTGACTACTTTTTTCTTTTGGCCAATGTTATTTCCCTGATTTGAGTAATTTTTCTCAAATATCTTGACTGAAAAAGGGAACTTGTAATCCTGGTTTTCTTATTCTTTCAGGATAGCTATGAACCGTGTTGAATGATCATATAATAATAATAATAATATTTCTGCTTATTTAGCGCTAAATACATCAATAATGTCTGAGTTTCTAAGCGCTTTACAGTTATTTCCCCAATCATCGGATTCTGGCTTGCCCGCACACAATGTATGGACTTTCTCCACTCCCTGGGGAGCATTCCACCAAGAGCTACTACGCTCAAATTGCTAAGCATACTGCATTGTCTTTCGCATCAAACATGTAGGGATAAATCACCTCATCCACAGAGTCCTGCAAAGCTTCTGGCAAGTCAATCTCATCATCATCATCGTCATCTTTCTCTTTCTCCGCCTTCTTTTTTTTCTCCTCCTCTTTGACGGCCGCGATGTCCGTGGGTTCGACCGACTCCATCTCCATCCGAAGCAGAGTCTGCATCTCGACCTCGTGAACCCTGACCTCTCGCTCACTGGGGTCGTTGCTGCGTTCAGCGTAGCGTTCTCGGACTTGCTTGTGGGTGAGGAGGAGGGTGTCTTCGACGAGGGCCCTCATGTTGGACTGTATAGAAATGGAGAAGCATTTGCATTTGACTAAATACTGATGCTGCAAAACCAGTAACTTTTGTGATAATAGTGTGGTACGGTATGTCACTGAAACAGCTCCCGTAGTACTTTTGTGCCAAAATTTTGTTTTTGTTTTGTTGTTGCACATTTGGATTCATTGGGGTCCAAGCTATCAGAAATTGATGGGGTTCAAATTTTCCTGAAGACACTAAATTTCCCTATTGCGTTTTATATAAGCCATTTTGGCGCCCAATATGGACCCCCAAGGAAGTGAAGGAAGGATCTGAAAACAGCAACAACAACAACAACAAAAAAAAGAAAAAAAAAATCCTACAGGATTACATACCATACTGCACTATAATGACAATTTGCAAATTATCAAAAACTGCTATTTTTCAAGACGAGAAAATGTTGCAAATCACATAGAGTCATTGTTGTGTCAACAATTTGCATTTATGGACGTTCCCTGCATGTGAAATTTTCTGGTTATACAGTCTTATTCCACTCTAACTCTCTTTCAGCACACATATCACATTACGATTGCTTCTCTATGTCTATGCAGGGAGCTTTGAAAATCATCAAATTTGCTTCATCTCCAGCAACTGAATCAGTGCACAGTTCATTTCAAGATATAATCCTAGTTCTACCAGATACCTACTAAATCTAGGTTTGATGCAGCAAAGGTAGATTAAAGTTGATTATACAGATACGTACAAAACAGACCTGACCTTACATTTCTCAGACCAACCTGTAACATCTAAAAGACAATATTCTGATTTCAAACCTGGGTCATTGTATCTGAAGACCAGATAACTGAACCCTAGATCAACTCAAATGACAAGTATTGCTATGGAAATAGTATGAACAGTGATCCGACATTTGCTCTGGGCAGTATTTCTTCAAATATCTACGAAGAAGGTAATACCGTAGCCACACAAACGAAACAGACACCTGACCAAACAAAAATTACATTACTCTGAATGGCCAAGAGGGGGTTAATTTGGCTGTATGACCGAGGTATTAGGGTGGCAATGGTTCTTAAGGTTAGCTAAAGTGGTAATTCCAAGCATGAAGCCAGGAATTCTGTTCCTGCAGCCAGGGCATCTCACTATGAATATGACGGACAAAGAAAGCGGACAAAATATACAGTTCCTGTAAAAATGTGTCACAGGTGTCACATGCATATTCACCTTTTTACATAATAGCAGTGAAGCGATATTCCTTTATCTACCTGAGGAACTGTATATTTTGTCTGCTTTCTTTGTCCGTCATGTTCATAGTGTCTACTGCAAAGCATTGGCACAGGAGCGACGTAGAACTGGCATCAGTAAAAATAATGAGTACTTACAATGCTGTCTTCTTGGTTTTTTGTTTGGTGGGAAGTCTTATAGAAGTGCAAGACAACAGCGATGGTGGACTGGGTGAAACGCAGTGAGCAGGAGTTCTGACAAGGCAAATAATCATACATGCTCATGAAAATTATGTTATCATTAGCAGTGCACTCCATGATAAACAGGTGGAAGTATTCTTTGAAAGGGGAAACAAAGGCTATTTAGCTATTTATGTAGCACCTCCATCGCTGTATGAGTGATTATTTCAAAATGTATAAAGTGAGACCTCTTCATGTTTTGAAGATCTGTGGGTATTCATGGTCGTTTGGGACATGTGCTAACCGTGAACTGGTCTATTTTATTCAGAATACAATTCAAATTTCATACATAATAATGGTTCATAATTCAAATAAGTTTCCTCACATGCCATTTGACTTGTGACTGAATTAAAGTGTCTAACATGTAACATTTCCTCAAGTTTCTTCAAATGTCAAACTTAAATCTGATTTTCCTACTTTAGATACAGACTTCTTTCCTCTAATCTAATGTCATCTTGTCTTCTTATAAAAATAATAAAGATTTTGTTAAACCTCCACAGCTGGCATCCCATCCTAAATATCTGTCCTGTCAAACCTGTCTATTGTGGCCACCCAAGGAAAACAGGAAGAGTAGTCACTGAAGACAGGTGGCCTTTCTAGAGAGGTGACCACTAAGACAGGTTGGACTGTATTGTATTATGAATATGCAAATTATATGTTTTAGAATATGCTAATTCCAAGAGATGATCGAGATATACAATGTAGTAATAAACCATGAATGAAAGGTAACAAATCATCTCGATTTTTTTTTATTGTATTAATTTAATTCCAAGTTGTGGGAGGGGATAATGTACATGTAAGCTAATTGCCCCGACCAAACAATTGCCTGAACATAATGTAACTCTTTTATAAAATGCAAGTGATATTCATCATTTACATGCAGCTTCATACAAAATATACATACCCGTGTTAAAACATCTTCATAGTTCTGTTTCAAGTGTTTGGTCAAGTCTTCCACAGAAGAAACATCTGAATAAAATTAATCAAAAGAAATGGAAATTGTCACCAGTTTTAAATAAATGGAGAGAGTGCAAGACTGAAAAAGAGGGAGAGAAGAGAGAGAGAGAGAGAGAGAGAGAGAGAGAGAGAGAGAGAGAGAGTGAGAGAGAGAGTGAGTGAGAGAGAGCAAGAAAGACAAACCTGTCTTCCACAGAAGAAACATCTGAATACTTAAGAAATGAACATTGTCACCAGTTTTAAATAAATGGAGAGAGTGCAAGACTGAAAAAGAGAGAGTGGGTGAGAGAGAGAGATAGCGAAAAAGATGGAGAGAGATCGCATTTACATTTTACACAATCAGCCTTCTTGGAGCAATAATCTAGCAGCATTTTCTTCTGGTGTTCTTTTGATATTCATTTTAATCAGCTGATTATGAGTATTACCTGTAGGGAGTACAGAGAAAATGAGACCTACTAACCTGGGAGTTTGATCGGGATGGGGTCACTCTTCTTCTTGGTCAGCGTGGTGCCCTTCTTGTCCTTGACCACGACCTTGGGTCTGCTAGCCAGGAGCTTACGGCTGATGGCCATGATGTTGGCCGCCCTGGGCCCAACGTTGAGTGGCATGCTCTTCATACGTTTCAAGCGTGGGGACTGTCTCACACCTGTACCATCTACATGCAGCAGCAACAAAGTAAGGAGGACAAGAGTTCTTCAATTATATTTATGTTCCTACGTATAAATTGTATTGTTTGAACAGATGTCAAATATGTTGTCAAATTGAATGGGAGAAAATAAATGTTCATTTGAAATTGAAAATGAAATTGAAATTTATTGGGAAGAGAGCTCAATAGTTTACGGTGGTTCAGCTCGCTTTTTTCATTAAAGGCACAGCCGCAGTCCATTGTCATTAATCCTCATTATTGTCATTAACAACATCATCATCAACATTATCATCATTAACATTGTCATCATCATCATCACCATCATCATTATCAACTCAATTCAACTTTATTTCCAAAATGTGATAAAAATACAAAACAATCAAAAGAAAAACAAGAAAACAACATAAGCATAATATAACAGATAATTGTGGGATCGACAATAGGCCTACAGGCCTTTCTATGGTAAAGCTCTTAAATATATACATGTACATATATTATCACCATCATCCTCATCGTAATCATCATCATCAACATCATCAACATCATCATCATCATCATCATCATCGTCATCTTTATCAACATCATCATTATCACCATCAACAACAACAACCACCTCAATAATCAGCAAAAATAAAATGAAATAATTATAGAAGATATCAAAACCTAGTGGATCAAAATTAAAAACTCTGTCAGTTAGTTAGAGCCTCTCGGTATATCATCGCTCACCAAATTTCCATGATATATTCCATAACTTTGTATTATCATCAAAATTACAAGAAAGTACAACAGAAGAGTTAAAACATACACTTAACATGTACATGTACATCATCATCACTTAAATAAAGTGAATGCACTGTCACAGCTAAGCAACCTCCCCTTCTCCAAAAGGCTAATGACTTACCTTTAAGAATACTCTTAGACTGGTCATCTGGCATTGACTCTGAAAGTGGACTGGTGACTTCAGTTGATCCCTTCTCACCACCCATGATGTCCTTGAGCTGCATATAAAATGCATCGTGATGGGATTGGAGACTTGGGGACTTTTTGTCATCTGGAATACTGAGATAAAAACAGAGTGGGAGTATTTTAACCATCGTAATGATAAACATGAGATCGGATTCCAAAACAAAACACTTCTCAGCAACCTAATTAAATTTAAGAAGAAGTCTACCCTGATATTAAATTGGTTTTAATAGAAGCAGAACATTGACAGAAACAGGTCAGTGAAGTTTTAGTAAAGTAAATTTAAGACAGCTCCCGAGCAGACTTCAGCCAATTGTTTTGGAAGCATTGATTGGCAGCCTAATGATTTTTGTACGCAGTCATCATTAGCTGAGAACAATTATATTAGCGCGCATTTAATGCAACGCGTAACATATGTGTAATACTATGATTGACCGTGTGATGTAACAACACTTTTCAGAAAGTATTTTTGCGGTAAAGTCTGTGTGCGAAAGTAAATCGCTTAAATGTGATCTGAATACGAGTTGAGACATTTTACTTAGCTAAGCCAAATGCTTGATTAACAGATTTACTTAAAAAAAGTAATGAATTGAATACCGGCCCAGACCTTTACATCTTTGACAAAACGAATCCAAGAACAAATGATACTGGGGCAAATTGCCAAGTCACTCATTATCCCTATAATTATCAATATCATCATTATTATTTAGACCTACCTCAAGAGTTGCTCCACTACTTGATCACATGTGTGCCTGGATGGGGCAGAGATGTGCCAGGGTTCCAGCCAGCTGGCATGGAATGGTTCGTGGCGTGCTCTCTCGATGTGGCTCAACTCCTCCAGTATCCCTGGGTCTGTCTCGGGCAAGGTGGACAGTTCTGGATTGGAGATGATAACAATGGGAAATTGCACGGTGAGAGAGGATTGAAGGGAGTGAGGGAAAGAGGGGGGGGGGGGTGGACAATGAGGAGGGCGAGATAGAGAGAGAAGAGGGCCTGAGATAGAGAGAAGAGGAAGAGAGGGGAGGGAGAGAGGGGAGGGAGAGAGGGGAGGGAGAGGGGGGAGGTAGAGGGGGGAGGTAGAGGGGGGAGGTAGAGGGGGGAGGGAGAGGGGAGAGGGGTGAGGGAGAGGGAGAGAAGGGAGAGTAGAGGGAGGGAGAGAGGGAGGAGTAGGAAGAGAGAGGGGGAGTAGGAAGAGAGGGAGAGGGGAGGGAGTAGAAGGAGACAGAGAAGGGAGAGAGAGGAAAGAGGAGGAGGACGGAAAGTGAGGAGAAAGAGAGAGAAAGAAGAGAGAAGGGGGAGAGGGGAGGGAAAGATGGGAGGGAGAGTAGAAGGAATGAGAGAGGGAGGAGTAAGAAGAGAGAGGCGGAGTAGGAAGAGAGAGAGAGAGAGAGAGGGAGAGAAGAGGGAGTAAAAGGAGATAGAGAAGGGAGATCGAGGAAAGAGAGGGAGGATACAAAGTGAGAAGAGAAAGAGAGGAAGAAGATAGAGAGGGAGAGAGGAAGAAGAAGAGAGAGAAAGAAAGAGAGAGGGAGAGTGGTAAGAGAGAGAGAGAGAGAGAGAGAGGAGGGGAAAAAGAGGAGAAGGAGAAAGGGGAAGAATTGGGAGAAGGAAAACATAGAAACAGAACATGTGAGCATAGCATTACTCACCTTCAGTCCGTTTCATCTTCCTGTTGGCATGCCAACCAGTCTTTCCACTCCCTACAATTGCTTTTGCTGATCTCTCTATGAAGCGCTTCATCTCAGTCGTGGCTGCAGGTCTCCCTCGACCCTTGACATCGAATATCCGTGCCCTTGAGACAGGGTGGGGCTGAAAGGCAAGGCCGGTGGCTAACGGCATGATGGACTTGGGGTGGAGGAGGCGGATTGAAGCCATGGCGGGGGTTAAAGGCTCCATGACCCCAAGAGTGGTCAATGAAGAATTGGATGATGAAAGCTCAACAATCTGTAAGGAAAAGAGTTAGAGTGAGACTTAAATTGATAATCTGTTTGGGTTGATAACTTTAAAACAATTTAACAGCTTTGAAGCCAAGTTTTTTATAATTTGTAGTTTTCAAACAATCCCTGCACACTCTGTCTAGCTACTTAATCTACTCACTACGGAGCACAAGAACCCTTCAGTTCAAATTAATGCTCTAACTGGTGAAATGAAACACACAGTTCTAAGACTTTTTAATACACAAAATTCTGAAGACTGCTGATTTTAGGATCCCCATTGAGCAACAATGTGGATATCCAAACGAGTGTTATAAAAACATTCTATGTTCCGACCGAATGGGGACAGACTTCAGAAAAAGAAAAGGTGACATTTCCTTGATCTGCATGTAGGTGACAGAAGCTCATCAAGTTTGAACACATCAAACTGCTTAGATCCTCTAATACAATCCCCCTGGGTGCTGAGATTCTAGTTCACCTAATTTGCATACAAGATATACCCCCCATTTTCTTTTAGTGAAAACAAATTTCACTACCTACCAGCGACATTCTTTGATGGCTCAAGTCCAACATAGCTTCTCGGAACCATCGAGACAGACGACCGTCGCTTGTTACACCGCTGCTTTCGTCGTCCTCGCTCCCCTTCAACAAGTCGTACCCTATACAGGAAAATGTGCTGGAGGAGCCAAAGGCGCTCAGCCCCAACTGTCTGCGGTCAATCTTGGCTTTGATGGTAACGGTGTGAGACTCAGGCGATGGTGCTTCAGTTGCAGGAGTGGCCAGTGCCTGAGATGGGGTCTGGTTACCAGTCTCTATGCTGAATGCTGTGCTGTGATTGGTGGAAGCCTGCTTGGTGGAGTTGTTTGACTGGTTTCTGGCTGTCTTTTTCTTTTTCGTTGTCTTGCTCTCCTCTGTGTTGTGAATGACAAATGTCTCTGCGGAGCCTGGGGTGGAACTCTCAGGAGCACAATTACTGCAGAAATAGAATGAGAAAAAAATAAAAGAGTTATTCCAGCATGTAATCTGTCCTTTGAGGTTCCCAGATATCCTGTACTATCACCGACTATTTTACAAACTTCCTGTTACTAACATTTTTTTTGTAGACAACACCTTAGCCTCACACTGTAGCCAAAGCCTGCCGAAGGCGAAAATTTATGAACAAAGTGATTCCCAAATGAAATATTCTCACAAACCAATGCTGACTCTCATTTTCAGCTTTCAAACATTTGTTTACAGGTATGAGGCACCCTAGATATACCCTGTCTATTGCAGTACATTACTCAATCAGCACCACCTTCGAATAACACATTACCAATGTCCCTGGTAATAATAAGAATTATGTGCCGTAAAATATCATCACTTGAGTTGAGGTAAAGAAAGGCATCAGTCTGCACAATATTGGTAATGAAATCATGATTGATTGTTTACCTTTTTGGTGTGAACATAGGCATCATCCTTAGCATACAGTGATCAGATCCAGTGTCGGCTACACAAGGATAAAACAGAAAAACAATTATAAGTAAAAAAAAAATTAAAAAAAAAAAATATTTCCTGTTGTTACAGTTATTCTTTAGTACTGATTATGATGGAAACTAAATTCTCACAGAATAGAAGGAACTTGTACTGAATGTTAGTATCGATTATGATGGAAACTAAATTCTCAAAGAATAGAAAGGAACTTGTACTGAATGCTCCAGAATTTTTTTTTTTAATATTAAAAAAAAGAAAATGTACATTTTGTATGATTCTGTAAATATTTTATGTCATTACAACACTAAAAAAAAAAAAGATTACACATTTGTCTGCTCTATTCTTCCTTGCTCACTATACCTATATCTTTTGTACACTTTCTTCCAAAGCCATGTTATACACTGTCACATGACTTTGGAAGAAACTTTAAAATAGGTGAGTGGTGACTGGTGAGCATGGAAGGATAAAGCAGAAAAACTAGTTATCTTGCAGTCTCTAATGAAAAAAAAAAATAGGATTACATGTATAAGTAACTGATGTACTGCTAAAAAGTTACAATTATCTTCTTAGTATTTTAAGTTTGATGGAAAGGTATCATAAGTCTAGTTAAGAAGCATAAAATCAAATGAATTTCATGAAGTATTTGACATCCTCAATACATGAACCTCTTACAAGATGTTTAAAAGAAAATGTAAATAAAATGCCCCAAACTTTCATAGAAGAAAATACAAGGGGAGTCAACTGACCTTTATTAGAGCACAGTATTGCCCGGAAGGTCTCTTTGGGAGTAGAAGAGATTTCATCTACCATCCCAGGCTCCGACCTGACATTTGACCTCAGGAAGTAATCAATGATGATGGAAAGGGGTAGAAGATTTCTAGGAACTGGAATCTTCTTTTCAGACTGGTCATCTTCACCTCTTTCTATATCTACCTCCTTCTTTTCCATCTTGCTTGCTGCTTTCTGCTCTATGGCCTAAAAAAGGATAATTAAATAGGAATGATATAAATTCAATTTGACATGGCTAGTTATAGTAGATTTATGATGTACAGTGTAAGTCTCTTCTCAATGACTCAATCTCTTTTACAGAAAATCTTAATCAAATAAAGGAAATAGGGGTCTTTAAATTTCACTGTGTGCATTAAAAATCAATTTTGAAACATGTTACTTGTACATACATGTATCACTATCGGGACCTTCTTTTTAATTCATGATATTTTTGACACTTTTTCATGCTTGTTCATCTTCTAAGTTCTATACCATACAAAAACAAAATATAAATGTTCTTTAGCTAACAGTATTGTGTAACCTTTAACAAAAAACATTCAAATGTCATGAAATTCTGCCATTTCCCTTTTCCTTCTCTTTACCAAATCATTTCATTTGAAAGTTGATCCTATAATATAGTAACACTGTTTAGTGACCTAATAACGTTAGTGACATGAACACACACAAAAAAGTTGTTAAACTTAAAGTATCAACTTTAAAATGCATTTTTATTGCATTTCTACTTCGTTTTTAAGAGTTTCAACTTTCAAGAGATTTGTGTTTTAACCTGCTGAGTAGCTTGCACTGAATGAAGGCAAGACGTCACATGACAACCGCTGTTCATAAGCCATCCCAGAGAGATCACCTGACCTGCAGTGTGACTCAGCATCCCACTCAGGAGGTCATGTGTTGGTCTGGCTGGTGGTACCTGCATGGAGATTGGAGATTATTATAACAAAATTATAACAACAAATTACAGCTAGTTTTAGAGATACAATCGAGGGAGCTCTAAGTTTTTTTAGTTTGTTTTAAAACTTTTAATCATATTGAAAACAAATTATTGTAGACTTCTACGTTTTGTTTTTGTTATTACCAGAGGTCATTCCAATCCAAGTTTCTCAGAGGTAAAATTAGTGCTCATTCACACATTGTTTCTGTGTATTTCCCCTTCTTAAATTTGGCTAACATCACAATGCCAATTAAGAAGATTAGAGTCAGGGACCATGGATTTCAATGTCTTGAATTATCACATTAATTCCCATTTGAGCTGTTCTTCTTCTCCTATTAATAAAAATAAGATCTCAATATAATCTAGTATTTATTTTCATCATGACATCTTTGATGACCGTTCCCCTCTACGTCTAACTCAAACTTACAATTTATCATCAACATTCAAATGAACCTTACACCCAACTTGTACTAGGGTCTAGGATCTACTTGTAGAGTTTACAACAGTAGACTCTAGAGTGAAACAAATTAATTTTTACTAAAATAGGGGGCCTACTACTTCAGATCTATTCTCTTCTAAGTTCTAGTAGTAGTAACACAGTCATTTTACTGTTCTCACCATATTGGTGTTGAGCCAGAAAAGGCGTCCATTTTGCTCTCCACAAAAATCTGCCAGGAACTCTTTTGAGATGATTGTATCGCGCAGAGAAAGAGCAGAGTTCAGCTTTGTAGCATCTCCAACTAATTCTTCAAGAGTTTGCATAGAGGACGGGCACTGCATAGCAAGAAAAATCATCTTCTCTTTCCTCCTGTGCTTCTGTCGTCCATCGCTGATCAAGGAAGATATTGCACTGGATTGTCTGCGCGAAGCAGAAAGTCGCGAGTTCTCTCTCTTTTTCCGTCGATGCCGTGCTGAGCGAGCTCGGGATGATGATTTCATCGGAGAACACATGTCTGGTTCTTCCCATTGGAAGTCATGCATTACATCTTGCAATGCATAGCGAAGAGCGTAGGCCGAACTTGTATCTTCGACTTCGGAGTCATCGTCTGCAATGTTGTTGCTAGAGGACGCCCGTGCAGCTGAATCTCCATCGGGCACTTCCTCAAGTGCCAAGCCCAAGCTCCGGGGAGCATCTCTGCCACTACTGCCATCTCTGCTGCTGTTACCATGATGATGGGTCCATGTTTTGCTTCGCGTCTTGCCACCCTGGCGTGGTACATTCTCATCCAAATGCTCCTCAAAATATTTGAAATGCTTATAACTGTATTGCAGCCAAATCGCTCTTTTCTTGTACATTTGACACTCTTTTGTGGAATCAAAAATGCGGTAACCCCATCGCATTTTCTCGTTGACGGTGCCATCTTTGCACGCAAAGTGGGTCAACAATTTCAACACTGCTAATCTGATCGCCGCAAACGCATTCTCATCATGAGTTCCACATTTTCTGTCAATTAAAAATACAACTTTGGTCGTACCTGGAGTCCCCATTCTCAACAAATCTGGCTAATTCACTGGGCATCTCATGATATTTCTGTCATTTTAGTGAGCTATTTTCAATGTTTTCCTCCGTTGGCAGCCATTTTTAAATTTAGCACACTCTTTAAATGGCTAGTCTATATTCAGAAACCGAGTAATAAAAGCTATTCAAATGAACTGTTTTTAAGACTCCTGAAGATAAAGAAATTAAATATTACAGAAAAATCAGATACGATTTACATAAAAATTCTTGAAAAATAACTATATCAGTTTTATTTTCGGAAATGAAATGTCCACGTTTAATAAAGAAATTAAGCTGAGTCGTGAGTAGCTCGATGAAAGGCTAGCAATTTCCCGCGGTAGCTTACGATTGGCCAATAATTTCAATCTCCTGTCTCTAGTTTCCGAGTGTATCATTTTACGTCAACTATCATATTCTATGATTGTGATATAAAAGCGTATGAGCAAGGGATATATCCCTGGTATAAAATGTCTGCCTATCAATATGAAGAAGAAAAAAAAACCCTGGATAATTTGCCTGATTTATTTTTTCCTCTTGGAACTGCATGTATTCATTCCTGAAGCCTGTGAGATTGTTTCCATATATCTCGTGCTACTCGGTTATTAAACTGATAAATAAATATCAAATAACTTTGAGGGGGGGATTGACCATTTTATGGGTTATCGTTCCAAATTTTGAAAACTGTATTAAAGAAAGAAATGAACTAGGAAAGGGAGGGGAAGAGGGAGCCTGAGAGAGAGAGAGAGAGAGAGAGAGAGAGAGAGAGAGAGAGAGAGAGAGAGAGGGGGGGGGGGGGCCGGGAGAGCACCACCTTTTAACCGTCTAACTTTTTTTTAATAAATAATATATATATATATATATATATATATATATATACGGGGTTGGTTGCTTTATGTGCAAAGGCGGCGCTCGGGGGGGGGGGGGGGGGGGGAGAGGGGGCAAGGGGCACAGAGCCCCCCCCACTTTTTCAAGTACATAGGAAAAGTGCCCCTTTAACTTTGTAAGAAGTGCCCTTTTTTACATCGGAAAGTGCCCCTTTTACTTCACAAGTGCCCCTATTTTTTGTTAAAGTGCCCCTTCCCCTTTTCACCTCTGATAAGGCCCCTTTTATTTTGACATGTACCCCTTTTCCTTTAGTGAAAAGTTCACATTTTCCTTTGCAATAAGTGTCCGTTTTCCATTCTCATAAGTGCCCTTTTTAATCTCTAGTAAGTTTCCCTTTTCAGGTATAAGATAGGTACTCTGATAATTGCCCTTTTCAAGGTTCCCCTTTTGCTTTGATAAGTTCCCCTTTTCCTTTGTAAAAAGTGCCCCTTCCCCTTTTAATAACTACCCCTTTTTAACTCGGATAAGCGCACCTTATATTTTCACACGTGCCCCTTTCCTTTTTTTTATAAGTGCCCCCTTTCCTTTTTAATAAGTACCCCTTTTCCTTATGATAAGTGCCCCCATTTAAAAAGAGAAAATAGTTCCTTTTCATTCTCATAAGTGCCCCTTTTCATCTCTTGTAAATGACTCTATTCAATTCTGAGAGATACTTCCCCTCCTGATAAGTGCTCTTTTCATCTGATATAAATGCCCCTTTTATTTTGACACGCCCCCCTTGTCCTTCCTAATAAATGCTCGTTTTACTTCTTATAAGTGCCCCTTCCCCTTCTCATAATTACCCATTTCATCCCTTGTTGCGTGCCTCTCTTTTTAGGTGTAAGAATTGAGTACCCCATTTTAACATCTGATAATTAGCTTTTGTACTTTGACACGTGCTCCTTTTCTTTTCTAATAAGTGTCTTTACCCTTTCGATAAGTGTCCCCTTTTCCTTTCATCATTAGACGTGCCCCAATTTTTTTAGCGACTAAGAGCAATCCCCCCCCCCAAAGCTCGCTCGCTACGCTCGATCGTAGTTATAGCATATTATGTTATAATAATGTAACTTATCAAAGGTCATTTTAGTCTTCCGTTATGACTTAATGGAATGTGCTTATAAACCCATCAGGATTGGGTTTTCCCTCTTTATAAGATGTAATTTTTCGCACTGCGACCTCACAAATCTTAAAATTTGTCCTCGCTCGCAAAAGAATTTTCAGACCATCGTACCCAACTGCAAAGTATGATGCTTGAGCAATATCATTATGATGTAACAAGAGAAACAAAATTGAAATCATCCCTGATAATGTACAATATATAGTATATACCAATGTCGAAAAATTGTATATATTTTCGCTTTGAGGATTTCCCTTTGAAAGGTGCCCGTTTTTTCTCTCCAATTTAGTTCATTATGAAATGCATTAATTAATTATTGGTCGATGTGCTCCCTTGTAGATATAGGAAATATGCTAGCGGGGCATTGCTAGAATGAAAAATACAAATTGAAAAGGGCAACGAAAGTTTTAAACGCTCCCCGCCCCTCGGAGTTGCGATGACTTTTCAGATGCTGCGTCCCCCACAGGCTTGACACCATGTACAAATACAACTTTTTGAAAGAAAAATAGAAAGGAGTACAAAAAGAAAAAAATGCAGAAAGAAAAACATACCTAAATACATACGGAAAGAAAGAAAGAAATAAAAGAAGAAAGGAATGAAAAAAGAAAAGAATGGTTACAAATCCACACATGAAAACTATAAAAGACTAAGCCTCTTCAAAAGAAGGGGAAGAGACGTGGTTTTTTCATTTTGTTACTGTTTATGTTTTGCTTTTCACATGAACATCTGGCAACATTTGAGCCTTACAACGGGCTTACAACCTGGGACCAAGGTCCATCAGTTCATCCATCCACCAACCCTGATACCATAGGGTCCCCCACTACATCCATCCACCACCCCTGATACCAAGACTCCCCTCTACATGCACCACCCCTGATATTTCATTTCATTTTTCATTTCGTTTTATTTTCATTCGTCATATAAAAAAACATACATGATTATAACATTGATATTTACAGATAAGTAAAGAACATACAAATAACATAACGAAAGATAAACATAAAATACAAATATATATACGAATGAGGAACCAGCAAGAAAGAACAATTAAGTCTTGTGTGGTGCTGGTCCCTAGCGACATGATAAAGAATGTTAACCTATAACACTTAACACTTTACACCTAACACCTAACAACTAACACCTAACATCTAACACCTGATTGCATATATAAAAACTATTAAAATACTATTCACAAAAACGTAATTGTTATATATATACCCAGTGGCGGATCCAGGGGGGGGGGGGGGGGGGGGGGGGGGGGGGGGGGGGCCCGGCCCCCCCCCCCTTGAGAAAAAAATCATGTAAAATCACGTGATTTTTACCTTTTTGGGGGGTTGGGCCCCCCCCTGGCGCTCAAGGGGGGGGGGGGGGGTGCAAATTGAATTTTTTTTTGAGGACAAAAAAAAGAAGTGCTCACTACCCCCCCCCCCCCCCCCCCCCCCCCCCCCCCCCCCCCCACTGAGCGAATTTTTGGCCGGCGCGATTTTTAAATTTTCGGGAGCAAAAAAAAAAAAAAAGTTGGGCCCCCTCCCCTAAGAAATCCTGGATCCGCGCCTGTATATACCAGGGTCCACCAGTTCATCCACCACCCTGGCCATATACCAAGGTCCACAGTTCATCTAGCTCTCCACCATCCCTGATATCAAGTTCCACCAGTTCATTCATCTACCAATCATGATACCATTAAGGTCCACCAGTTCCTCCATCCATCATCCCTGATAAGATGGTCCACCACTCCCTTCGTCTAGCTACCATACCAATGCATCCAACCCCAGCACCCTACCAAGTACCAACACAGTGCAAGCCACGCCCACACATAACATTACGTTCTTTGCAGCGCTTTGCATGCATGCACCGCGAACGCCAATCAGACGTACTTCACCACTCCACGGCCTGGCCTGGTAACACCCCCTCTCAAGTAAAATAACAATTCAGGCGTGATTTAATTCAGCAAATATTCAGGTCACATGATCTGGTATGACTCATATTTTGCATGCCGATTGTGAAAATGGCAAACTATAGCGAGTATTGGAAACAAGTACGAAAGCTACCTGTTTGTTGTTCTCCTGCATGAGCAGCGCTCAGAGAGTGATTTTGTGCCGTCGGATTGCCCATCAGCTCAGGCGTGGTTATTCATGATAACATGGACATCTTCGCCTTGGACTGGTATGTACTATAGCTCAACTTCTAACCAACTAATGCTACTAATACTACTATCTCATCAGTTTAACTTGTAGTACTCGAAATGTTCATATTTAACTCTGTACTGCGAAATATAAAAAGAGATGAGAAACACACAGTGAAGTGTGATGTTATGGGAAGATATATGGAATTTATGAGACAAGTAAATAATGTTATTGAACTCCTTGTTCAGGCTCATCTGAAAATTATGTTGTGATTACTATTGTAATAAAATTATATTTAGAGACTTACATGTCTAAATTTGTGACTACTATAGTCATTTATTTAGAAATTGTTCCTCATGATGGCCATTAAGTTTCAAGTGAGCAGACTGTTAGTTTTACGGTAAATCACTTTTTATTGTTTCTTAATACTCATTCATTTTGCTTTGGTTCGGGAAAGATGGTATATTATTTGACTGAGGAATACATTTTTTTTAAATTAAAGTCTTCTCAATAGTCATCTTTAACTAGTTTTTGTTAATGAATATGTAGTGCTTTACACATTGTAATAGAGATAAAGTGTGTGTATTTGTTGCATGGAGGATATCATGCAGTTACAGGTATGCCCAGATATGAGCGCTGCATAGGCACATACATGTAGGGACATACTCTTGCCATATATTTGTAGGCCTATATCATAACTGTTGTCTCTGTTTCATTCATTTCTACAGGAATATTACTGCATGGGAGACAGAAGTAAATGACACTTGTCTCAACCCAAGATTTCAAACCTCAGACTGGGTCACAATTTCTCTGCCTATTGCTGTAAGTATACTACCGTTATGAAATGATGGTGTTAATAATAATGATGATGATCGATAACAATAATGATGATAATAACAAAATAATACTATGAATATTAATAATAATGGGGACAATGATAAGATGATGATGATATTATAAGATTATTATAAGTAATAACTATAATAATAATGAAAAGTTATATCATACTAAAATCTGTTTTGTCTCTCTCATATCAACTTTACAGTTGGTCATTATCATTTTCTTCTCGTTTTTGCAACCACGTAAGAAGTTGGCTCTCGGATGCTTGTACAGCAGGCCGGGAATTGTTTAGTAAGTGTTCTACCATCACTGGATTTTTTTTGGTGGGTGGGGGGAGAGGGGGGGGGGGGCAGAAGATGTTTTAACTCTTGGAAATTGTGTCTCAGAATAATTAACTTTTTTAAAGAATGCACTTTTGAAATAAACTGTGTTGTCACAGGACATAAGCCTACATGTATAAAAGCATTAGGTCAGGATTTGAACACCCAAGAATGAAAGTGTAGATATCTGACCCACAATTTCAAATTGTCTGTCGATCATGCAGTACTCCCCTGAAATATTGAACACCAATTTAGTATGAACAATTCCTGTGGGATTGCACTGTGACGACTTACCAATCATGGACTTTAGTACTAGTGCATGATGATCAATTACATTTCTGTCTGAAAACTATCAACGGACAAACTCAGAGAATCGTTTATCTTGAATCTACTATTTTCTGTTCTTTTGCAGTCCTGTTGATGTGCTGGATACCTACACAGAGAGGACCACATTTGCCCTGGCTTTCTGTGTGTGTTGTATCAGCATCTTAGATCTTTTTGTGGGCAACTTCTACTTCAGTGTTGATACGACACATCTGCCAAGTATGGTACGAGGTAAGCGAAAGATCTATCCCCCCCCCAAACCTACCTGTACTATTTATTCCAGTGGTTTAATTGAGCACTTGGAGATGAATAGGTCATGGGTTCAAACCCTTTACTAAACAATAGCTGTTCTACTGGGCTCGGGGGGGGGGGGGGGGCTCAAATAATCTGACCAAATTTCTTCAAGTTCCCCTATTATGAATTAATTAAAGCAAGGCACAAGTAGAAAATGAATGCAAGTACCCCCTTAGCACCCCCGGTTATTCTTTTTAAACTGTGCAGATTATTATTGTAATTAAGATTTCTATGTGAAACTATTTCCAGAATCAGTCCTTGTCTTTGCAGTCCATAGCTAGGGTAAAGATTTTCCAAATCCATATATTCCCACAAATTTGTCACAATGTCCTCTTTGCTTTTCAGATTTGAATTGTGTCCTTAACCTTTTCGTTTCATTTATATTCAATGTAGGTGCTGTATCGACCCTGCTCGGCTTTGTGAATGTCCTCATCGTTGGAGTTGTCCACTACCCTCTCTTGCTCTGCCTTACTGTGCGGCGCAAACTCTATGGCAACATTGTAGGACTATTATATTCATCCTTTTGGTGAGTCTTAATTAAACGTTCATGAATCTTAAATTCAAAATTTCTCTCACGCTTTATGTGTTGATTTCCACTATCCCAAATACTACGCATTCCATTTAATATTTCTGTGAAAGTCCTAATACTCGAAGCTGTCAAATCTTCACACTCGTTGAATTCACTCATCATTTCTTTCTGAAAATTGACAATCAAGTCACGCTTAAAACATATTTCAACAGATTTGTAAATACTTGCTTGAAAATAGGGCACCATAGTGATATATCATCATCATTGAATTGTTAATTTCTTTTTGTTTTGTTTTTCTTTTATTGTACCAGGAGTTTCTTTTACTACATTGGATTTGTGGATTGTGTGAGAGGGGTAAGTTTAATAGTAAATATGAAATACAGGTGCATGCTTAAAACATACCATTTAATCTATTCCTTTAGGTTCAAAATTTTACCCTACCCCAATAGAAAGAAACAAACAGCGACAACAAATGACAAACAACACAAAAAGAATATAAAATAAACATACCACCACTTCAGATCTGTTTTCATTAATTTCTTGAGAAATAGCTTTAGTTTAGAATTGATGATATTCATTGCCCCTGATTTATGTGGAATTAAGTGGTATCCATCAAAATATTCTGTGCAAATAATCAAATCATTGATTCAACCTTGACGTTAATTATTTAGACACTTCAATTCAATTCAATTCAATTCTTTTTATTCATCCAAATTTTGAAAAATACATGGAAATTTGTTTTGGTCACAAATTGTACCAATATGTAATATATATATGAAAAACTGTATCATTGTGTTTCTAATCATAGAAAACCATCAAAATAAAAGATAGACAAGATAGAAATATTATTATGTTCTAGTATTACACATTGAAAATGATGAAAAGAATAGAACATCAGTGTGAAGTAGGTCTGTGAAGGAAGGAAGGAAGGAAAACCACGCCAAGTCGGTACTTGGGCCCTCATGCTCTTCACTCCATTTGATTGTACAAACGAACGGAGTATGGAATATATGAGCCCAAATAAAAGTATAAAAGTCCCGAAAGATTTACTTTAAGTCAAGTTTCCTGTTAACCTCTGATATCCTTAAGCTGTGAGATGCCTGCTGAAGTAAATTGGGTATATTTTATGTTTTCTGAAAGCATACAATTTTTTCTTTTCCACTGAGTAACAAAATTCATCTCTATTTTGTTAACCTGGCAGGGAAAGTGGTTGTCACCACAAAACATTGTCCGGAACCTGGCTATCTTCCCGATAGATCTCTGCTATATTTACCTCAATTTTAGATTTCTCTTCGGTATCATCTACTACCTTGGGGTTTGCAAGAATACCTGCAGGAAATATCATGAAAGTGTAAGTAAATACCCTTATATATATACCTCTGCTACCTATTAAAGGACGAGTCCACTCGAAAAATAACTTACTTTCAATAAAAGCAGAAAAATCAGACAAACCGATCAAAAAAGGTTTGAGCTAAATCGGATTACTAATAAGAAAGTTATGAATTTTTGAAAAAGTATGTAAAACTATGGAACAATGAGAATCACAACACAAACTACCAAGATGGTTATCAGTTTGTGACGTCATGTCCTCACAACTTCTCAATTGCTTTATATAGTTTAATCACATTGATTTCCCTTTTTATCCCCCAAAACTTGATTTCCCCACGCCTTTGCCCAGCCTTGTATCATATTGTATGCATGACATTTCCCAGAAACTTTTATGAATTTTGAAGAATTGATACTATTTTCTGAATATTGTTTATTCATAATTATTGATTTTTATATAAATAGTTTATCAAAATTCAATTTTTCATGATTTAACTGGACAAAAATTACTCTTTATTTGTGCATCCACACAAAAACACATGACTAACAATCTAACTTGGATGCTGGTGTGAAGAAATAAGATTCTTAGGGTGAAAATAGAAAATTTATATTATCAATATAAAGAAAATAATTAGTGGATAGTGAGGACCATACGTCACAGACTAATGAGTGAGTTGCCAATTTGTGTAGTGATTTTCAAAGTATTTCATGTCATTAAACATTCATAACTTTCTTATTAGTTATCCGATTTTGCTCAAACTTTTTTTGATTGGTTTGTCTGATTTTTTGGTTCTATTGAAAGTAAGTTATTTTTGGAGTGTACTTGGGCTTTAAGTAAAAGCCCTTTTATGCCTTTGCCGTCATGGTGCCAGAGGCATTAATGTGTGTGTGGGTTGTCGGTCGGTCTGTCCGTTCATCCATCTGTCCTACTTTTTGTTGCCATTATAGTAATTTCCCAGAACAAACCGTACATTAAGCATATGCAAGCAAGGGGGAATTTTAATTAGAGAGTAAGTAAGTAAGTAACCTTTTGAACACGTGCAAAAATTGCATGTGATTCTGGGCAATCAAAGAGTAGACGACGTCACAGTCACTAAACCTAGTATGAACTCTGAGAAGTTCAATTTAGTAGTTCAAACTTCAAGATAATATGATTTCTCTAACTTTGTTTGACCTCCTTGGTTTTTTTTTACATGCATCTCTGTTAAATTGTTCAAGATTTTTAATTCATGAAATGATTACATCATGCTTGTCTTTTCTTATGAAATTTTTTTACCATAAAAGAAAGTATCTAGATTAATCATTGATCATGATTTTTTTATTCTTATTTTGTATTTGTTATCACACATTATAATAATCATCTTTTATCACACTGGTTTTACAGAACATAAATAATGAGACCATGATGCAGGATGTAAAATTTGAGAAGACTCATTTTTACAGGAGAGTTACCTTTCTTCTCCAGCCGTCTAACAAGTGGAAAAGGTAAAACCTTATACACAAAATTATAGCAATGCCTTGAAATTGTGAATATGCTTTAGTAATTGTTGTAAAAGTTATGATTTTGCAATTCTTTCTTCATTATGAATTTGAAAAGTTGTAGAGTATGTTTTGTGTGGATGCAAACATCTTCATTGCCACCAGGTTTTTGAACAGGTGTTACAAATGAACTGTCAAGTATTTAATTTTGATTTATAATAAAGGTCAAATGGGAGAGGTCATGGACATGTACACTGTAGATTGAAAACTTGGAGCTATGAACTTGAAAATATGAAACGCTGGAGAAGGGGAGGGGTTGAGGGGGTTAGAGGGAGGGTCATTAGGCAAAGCTCATGCAGGGTTGTACACCCAGCCCCCCCCCCCCCCCCACTCAGGGAAAGGAGGGACCGCACTCATGTTCCCAAAATCTCTGGTAAAGGGGTACTTTTCACGCAACAAAGTCTGGCTCGTAATATACACAAAATCGGCCCGTATTGACTTCACACACCGGACTTAGGGGGTGCTTTCAAAGGGAGGGAACATGCATACCAGTACACGTACCCTAAATAACACTGACTGGGGGGGGGGGGGGGTCGTACATTAAACCCTGATAATCCTGCTTTTGCAGACATATTAAATTTATATAAAATGTAGGTTTTTGCTTGGCACTAGGTTGGAACCTGTACTTCATTTCATCATCACTGCATGTAATTTTTGTATTTTTTTTAAATTTCCCACAAGAACATGGTACTTATAATGGAAGGGATTCTTATACCCTTGCACAGTATAATGTAGGTTGACATTTAGCTGTTTTTTTCTCTCATCAAAACCCTCTGCTTTTTATCTGTTTACATCCTCCTGCATGCCTATCACTTGCTCATTACCATGGCAACATAACAGCTCCCACCCATCACCATCCCGCTTCATGCTGCTTGTGAGGAAACTGTATCCTTCATATCCAGGTATTGTCTTGAGATGCAGAAGATTATTGGATTATAAGTAATTGCATTATTTGTCAATTAGCGTCATTGGCCTTGTTCACAATTGATTTCATTAACCGCCTCAAGAAACAGCTGCATTAGAATTAAATGACATAAAGCATTGTGCACCTCACATTCATGCATCTTTGAGGAGGCGATTGTGGCGTGATTGGATTGATCGTTGTCTGGCTCTCATGACTTTTGTAATTTTGCATTGATTCGTAATTGGGAAGGGTGCGGAAAATGAAGCTTTAATTTGATATTGTGCAATATACTGAAAGGGAAATATTTCTTATTCCTACATATTTGTATTCTACATTCATTCAGCTTTCCATTGATATAAGTTGCATTATCATTGGATAGGGCCTTTAAAGCACAAAAATCAGAGAAGCATACTGGTGAAAGTTTGAATGAAATCAGACAAAATATGAGAAATGGGTAGTTAATTGTCTTTGAATTGGTATAAAACGATTATGTGTTATGTAATTATCTCATTTTACTGTTTGCAGGTTTCAAGTATTCCAGACGCATTGTCTGCACCATCACTCTGAGTTTGCTCTGCTTGTATGAGGTGAGATGTAATGGAGTATAACCTGTCCATCTGCTCTCTCTTTTATCTGCCCTCATCTAAATTGTTCTATTTTGTTTACCGTATATATTAAGTATCTTTGTATTATCCAATTACCATTGACTTTTATCTTCTGTGTGTGAATATGTATATACAGGTGTATAATGAAATTTCTCTGATTCATTCCAACTGACTTCTCTGTCACATGTTTTTTTCTTTCTTTTTTTAGTTTGGCTTGCTGTACACCATAGTATTCTCATCGTTTATGGCGGAACTGAAAGATGCCTTTGTGTTGCCTGAAAATAGCCCCCTCTTTCTTGCCATAGACGCCGCAAATGTATCCTCTGTCTACTTCAACTCGAGGGATTTCATAGTGACATTAGCAGGTATGGTTTTTTTCATTGGCAAAACGAAAGGCAATGTGAAGACTGTTGCGATACCATTTCTATCTTGAACTGGATACAGCTCATTGATCTTTCTTTATATGATTAAAAATTATTCTAATTGTGATCTATACAATATTTTTCATGATATCTGTAAAATTATAATTCTGTATTTCCAGATAAGATCCTGCTTTATTAAGTGTGCTATGAAAAAAAAACTTCTACAGATCTTCGTGATAGGCTGCATAGCCATTTGAAGATTAACAGAAGAAGAAGAAGAAGAAGAAGAAGAAAAACAGTGTATGATGCAAAATGAGTCCAGTTGGGTTGCAAGAGAATGAACAAACCCTAATTTACGGGAACATGATATTTCATACAGTGGTTCATTCACTTGACTCTTAAATCCCAGGGTGTAGGGTTCAAATCCCAGCTTGGCACTAATGTCCTTTAGCAAGATATTTATCCACATTTACCACTCTCCACCAAGGTGTAAATGGGTACCTAGCAGTTGCCAGGGTAATCGGCGTGACAGGAAGAACAGTTTATTGCTGATGAGGCATCCCTGGGTAAAGAAAAGTATCGTTATTACTATTATTCTCTAATGGTCACATCTATGAAACAATATGATACTATACATATAAATGCAGTTGTAATAATGACAATCATAATATAAAGCACTTATAACAGTTACACCCAACCAAAATGTTTACAGTATTATTATCACCCCGGTCACTGAATTAAATTACTATTCCGCACATTACAGTGAACATTCTCCACTCCCTGGGATGCCCACATGCTATTCCAATCATATTAATTTAGCACCTGAATGGAGAGGAGCATATAGATGACATGCCTTGCTCAAGTAAAGTTTACATGTAATTATCTGGTCACCCTGACTATTTTAGCGATAGTTCCATTTTGCAACATAACTTGGGCGACATTTGTTTCTCATCTAGTACCATGCAGGACTGCAATTTTAATTTTGAATCATCTGTTTTTTCTTCCTCAAGATACCTTGATGCCTACATCTTTAATATGTTTGATTTTCATGGCAGCATCAACCATTCATGTCCTCATAAATTATAGGTAAGTGACCTTTTATCTCTGTTCCTCCTCTCCACCCGGGGGCGGTATTCTGAATATTGTTGTATCTTTTGTGTTATCTTCCAGAGAAGTTGGTTCTGGGCAAGGAAGATTGTCGCCATGAAATTACCATGAAAGATACAACAACCCCCTTCCTATTGTAAATATTGATGTAAATACCATGCAAGATAAGATAAGGTAAAAGATACAACAATTTCAGAATACAAATTATCTTGTCATATTATCTCTCGTGCGCATATGCAAATGAGGATTAAGCGCCATTTTATTAATAATATGCACAATTACAAGCGCACAAAAGTTTGAGCGCAGGCGCGGCCAAAGAGATGAGAGAAAAGATACAACAAAAGATACAACAAAAGTTACAACAAATTTACAACAATTTTTAGAATACCAACTTTATTTTAACTTCAAAGATACAACAATATTAGAGATAACACAGGGTTCAGAATACGGCCTCAGATGTTAAATGTACATCCGGTAGGATGCTAGAGTCGTTATAGTTTGTTCAGCTTTGTGGGCATCTTTAAGATGGTGCCTAGATGGATTACTCCATAGGGAGTGGAGAATGTGCATATTCTGAGTGGTGTGGTGTTTTTGTCTCGCCTGCGTATAGCAAAAAGCGAGACATAGGCGCCAATTTTCCGGTGACGGCGGCGAAGGCGGTGACGGGGTCAATATCAAAAACTTTACCTAAGGTTAAGTTTTTGAATTTTTGATATAATTTTGAAAGTATAAGTTCTTAGTCAATGAAACTTGGACTATAGGGTTATCAAGTCTCCCCAATCATGTGAGTAGAATTTCAGGTCATTTTAGGTCAGTAGACTTGGATTATGTTTTCATAACTTGATATGAGAATTAATAAATCATTTCTTTTTATTGATTTGTTCATATTTCATTCAAGTTATCGATCATGGTACAATTACTAGTAAATAATTCTTCTGATGATTCTTAGTCAATATTTACTTAAAAATGCTGATTATATTTAGAGGATTTCATTTTTGGGGCCTGCTAATGGACCACCCTGCCTATGAATAATGTTCCAACCTCAATTTTTCATCATATCGAATTGCGTAATGCAGGCGAGACTGCCGAGAGCATTTCCCTTGTTAGATTTATATGTCATGTTGTCAACTCTGATTGTTACTGATTTCTTTTTTAGAAGTTATATATCCAACTTGTTCTTAATTGTATCTGGTAAAATAACCCAACACTGTGCCCCCCCCTTCTCTCCAAGGGACGGACAATTACCCTACCCCCTCCCTAGGAAAACCATGGAAGGCTCCCTTGAGTTAGTTATGAAAAGTTTTTTGTGAGATCTCATGAGAGGGTAGTTGTCTGGGGATAAATTTTGTCTTAAAGATGGTAGAAAACAAGATTGTTGTTATCGAAGCGTAGTTCATCTGTGTCTGTTTTTGTGTTTCCTTTTCTCGTCACCAATCAGGAATAATACAGTGAGGATGTGGGGAGGAGACAGGTCTTCTTTCCCAGTTCAAGCATATTCATATTCCTCAAAAGTGGTAAGTTGCTTGGAACGGATATATATTTTGCTGGATGATGTCAAACAATGATGATGAAAATGATGATGATGATTATGTAGATGATGATGGTGATGACGATGATGAATGCTGGTGGCGTTGAAGATGATAATGATGATGATGATGATGATGACGATGATGATGATGATGATGATAATGTCATGATGATGTTTATGTACATGATGATGAAGGTATGGTGAATGGTGGTGGCGATCGATGATAATGATAATGGATTTGATAAAATTTGATTTTGATGGTGCTTTTGCTAGGGCATCAAATGAATTGTCTGTTTTGATAAAATAAGTTGATTCCTTATTTCTGTTTATCAATAAGTTCTTGTAAATATGGAAATTGCAGAATAGTATCTCAAATCTCAAATGTTGCCATTAATACATGCACATTTATGGCTGATATTAATCTGTTTCAGGTTGCAAATCTGACTTACTCTGGATATCAAATAGCATATTGCATATGGGGTGAGTATTTTTTGTAGAAAACAATCCATATCGTTTACTGAACTGGAAATGGATGGATATAATTTGGGCTTGTTGGTTATAAAGTTTGAAAGAAAATAGTAAACATACATGTATCACAGGAAGATAAAAACATTCTAAAAACCTAATCACTAATTATAAAATATTTAGCTGATAATCTTTGGGAAAAAAAGTCTTTAAATCTTGGTAAAACACAATCTCCAATGCTAGAATATGTCATGGATAAATATATTTTACTAACATTAGAGTTTTAAAGCTTTGAAGATACCAAAGATTTCTTTTTTCAAATAATATGCATTAATTAGCACTGCTGTGTGAGAGATATAGTGGCTGAAAATTTATCAGGGTTTAAAAAAAAATTATTGTTTAGAATCTTTAAAGAATGCAGTGCACAATTCAACTACATACAGCATTAAGTTGAATAACACTTTAAGAGAAATCCAACCCAAATAGACGACTACTCCAAAAGAAAGCAGAAAAATTAGAGAAGCAAACTGATGAAAGTTTCAATTAAATCTGACTAAATATATGAAAGTTATAAATGTTTGAAAGTTGTAATCATTATACGTATGGGCACTTCAAATTGGCTTAAGCGGTAGCGTGAATGTGATGTATGCCAGACTACTTTCCCATCTGTTCCAACATATAAAATGACTAAAATTTGAATTTTTCAAATATTCATTGCACAGGAAGGTCTATTCTTTTTAGAGAACCTATAATGATATGTTATCTGTAATATATGTGAGTATTTCCCCAAGAGAGAAAGAACTTACGAGAAAAACAGAAATTAATGATATTTTTGTACACAACAAATGGGAGAGTTATCCACGTCCTACGTCACGATTCACTGACTAAACTACTAATTTGAGATTCGCATAGACTTAGTGATCTCATATGTGTATTTTTCTGATACTGGAGAGATTTCACCATGGATATTTCAGATCCAAGTATAAAAATAAAAGAGTATTCTATGGTGATAATTTTGTCCATGTCTTAATGCAGATATGTAGTGGAGATAACTTAAATAATGTTGTGTTTCAAAACCCCTGGTTTAAATTTTTATGTAAGGTGAAACCCATTTTTTTGCCCTATTTAGGACACCAAAACGTGACATGAAAAAACCTAGTTCCTGGTAATGGGTATTCTCTAAATTTGTATGACTATCTGATCTTCAATTATTGTCTGGTAGTAAGTGCTGAATCTATTTATGCTCATGTCATTAAAAATCTTAGGTTGCGTGGCAATTTTTTTTCATAATCACAATATTTCACATCTTGTAACAGTTGTTATGCATGGTGTCCACCATGTGACACGCGTTCCATTTGGTGCTTCTGCATGATGAATGCACATTATATTAACAACTTTGACAATTCCCAGTTTATTTCTTGGAAGAACTCCATGGATCAAATCAATTAAAAAAAGATGAAGCTTGAAATGTAATAGTTAAAAAAACAACGCATGTTTGAAATTCTAAAAATTCTTTGGTGTCCACCCTAGAGGACTGGGTGATGAATGTTATATGGCATTGTGCATTCTCATGAAAAATGAAAACAATTAAAAAATAATTGTTCTAAAGTTATTTTCTTCTTCAAGGAGAACATACAGTATCACTATCAATCAATAATAATAATTATGTAAGTAAGAATATCAATTCTTAAAGTTTGTGTAACGGTTGTTATGGTGGACACCAAGGTTTTTGATTAAACTGACCATGGAAGTACATGTGTCATTCATAATTTTTATAACAGAGCTAGCAACTATTCAAGTTGGTAATTATGTCTCACTTCACAGCAAATACACAATTAATAACATTCTCTAAAAATGAACCATATTTAGGCAGATTTTAGAGGGTTTCATTTTTAAGCATTCATGTCACACTTTCATTACCCAGTATTGTAAAAGTCTACTTCCTTACTATTGGTCCAATTCATTTCAAATTTTTGCCATTCTGCTTCTATTATTTTTCTGCTTTCATACAAATCAACTTATTACAAGGGTTAGATTGCCCTTTAAAGTTATCATAATGTGCTTTCTTTTGTGCCTGTTCCAGGATTCATCGTACTCCATCTCGTCTTATGGGTGGTGGTGGTGGTCGTCTGGTACTTCATCCTTGGTCCCTTAATCAACAATGTTAGACGGGATAATGTCATTCTTCAACTCCTTCGTGATTATTGGTAAATAAACCCTTAGCTTACAGGAACCTGGTGGTCCCCTCGGTTAAGCCTATAGGACCTATAGAATTCAGTGGTAAATGGGTTAACAAGTATATTCAGAAGACTATACCAATGGGAAAATAACTTATCAAGATAGTAAAGATATTCACTAATCCCATGTCCTAAAAATATGGTTCTATTGTATTTCCAAAGTATTTCTCTTTCAACAGTGACACAATTTGCGTTCTGGATGTGTCTTTTATCGTGCCAAAGTATTTATCTAAGCTATCATCTTAAATTTCATTTGATTTCCATGATATTTTGATCATGTGGTTCTACTGCCTTTAGACTTAAATAATGCTTTTATAGGCCTTAGCCTCACTATTAGCCCATTCACATACCCACATTTTACTAAAGATATGATTCCTAGCTGCCTTGCAACAGCCACTCATTGTCAATAATTATCTGCAAAAAGTTTCAACTCTTCTCTTGATGTTTGACTTGCTTATAACATCATCAGTTATTGTTCCCCTTGTAGATACACTTGCATAATCATTGACTGAGCAATGAAATCATATACCAGTACATGTATATTGAAAATAAATGATTGTAATTTTTTTCCTTGACGTTCGTTTCAGGCTGGGTCTTGTGATCACTTACATTATTTACTACAGCCAAATCTTGGCCTCAAGACTTTTCTTCTTGCAGAAATATGGCAAAAACTTTGGCATCAATAACAGGTGAGTCTTAATAATATACTTAACTGTAACAACATTTTCCTTCATTAATAACAATAATGACAATAACATCAGTTTTATTTATAGCGCTTTACCATTAATTGACTAAGTGCTTACAGTATGATAATTACCCTGGTCCCTGGATTTAATTTCTATTCTGCTCATTATAATACACATTTTCCACTCCCTGGGGAGCATTTCAGCTAGTTGCCTTTTTAAGGTCGTGCACATGCTAATCCATCCACAATGATGTTTGCATCCTTTCAGGTACCCAATTAACACCTGAATGGTCAGGACTGAGGAGCAGTGTAGATGAAATGCCTTTCTCAAGGACGTAATTGCTGTGCTAGGGCTTGAACTCATGACCTTTGCATTACCAGTCAAGTGATTATACCACTTGACCACAACACCTCTACATGATTCTGTTTGCCATTTGAGGCTTTGAGACTAACCTGTAAAATGATTTTAAAAAGCTAGCATGGATACAATTTCAACCTATCTGTGTCTCTTGTGATTCAGATTGTTGTGTGCAAAAATACAAATATTGAAATTAAATTAATGATTAGAATCTTCGAATTGTCAAATAGTAGAATTTGGATTAATTTTTCACACATTTATCGGCAGTGTTTTGCTACATTACGTGATTTCCTTTCTTAAAGGTTCTCATATGAAAGTAAGAGTGAGTGAAAGAAAATAAATACAGGTTTGTTAAAGGGATATCTGCCACTTTTGTTCCATACAGGACGACAGGTGTAGGAAATGGGTAGCATGGTGAGAAGAAATTCCCTGGGCGCTTTGAAACCTGCTCCTCCGCTTGGCTGAAGCTGTGAAAATAATGATGCTATATGTACAAAAAAAATATGATGCACCATGTTATCATTATGTAATATGTATATATCATTATTGTGATAATGATTGGTTGTCTTTTTTGCATTTTTCGACAGGCGTTCGTACCACAACATGGTTTACTTCACACTTTTTCTCAACGTCCTTGTCGGATTTGTGTCATGCCTCCTACGTGTCCTCAAGGCTCTTTTATTTGGTATCTTTCTGGTTGGACGTGTTGACTACTGCCTCATGTACCCTGGTCTTGAGTTCTTTGATAAAGGTAGGAAATGGTGTAAAATCAAAACATGTTACTTTTCCTTAAAGTGACTCCGTAACATTGCCTCAGAATCTGAAACAAAATCCTGGGTTTAGCTCATGCTGCAATCATAATAATAAACCTTTCGGTCAGTCAGGAACCCAATGGCTTTTACAATTTCATTTTTCGTTTTCCTAAAGTTTTTTTATAATTACTACAGTCTATTGGTAAAACCGGTCACTCAAAGATTTTTACTTTGTTGAGGCACTTAATCATGATCATTTTGAAGCGCAATTTTTTAGGGCTTCAATTACACCACAGACACTGATATCACGTAGGGCCATGCATCTCAGATTTAACATTGTTAAACGATGCCTTTATTTTAATGTCCTGATGGGACTTGCATGCCTTGTACGTATCCTGAAGGCTTTTCTATTTGGTGTCCTCCAGTTGGGACGTGTCGACTATGGACGACCTATAGAGTTTTTTGATAAGGCTAGGAAAACAAGTCTAACTCAAGCAAACCTAATCCCCTATGTCTAGGCTGGACTTTCAAAATTTGAGAGATCAATATAAATATTGCTAAACAATAAATATATCACAAACTTGGATTTATGCAAACATTTCTTGCCTAGAAAGTGGCCACCAGTAACATTGTGCTATTTTTCTAGTTCGACTGCAGGACCTAAGTGTAGATGCTGTGGTGTATTTAAAAACAATGTGCTTGGTACATGTATACATATGTTACAGTGAATGCTCAATCTGGATATCTTGCAGTAATCTTCTTGTTAATCTCCCCCTCTCTCTCTCTCTCTCTCTCTCTCTCTCTCTCTCTCTTTTTTAGGTTACAGGGCTTATGTGGGATTCTTAGAGCTTGAGGTCATTCATACTCATCCTGTCATCGTGACCTTCTGCCATTGTCTCTGGCAAGTCGCTCGGACGGAGAGTGACCGCAGATCTGCCCTGGAAAAGACTGAGGATGGTGAGTACCATATAAAATCCACTCCCCGAAATAATGATTCCATGAATTGTGTGATATCGCATGACATCAGTGTTTTCTCCAGTAACTTCATCAACAGATTAAAAAAAAAACTTAAATGTGAACAGTCTGCAATGGTTCCTTCTAGTTTCTTTACATATTTAGTCAATGGCTATATCAAGAGGTTTGTTTTCTTATGAACTGAAATGGATACTAGACTTGCTTCATTTTGGGACACATTTCTCACAATCACCCAAAGCTGAAAGCACCAAATGTATTTTGGTGTTGCCATACTTGCGCTAACAAGAGTGATTGCTCCATGTTTTGTTTCGTCAAAGTTGAGGTATAGGTAATTAGGTTTAGGGTTGCAATTGTTTTTATGATAAACTTCAGGGTTATGATAAGGGTTTAGATATAGTGTTTGATGGTTCAGGCTTTAAAGCCCCACTGCACTACTTATGGCTTCTTGCGCCCTCTATATAGCAAACATTGCCTAATCGGTGACCATTGATCTCCCATGATCCCCTCTTTCTTGAGTTGATTTGATGAGATAACCACCTGTCAGTTACCATGCACGGAGGTCTAATCCCTCCTGGCCAAACTAGTGCAGTGGGGCTTTAAGATACAAGCTAGTCCAAATGTTGGACATTTTCTTCAGAGCTATTTTTTGAGGGAGCATGTTTTGCTGAACCTGTCTCTCTGTTTGAAAAACACAGATTATTTTGCTTTGTATATTATCAAAGTTGAATGTCAGATGATGTCTGTCTCTCATGTAAATGTGTGCACTTCTTGGGTGCACATTTGTATTAGTATTTACAAATAAACACTTTTATTCTTGCGTGCTCATTGCCACTATACAGAGCATCAGGTATTGGAAAGGAGACGTAGGAAGGTGGTACGGAACAAGTGGCAGCTGGGTTATACCCTCGTGAGGAATCCCATCCTTCTTCGTGACAGACTGTCGAACCTCATCGGGATTCAGGGAGAGAGGGAGACTGGCATCGGGAACGGGGGATTCACCATTGAGATGGACAGTGTAGAGGTAAGATCCCACCACTTTGTGTGGTTCTATTGGAAGGTGCGGTACATTCTCCCTAGTACTCCATTTTGTGAGATGCATCCTAGTGTAGGTGCAATTGTAGGTGTTTCCCACACTAGATGGCTACAAAGGGGTATCAGCATCAAGGGGGCCAACTAGATCTGATTTTATTGTGCTTTCATTAGGCCAAATGCATAGTATCCAGTACTGTGAAGCTAGATGTGTTGTTTTACCATAACAATAAATATGCATGTATATGTATAGTAATATGGCCTTATTTACCCAGGCTAGCGACATCAGTATTGAAACTGCTCTTACTGCCAAAAAAATGAACACAAGACATCTGACACAGATCATAAGCAAGCATGGAATGGTATGGCTTGCCATTTACTTTGCATGAAAGAAGACATTATTCTTAAAATAACACTTGATTAGTAACCACCAGTTGAACAATGAAAGAGAGGAAGACTAATAATAACATGGAGGACAAAATCAGATAATGACCTAAAAGATAGAAATATAACATGGTACTATTAGCTTAATCAAAAGCCCAAGACAGAACCCAGTGGAGGAAACTTGCAGATCAATGTTCTCCTCAGGAAGGAGCAACCTAAGGTCTGAGGTCTTCCTGCAGGTCCCACAATGATTATTACCTTGTCATTGTCAGGTACCCTTTTAAAAGACACCTGGGTCTAGAGGGACAAATGTGGGTAAAATACCTTGTCCAAGGACATGAGCACCTCGCGAGGATCAAACCTGAGATGTCTCATATGAGAGACAAGAGCCCTTCACCAACCGTGCTTCCGCCATGAATACACAGGCAAAGTCTGAATAAGGCAACAAATTCCATTACTATTCAAGAAATATCTGGGGATTTATAAAAGGTGGAAATGTCCTTCGAAACAGTGAAGTCTAGTCTGTTTTTGTGTAAGAGTGCATCATGCATTTCCCCATCTGGCGTTAATCCCGGGGGAGGGGGGACAGGGGGACATCATACCAAATGTCCCCCCATGTTTTGTCAGAAAAGAAGAGGGGCAACCAGAGAGCAACGATTTTGTATACAAAATCTCAAGAATTGGCCCCCCCAAAATAGTGCCTCTTACCCCTTCCACTCCCCCTCTTATTCACTGGTTGGTTGATTCGCCGCTAAATATTTCCTAACAAATTGGGGGGGGGGGGGGGGGGAGTTATTGTGTCCCTCCCATGCTCAAGCTCGGATTGACGTTGATCACCTGTTAATTGCATGGATGGAAATTCTGCAAAAGACCGTCCTATATGCTTTAGGGAATCAGATGGTCGTTTTATCAATGAAAAGTAGAGAATTCAGTATCACATGGGTCAATTGATTTTTTATTACAACATTTAATTTGAGACATCTTTTCTGTTGTTGTGTTACAGGGGACCACAAATCCACTTTGTTCCTCAGAAGAATATCAAGCGCTTGAGATGAAGCCATCCAACAGAGGTAGAGGGCAGCACCGGAAAATTCAAGATCTAGTAGCCATGAAGGCTGAAGAGTGCACTGGTGAAGCGAGGTCCCTGGATTCCCAAGGCGAGGGTATTACCCCACGGGACTATTCATCTACAGAAAGACACCATGAAGAGCCTGAAGGCCATGATGAGAACGATTTTTCATCCTCTAGAATTCAGGAGCCATCTATAGGGAAAGGAATTTCAGCAGGTAATATCCACATTGGACAATGTTCACCATGTACAGGACATTGCAATACACAGAGTAATGTAAAAACGGGAAACGCAAATCCTGAAGAGAATATTCATGATCCGTCCAGGGGTATGGTAGATGTAGGCCTAGATGAGGGATTTAGAACACTTGACAGTAACGACCCTGGTACAGACACTTTCTGGCAGGCTAACCCCAATGTTCATCATCGGCCTGACCACTTGAACCATATTGAGGCAATAGAACTGCCTGTGGATGATTGTGTTCAAAACCCTGAATCAAACAAGAATAAAGGCTTGAAGAGTTCAGGGTGTAGAGGCCAGTTGGATGAATCTGATGGAGATGAAGATAGAGAGGGTGATTTCCTGGAGAGCAGTCAGATCAGTGTCTTCAGCAACCAAAGCTTTGAGGACCTCCTCGAGACCAGCCTCGATCCCGACCACATTGCGGACTGCATAGAACAAGGCGTTGACCTCGTCAGCTACGTCGAGGAAGAGATGTGGAAGAACTTGCTTCATGAAGGCAGCTCAACCCTCAAGAGAGTGAAGCAGGAGGAGCAAAAGACACACCACCCAGTGGTAGAGGAAAAGAATGGAGAGGTCCCGAAAAAGGACAGCACTGCTGAGATAAGCGAAAGAAGTACCAAACATCTTGAGGAGTAAAGAACCCTCAAGGTTGGGAAGAATAAAAATATAGACATCACTGGTAAGGACAGCATGCAGGGGTTGAGTGATGAAGGCACAGCAAAGCAGGAGGAGCAGAGGACACATAATGTGGAAGAGGAAAACAATATCAAGGACCCCGGTAAGTACAGCACTGCTGAGGTGAACAATACAGGTACCAAGAAGGGACCTTGTGGTAAAGATGTTGGTAGTATCGAAGTGATGATATTGAAGGATGATGAAACAGACTGAAAATTCTTGGCTATGAGATTAGGTGAAGGTGTCACATTAATTTTTGAGAAAAACAAAATGAATTGTTTATAATTGAATCAAAATGATACGTGTAAATGTTATGTATTAAATTCCACAAGCGGCTTAATTAGATGGAATCGTGTACAAAGTAAAAGCAATACAATTTTCAACTGGTGTTTGAGGTAGCTGTAACATCATTTACATGTAAATTGATGCCTTTCCATATCTCAGCTATGAATCATGTACTCAATTTTGTACACACTACATGTACTTCTTTCATAAATGTAATGCTTCCTGGGAGAAATTCAATTGTTTTAAACACATTTTTGGCTTACAACCAGTAAATACAGATCACATGCTCTATCTATAATTAAAAACAAATCTGACGTGATGTTTATTCACTGGGTGTAAGCCAAGAATGTGTAAACATTTACTTCCTTTTTGAAAGTGCAATTCTTTTCCTGCCCCTTTTTACCTTTCTACTACAAATGTTAGAAGTAAGAATAACAACTGCGTGTGTTTTAGCATGGTACGGTTCTAAATGTTTACATACGTTTAGGTTGTTATACAACATATGTGTTAAGGATGAATGCTGAATAGTTGTGTAATAATTTTTTTGTTAAAGATCACCTTGTATTCATGTATTCATGGTTCAGAGAAAGAAGCAACGGCCCATTTCTCGACACCGTCAAAAGTCTAACATCTTGGACATCTCATAGAATCGTGTGTTATAGAATTCACACACATTTCTATGGGATGGTTACGAATTTAGGCCTATGGAGGTTTCAAGAAATTGGCCCCAGGCTGAAGCACCTTTTTCTGAAATAAATGAACATTTTGGTTCATATGAAAAGTTTAAATTTAAGACAAATATTTTTATGTTAACGATTTACTATTCTCCGCTTGTCTTTCATTCACTTCAAAGAACAACTTCAACTTGTGTACTAGATGATATTTTTCTACTATATATCTGAATATCTTTACTGTCATGTCTTTCATTTTTTAAACGTTCAAAATCTGCTGAAAAATATGATAAGGCATACATGTATTTAAAAGTCTTTGTCGGGATCTGTGAACTGTATCATAAAAAAGAGTTTAGTTTTTGTTTTATTGTTTATTGTTCATTATTTTGTTTGTGACTGTCATGAAATAATGATGAATTGTTTGGATATTTCAAACTATTGTGAAATATTTATATATATATTTATCCTATGTGAAAGAATTCCATGGAAGATTCATGCGATGTGAAACATACTCCCGAAATGTATGACATCAAACAGAGTATATCCTTTTATTGTGACTGAGCAATGTGATCATCATTGAGGTTAGCCCCACAATTTAAAAAATTTCTTAAATTTCATGTCATTATTAATTCTGATTAATTTGGTGATTTAATGTTATGCTCAGCCTTATAAATATTATACTTGTGGGACGCGTGGTCCACGGTTTAAATTATAGCCAACAAAAATGAAGAAGTTGAGACGCCATGGTGAAGTGCAAATGAAGTTTATTTCGTTTATAAATAAAAACGGAAAACGGAAACCCCTGCATTGTACAGAAAAATAAAACAAAAGCATCATAAGTACAATAATCACATAATTAAATCATGCAAGTCATCATTTGGATTAAATTTCTGTAGACAAAATGCAATACAGTTCAGTTCAGTTCATATACATCGAAATGCAATTAAGAAACCAAGAAATAAAATACATAGTATTCAATATTATCTGTAAATGCATGTATAGATATCAAATAGTCTTAACTACAATAAATTGCATACACAACATAAATAATCCTACGCAACTCACCCTAGACTAAATGTCACACGGGTAAGAAAAAATCATACGTCATCGTCAATTGTAGCTTTGTAGCGTAGTTTGTAACCTCAGTAACCTCAACTTACGCCTCAGCGGCTAAAGTAGAAAAAAACATGAAACATCAATTATATACTATGGACTTTTACATTTAAATCAGTATTTGTTGTAAAAATCCCCATGATATATAAACCGAGTCTGATGCTTACAGACTACTCATCAATCCCGTAAATAACAGAAGAATACATTTAACATGCCTCGGTACGTTTCTACCGTACAGTGAATAAAACATCTCATTACATAATATACAATTAATGAACAGACTCGTATATTACGGCATCATAAACACTGGTAGCAAAGTAAAACTCAATAGCATCAAATATATTCAATTATCTCTACATACCTGTTTAAATGGTGCAACACAAACAGGCTACATTGACGGCAAAACTTAAGCGTGTCGGAGTAAATGGAGACAGACCAGCATCGCTTAAAACAAGTGAACGAATGTCCGCTATATAAAATACCCATCAGGGCCTTGCCTGACATAGCGCGCATTCGTAAGGACTACTTTTCGAGCATGAATGCACATCCTTCTGAACTAAGTATAATGATCAAGTTTAGGATAGAACAATAAAACATACATGAGAAAATATCATAATTTCATTACGGTCCATTTAACTTTACCTACAAACAATTTATAGATAAATAATCAAGGGACTACTTTGTCCTTAACGTAAGTACACAGACCCACGTGACCATTAAAGTAATGAGGCTTCGGGTCTGACACGTATGTTTTAAATTAGACACACCCAATATGCTGTACGGTGTTCTTAAATAAAAAACCAAGTTTTGTAATGGTAAAAACGAGTTTAGTCACTACATACTTCTTTAGTTTTTAAAAATTAAAGATGCAGAGTTTTTTGCGTCACCAGTGAAATTGTGGATTCTCTTCAGTGACAAGCGTAGTTACACCATTTTCTTTTAGTCTGTTGAGCTTGTATTTTTATTGGAGCTCCAGTTCAGTAGGGAATGAAAGAATCTCTGTCATCCTAACCCTCTATAATGATAAAATATAAGCCTTGCACAGGAGTGCTTGACTTACTTGACTTAAGCCGTCCACACCATCACTGGGATGTACATGTATGATGGCTTCTGTTTCACCTTCCTGTCTTCTGTTAGGCTAGTGCCTTTAGTCAGGGAGTCAACTTGTCTGCTTTTGCAGTCCGCCTTGATGCAGTCTGTCCATCTCTTAGCTGGTCTTCCCCTTGGGCGTTTGCCATGTACATTTCCGTTGAGAAGGATGTGGGGGTATCTTTTTGAATTTATTCGGTTGATATGTCCAAAGCATCTCAGTCTTTTTGTGGCAACCCTGTCGATGATGGTTTCTTCCACAGGAGTGCTTGGTGTACAAATTAAGATCTCCATGAACTGTTTTCATCCTTTAATCTCTATTATGTTTGTAAACAATATTGGAGTGTAGGATGTATGAGCTGTTTCTATGTTTTTACATGGTAAATCAATTTCCTTCCCTTAATTAGAGGGCAATTCCAGGCTTAAAGTCAGCTTGCAGGGATCATAGGTTACATTTTTTTTCACTACAAAAAGTATTTTACCATGCCTATGGCTACTCTACTTTGATAAAGAACTCATGTTTTCTTGCTTGTATGTACCTTATGTGATACATAATTTCTTTAATTGCCATAAAGAATCATATGGAATTGATACTGTCTGTCAGTGTCTCTTATTTTTGTGCTTTTACCCAAAGCAACCTGTATGGCCTGAACTTGAAGACAAAAATAAATGCTTAGGAACGCCGAAATACCATTTTAAAGTTATATTCGACCATTCAAGCTCATTTTCACCTGTGCACTTGTTTGAATGAACCTTTCATTTTCTTTAAAATGTTTTTAATGACTTCTTGTAACTTGTTTGTGCTCATAGCCCCCTGTTTTTATCTGTTCTTCTAAGTTTTCTCTAAGTTCTATATTAATCAAATAATTTTAGGGGCTGGACTGAAAGAAGAAAGGGAGGCATATATGGGAAGGCTAAGTTTTTTAGATTTTTAATTTGTATATTTATTTTGTATTATTATTTGTATTCATTTATTTATTTATTATTATTATTGTTATCATTATTTGTATTAATTTTTTTTTTTTTTTTTTTTTTTTTTTTGGTTGGTTTTTTTTTTTTTTTTTTTTTTTTTTTTGCTTGTTTGTTTGTTTTTTGTTTTTTTTAGGGGGGTTGGGTGACCTTTTTTATTACATCTATTTTTATAATATCCTTAACAAACATACATGTACATGTATTCTATTACCTGGGTTTTCTAGTAAACTATTAAACTAATAAATTTGAAAGTGAAATTGAAATTGAACTATTCATTGTACTTTTTTGTGAAAGTAAATGACATGTTTTTACATGTAAATGTAATTAATGTTAAGAAAACACTGTTGTTATGATCTTAAATTAATTAACAAAAGCCACAAGTCTTGTATAATGTGCAATGATAAAGAAATCTATAAATATTTCTTTCTAAAGGGACAGGTGAAGTAATACTATATTTTCAATTGTAATACTTTTCACTTCGATACATTTTGGAATACTAAATTAAATATCCCTTTTTTAAAATCATATCTTGTTAGAGGTTTTATTAAATTATGTGTTGTTGGAGGGCAGTTTTCCTTTCTTGAAAATCAGATAATTGTCCAAGTGTAGAATAGAATGATCAGAGAAAAATTCTCCTGTTATAAGAATAATTGCAATTAAACAATTCTTCTGCAATAGTTTTATACAAACATGTCAATATATGAAATTATTGAGTTTGATAAATACGCGGGAGAACAGAGAGATAAAGAGAGATGCCCGGGGAAGGGAGGGGGGAGGGGGGAGGGGGACTGGTAAGGGATACTGAGGGAAAAAGAGGGGGGAGGGGATGCGAGTAAGGTCTATCTGGAGAAGGGATGAAGTCTCGAAAAGAGATAGAAGGGGGTGAAGAAAGAGAGAGGGGGTGATAAGAGGACGAGTGAGGTGGACTGGATACGGAATCTCGGAGAGATGGAAGTGAGACACGCAAGGTTTTTTTATGTGTGTATTTTTTAGCAAAACGCCCCCCTTTGTGATTTTTTTTTTTTTTCATCAATTTAAAAAAAAAAAATTATGCCAATGGTTGACCTAAAAAAGACTTTTTTGGGGACCCCCCCCCCAGAAAAAAGTGTCCTCTTACCCCCCCCCCCCCCCACCACTTATTCAGCGGCTGTCTGAGTCGTTGCGAAATTTTCGGCCCGATTTAAAAATGTTTAACCCCCCCCCCCTTGCAAAAAATCCTGCGTACGCTACTGGAGGATGCTTCATTATTGGACATGTAAATATATATTACTTAGCGCTAAATATAGTGCATTCAGCATGAATAATATTTAAAGAGGATACAGTGAAACTAAAACCCAATAATGTTTCTTTGCGTAATATCCGCGCGCAAACCATCGAAACTGTAATATATATTTGAATGATGTCCGGTTTCCTACGTAAGTGTTTTATATCCGCATTTAATTTCAAATTAATTTTCATTTTCGATAAGTAATACACAAATGAATGAAAGTGATATTAATGATTAAAAATCGTTATCATTATTTTATTTTTTACATGAATTTCCAGTCCAAATGTTTTATATTTTCAATTTATCCATTTTCATAAAAATACTAATAGCATAGCAATGAACACGCAAAATTTATACAAAACATTATTACAGTTAAAATAGAGAAAAATAAGTAATAACACCTTTGAAAAAGAAAAAGTAGAATAATTGCAAATAATACTTGATCTTTATTCTGTGGGAATGAAAAGTAGAGCCTGTAAATTGTGGACACCTCAGATGATAATAACTGAAGAAAGGTACTGTACATAAACAAACAAAAGAAGGAGGATAATAATGCCCCCCCCCCCCTAAAAAAGGTTTTCCTGTCATGCAGTATACATTCATATAGTAAAGATGACATGTTTGTCCTGGAAGTTGCTTTTCGAAATCATATTTCCTCTTTGTAGTCGTAAAGCATGACTTACTGTTAGAGGGTGTTACACAGTGCTCACTCACTCGGGTTTGGGGCAGTCCCCCCTCCCCCTCCCGATAAAATTCGAACGTGGTTTATTTCTAATTCGATACCAGTGAATACTTTACAAATGTTGCTGAAATGGCATGGTAATTCCCTGAGCTTCCGGGGGCTCTGTCCCCTGTACCCCACCAAGGGCCCTAAGGTGGCCCCTGGTTGCTCAGCTGACCATAAATAAACGCCTCAAACACCTGAGCTTCCGGGGGCTCCGCCCCTGGACCACACCAGGGCCCTAAGCGGGCCACTGGATGCTTATCTGACCATATTCAAAAGCCTAAAACCCTGAGCTTCCGGGGGCTCCGCCCCTAGATCACACCAAGGACCTAAGGCATCCCCTGGATGCTCACCTGATCGTAATTTAATGCCTAAAACCGCTGAGCTTCTGGGGGCTTCGCCCCCTGGAGCCCACTTTGATTAGTGACCTCCATGCAAGTGTCACAATTAAGGTACCAAAATATGCTCATCTGACCCTTATTAAATACCTAAAAACTCTAAAAAATAAATAAAAAAAAGCTTCACGGGGCTCCGCCCCTTGACCCCCGCTGGGGCTTTGCCCCTGGACCCCACGCCAATTTACGCCCACTTGCTTTGATCTATCTGTTCGCAAATACTTTAGCCCCCCCCCCCCACTCCCACTTTGAAAAACGTTCCGCGGGGCCTGCATGTATGTAAGAGCGGTGATGATGCGAATTTTTTTTATACCCCCCCCCAAAAAAAAAGTTTTTGCTTATTACGTCACTCCTCCCTCGTTCCACGCATTTCGTCCCCCCCCCCCCCGGTCATGAAAAGAAATCGCCGCCCCTGCTGTTCATGTTTTAATAGCCTACATAAATATGGCAACAAGATACATGCAAGGAACTCCACTGACGCATGTTTCAGAGTCCGGTTATATAAAAATGCGTAAAAATGACAGTCACGACGGTTATTTACATGAATACATCCTGTTGGAAAGGGTTCTTGTGTTTAATTGAACTTCGAGTATTTTCCTGTTTAACCTTCTGCTTTAAAGTCTAAAGTGTATTTTTCCTGTCTTAATAACAGGAAAGGTGAACGAAGCGGTAATGGTTACGAATTCTCGCGATTCATAATTCTAGATTTTTTCTGCAATTTAAAGGTACTATGTCCCATTTGCAGGCCAAAAAAAATGAAAAAGTTAAATTCCAACTGCATTTGAAAGATAATACTAATTTAGAACTTCCCTAAAAAAGGTGGGGCTTGAAAATGTCTTCAAGTAAGAAAATAACGACTATTAGTTGTCAAATCGACTTTAAGGCTATAGAGCCCAAAAGTAATAGTCTTGATTTTCAGACAATTGTACCGAATGGTCATACGTTTTATGCTGCGCAAAGATTCAATCAGTTTAATCTTGGCCATCACAAGAAGTGGGTTATTGATGTAGACAAATGCTCATGTACCCTTTACAACTCTTTTCATGTATGTTCCAAAGAAGAAAAAAGGCCAGTCAGTCACTCAATAGTGTCTGACAGTGAAGTCTAGCAAGTAAACGGGTTTCCTTGCATAATTTGAATATGAGGACACTGCTAACGTTTAAATTTCACAGATAGGACATACATGACATATTCATAATTCCTGCAAAGTTCTATAGAATTTGAGGTTGGCTGCAAAAGGGACATGTACCTTTAAATACGAAATAATCTCGAGTGCTTGTCGGTGTTGCGGAGTTCTAGCATATTTACATGGACGAATCAACGTGTTTTTCCTCTCAAACCGGCTTATTATGGTAACTGCGATAATAGATTCATGTTTGTAGTCAGTGAGTAACCTATAACCGCAGAACCTGGAAATCTTATATGATTCCTTGATGAGACAGGCCTACGTTGTCTTACACACCGCTAAAGGAGAGAGTGCAAACTGCAATGGCGTCGTCTACCGAACTGCCATCCAGTATGCCGAACGCTTCAGCAATATGTGATATTACATTAGTGCAGTTTTACTGGATAGGTATCAATATACCTCTAGCGGTGAGTATATATCATAAGTATATATTTTATATTTGGATATATAGTTGATGCAATCATTATCATAACACAGTTAGTACGACAATGACATAGTAGTAATAATTAATATAATGTACACTAGCTGTTTATGAGTATGAGTATGATGATGACTATTATAATGAACCATATTTTAATCATATAGGCATATCAGTGACTGCTTCCCGGTTTTTATATATAATTACACGATTTGGGCAACACGTTGATTTCTCTTTATTGTATTAAATGTTTTATAGTTGCAGCCTATGAACATGGATATAATCTTATAATAATATACAGCACCACGCGCTCCACAATGTAAAGTGTATAATATGCCTACACGGTGGACTTGAATGCATTTATTGCTCCTCGATTTTTATATGATCAGACGACCTTGGCAACACAATGGTTGCTCGATCGTTACTAGTCGGCAATTATGTGCACACAATATGTATAATTTTATTACTATATGTGTGAGTCACTATTATAGCTTATTTTCATAACGTCGTATGACTACAGTGTGTGACATTGCACATGACCTCTCATCTCATATGCAAAATGTAACATGCAATGTGAGGGCCTTGGCAGTGAGAGAGAGAGAGAGAGAGAGAGAGAGAGAGAGAGAGAGAGAGAGAGGGAGGGGAGGGGAGGGGTGGGGGGGGGGGGGGTGGACACTGTTGGCACCAGTGGGAAGAAACTTGCGAGAAATCGAGGCAACCAAGCAGGAGAAGGTTCTTATCACACACCCTTGCCTATGAACCCTTTCCCACCTATCTCTCTCTCTCTCTCTCTCTCCCACTCTCTCTCTCCCCCTCTCTCTCTCTCATGTCACTCGCCCCCTCTCTCTCTCTCTCTCTCTTTATTGTATCGTTACTTGTTCTCTATACGCCTTGTGTTATCAAAATATATGTGAGAGAGAAGAGAGAGAGAGAGAGAGAGAGAGACGAAGAGGGAGAGTGGGAAGAGGGAGAGAGTCGGGGAGGGGATAAGCAAAGAGGAGAAGGAGGGAGAGAATGAGCAAGGAATGGAGGTAGATAGATAGAGAGAGAGAGAGAGAGAGAGAGAGAGAGGTGGGGGTAAACGTAGATAGAGAGAAAGAGAGAGAGAGAGAGAGAGAGAGAGAGAGAGAGAGAGAGAGAGAGAGAGGGGTGGAACTTCTCCCCACTTGTTTGATTGTACTTCTGATACGTTTCATTTTAACAGGTTATTCTTCTACTTGTGGCCACATTATGCCGATGTCAATTCAACCCTTTCAAATGTTGTGGTCGACCAAAATTGGTTTAGTAAGTCTTTCTATGTTGTTTGGATCAATTTTGCAATATTGGTACTGATATTTATGATTTTATTTATAAATTGTATGTTTTGTATGAGTATAGTACAAAATGATGTAGTGTTTGTTTGAAATACATTATTCGTCTCTATATTAAAGCCTCAATTTCTATTCGCATCATATCGCAAATGTTGTGGTATGATGCAGATACAAACTTCACCTCCTGGAAAAATGGGCATTGTGCCCATTTGGGAATACAACTTCTCATAAACATAACACAATTCTGTGACTACTGCATAATGATAAAATCGCGCAGTACAAATCAGCAAAATACGTGTTTATTCCTGCAATTCCCATGCTTTTAATCACATACACCCCTTCTTCTTCTTCTTCCAATATTCTCCCGTTCTACCATGGCAACAGTCCCATGAATTTTCTTGACGGATATTCGAATCGTGTGCCATATGTCTTCGCATTCTTGGTCACAAGTAATGTGATTATCGACCTCCTGCAACTGGGTCCCGAAGAATATCTGGCTCAATACTCTTCTACAGTTCGATGTAAGTTTAACAATAATAATTTTGAAAAAATGATAATGATAAAGATAATTATCCCAATAAAAATATTAAAGATAAACTTTAGTACTGGCAATGCGATTGCAAAAGAAAGAAAGAAAAGGTGTGGAAAGGATCAGAAACAGTTGATCATGTAGCATGTAAGTATTGGTGTGCACTGCAAGGTTCTGGAGTCATCAAAATCATAATAAATTTGACCGAGTCTTGGTAAAGTAACAAGCACTGTACACAGAAAGCTATATATGGGACAACACACATGGTGTCGGGGGTAGTACTACCTTGATTTCCTTGTCTTTCTATGCTCATTACTCAGCCAGTATACATTTTCTTCCAAAATTGTTTGGCACATGTCATTTATTTGTAATCTTGAACATTCAGTGTAAGTTTCGTTTGATTCTGTGAGAATTAATTTTCTTTTTTTTAACCAGAACTGGAGTTTATCTTTAATGATGGTAATCATAATAAAAACAATAATAGTAACAACCGTGGCACTTTTTAGGAATAAATCTTACCAGGTCCCCACTTACTTGCAACTGGGTCGAGTTTGACCAGTGTAAATTGATGCCTTGCCTACGGTCGTTAGTGTTCCAACATCTGTACATTGTGGTTAACAGTTCGGAGATTTCTAACATATCCAGCATTAGGGGTTAATAACGATCACATTTTATTACAAATGTAGCGAACATCACTCTAGTTGGGCATAGGATTGCCCCAAAGTTGGTCGGATACACAATAAGCCCAGCATGTTTCTATACAGCGTAGAGGATAATGATTTTAGAAGTATTATTCAACTTGAATACCGCCTAGGAGTAGGAATCAATAGGGTCCATACCGTGTGAGTCAAAAAAAGTTTACACCTAGACAATTGCTAATTTTTAAAAAATCATCTATGAACAGTAAATTGTTGTATCTTATGAAAGAGTGTTTTATCCAAAATCATTTGGTATCATTTTTGTGTGGTATGTGTTCAGGCTTGGATGAGCAAGGGGCATTGTTTGCGAGAGTGCAAACATCGACTTGCGCCAAAGTGATGCCTACAGCATGTATTATGTTGGGATTAGCGGAGTGAGAGAATGTACCAAATGAAATGCCTTGCATATGCTTTATGCAAAAGCAAAGTCACACACACACACACACACACGCGCGCACACATGTTCGTTGATATTTGATATTCGATATTTGATATGTGTGGCATGATTAATTTTGTTACGGATGTTATTTGGATCTGCAAAGACCGAATTAATACCCAAATCCGAATTGTTTTATTCAAACATCACACAAGCAACTTTGGCGCAAATCGATTTTTGCACTCTCGCAAACAATGCCTCCTGTTCATCCAAGCGTGAACACATGCCACACAAAAATGATACCAAATGATTTGGAATAAAACAAGCTTTCATATGATGTATAATAATTTACTGTTCATAGATGATTTTTAAAATAATTAGCAATTTTCTAGGTGTAAACTTTTTTTTTGACTCACACTGTATACGCAATATTGGCGGATCATAACCCTAAACAAAAGAAAATGATTTGTCGGCTTACTTCCAATTACTTTTTCATGGAGGTGTCATTATGTAGTGGTTCGTTCAGTTGACTCTCAGTCCAAGGGTTGGGGTTGGAATCCCAACGCAGCCCTAATGTCTTTTGACTCATTAATCCACCTTTGCCTCTCTCCACCAGATGTAAAGGTACCTGGCAATTGCTGGTGCTATAATAATCACGGGGCACGCAGGAAAAGCAGTATTGATACTGATGTGCATGCTACCTTGGGAAGATAATACACAATTAATTTTGTTTAAAATAATTTCTCACAAATTTATATCTATCAGTTTTTCTATGGGCTACCATCAAGTACATCTGCATCATCATCGCTGGGCTGGTCTTTTACCCTCTTCTGGCATGCATCACGTATAGTAACTTCTTAACAGATGTTCTGGGGCTCATGTTCACCTGTAACTGGTAAGAATGCCATGGCGTATCCAGCAATAGCGTATGCCCATTTTCAGCCCCCCCCCCCCCAAAAAAAAGGGGGAAAAAGAAAGAAAGATGAAGTACAACGCATAATAAACTCTTTACATGGACAGGATGAGGAATTATCTTGGAGTGGAACTCTCGATCAAAAGAGTGGATTTCTCTTTCAAATTAGTGGATTTTACTCTCAAAAGAGTCCATATTTGAACCGGTGAAAGTTCATTTATGACAACTGCAAAAGCTTTGTGGCACTAGATGATGAATTCGAGTGTGATTTCGCTAGATATCAATAACCACCTCATAAAGAGAGGTCCATCCATAGTTTTTTGCACCGTTACCTCTTTACCACTTTCCCTCCCCCTCCCCTCCCCCCCCCCCCCCCACCGCGCATGATTGTATGTTTGATTTCAAATTTCATTGTGTGGATGTTGTGTGTTTAGTATGTGCAGGGTGTTGGTCTCACCTCCCTGCTTATCTCTATATTGTATATCTTTTGTAAATGATATCCGTTTGTACACGTAGGCAAAGAGAGCTGCACCTATTCAATCTACTTCTTTGAGTTAACTTCCTTTCTTTCTCTTCATTATTAGAGATATATTTGCATTTGTTTGTTATTTTAATGATTCGGAAATAAAATCAAACTGAGTTGAATTGAATTGAGATTTCTCAACATAAATTATAGACAACGGAATATGTAATATAAGTCTCACTTGCTGCGTTAGCAAGGCATAATCAATGAATGAATATATAAAAATGAATAGATTAATTATCTTAACACGGCATGTGATTCATTATCAATTTAATTCAGGAAATATAAATAGTTATTGTTTGATTTTGTACTACTTTACAGGTTTGCGATGTACATTTACATTTACACGCTCTGTCCCATTGGGGTAAGTTTCAGATTCACACAATGTCTTTAATATTGTATTCTGTAATTATCTATCATTTCATTTGAAAATTCTATGATATGATATGGTTATGCTGTAAGCGAAAAGTAAAGGCCCTCACTATTGTCGTTCAAATAGGCAAAACAATAAACAGTAATTACTCATAATAGTTTCCTATTTTAGTTAAATACATGTAGTCTCAATTCCTTGTCCCCCTCCCTCTACCTTCCTCTCAGTTTCTTTTGTAAAATCCCATTTGACTTGATTATTTTTTCTTTTCAGAATGACACTTTCATGAAATCAGTCTAAGTTTGGGACAGCCCATAACTTTTGTTTATACTCCCAAATGTTTCTCTCAGTTAAAGAGTACTAGGTTGAGTTCTGGGAAGAGGTGAAAAATAATTTGTGAGCGTTATTATTCTTATTATGCAAGTGTGGAAGAACATCAGATAAGACATGTTCCCTGAAAAGCATGGCTCTTCAAATGCCTTCATATTCTAAATATGTCATGTAACATCGTAAAAATCCGGGGTAGGATTTTTACCCCATGTGTTCATGTAGTCCCATATACATCTTTCTGTGTACAGTGTTTGTAACTTTACCAAGACTTGGCCAAATTTCTTATCATTTTGATGATTCCTGAACCTTGCAATACACACAAATTCTTATATGCTAGATGATCAACCTTTTTTGGATCTATTCCACACCGTTTCTTTCACAATGCAATCGCAAGCCCAGAACTCAACTTCATCTCCTTATTGTACTAAATATGATATAGAGTAGAATCATTATGAGGCTAAATATAGGTACAGTGTTTTTATGAACATGCTAAGTAGCAAACACGATTATGTTACGTGTTGAACTTTTGAATAACTTCTTCACTGATGTAATATTTGCAATGATAAGTTCATGACTTTAATTTCATTTCATTTCTATTACACCTCCATATTTTCCCAATCCTTTTTACAGTCCGTGATGGGTATTATAAACGGTCTGACTTACGCTCCGGCTCTGGTATCATGTTTCGGATTGTCCGGTTTTTTCATGTGGCGGTTAGTGAGGCGGTTTAAGAGTGCCTGCATAAAACCGGTTACAAAGGTATTCATGACATGTATGAAAAGTTTTAGAAATATGCTGTATATGGTAGTCAAGTAGGGGCACCATTAGACAACTTTGAAAATAAAGTGGGGGTAGAGAGAGGGGGGGGGGGGATTCGGACAAAATTTACCATCAAATTACTAAACATTCCCGAAGAGCAAGTAAAAGCTAAAACAAAATGAAATAAATAGATCAAATAAAAATCATTTCGGATGAGAGGGAACAAAAAGAGGATTTGTGTTATTAGGCCTATTTATGATCATAGTCTTATACACACAATTAATTTTCTGGGAAAAGTTTGAAACACACATGCTTAAAACTTGTTATACCTCATTATAGGCCTTTAAGCATGAATTTAACCCTCACTCTTCAACATCTAAAGAACTTGTTTTGTTTTCATTTTTCATGATTATTTAGAATGTTAGTCCTTCGGAGAACGACGACGAATTGAAAGTTACTCACTACCAAGAGCGCGTTAAACACCTGTTAATTCCAGCGGACACATGGAAAAGGTATAGTATTTACTCTTGGACTCCCTAGCATTTTCTTTTTTTTTCTGGGGAGAGATATTGTATTGTATTATTGTAAGATGATGAAGCGGATCCTATTCAAATGATTGGTTGACAGAGTACACCTGGCCAGGCATTTATTTTGACCAACGCGTAATTTTACTAATTAAAATGGCGGTTAGAATGTCAGATACAAAAGTCATGGTGGATAAAACAGTTTCGTTTTACTATGATTATACATTTCAGAAATACGGAACCTACCGGCAAATTTAAAAAGTTGCTTCGACACATATATCCTGCCTTTCCTGGTTAGTATAATTTCAAATTATTGCACGTCTCCCACTATCTTCCATTCTGTTTCACTCTCTGTTCCCCCTTTTTTCTCTCTCTCTCTCTCTCTCTTCTCTCTCTCTCTCTTTTATCTCTCTCTCTCTCTCTCTCTCTCTCTCTCTCTCTCTCTCTCTCTCAACACATAGCTACACGCTCACACATACCCTATTTAGCTCACGATTCTTTTCCTTGTCAAAAAAGAAAAAAACAAATTAATGAAACAATGTTAAAATACAATTATTAGCAGCTGCAACGCATTATTGTTACCATTCTTATCTTCGAAATTAAAATATTATGTTGATTTAAAAAAAACTCGACCATATACGATTATGTTGATTTCACTTTCTTTCTTCTCTTTCTGCAGAAATACCATTTAAAGTCATTTCCAATGTGTTTTTTTACCGAAAAAAAAACCTTTGGCATTTCCAAGCAAATACGTGTAGCTTAAAAATACGTACATTATACATATTTTTTTCTTTTGAAATCTGTTCAGGATTTCGGTATTCAACGCGAATCATATGTACAGTTGGACTATCACTCATTGTGCTCTATCAGGTACGAGTATAAACAGTTTTCATTTTTGTTACCGAAAAAGTCTACGAAAGAATATTCATGAGACAGCAGGTTTATCAAGGCAAATTAATGATGCCACTTTATATCAAATAACTAAACGAATACTTGAATAACATCCCTTTGTTTTTGTATCCCTTTAACAAGAGGACATTTTATTGAATATAAGAAGTACATGTACTATTAACATCAGGCGCGTACGCAGACGGGGGGGGGGGGGGGGGGTAACCCTCCCCCTCATTTTTTTTTGTTAATGTGTGGGTAACTGAGAATAACACACCCCTCACTTTTTCTCATATGAAAAAGAAGAAAAAGAAGAAGAAAAACCAAAAAACACGTTATTATTTTTTTTGTGCTAAAGAGTGAACAAAAACTGACCTTACCCCCCCCTCCCCCTCCACTGAACGAAAATCGGTCGGCATAATTTCCAATTTTCGGGACAAAACAAAAAATGTACTTTTTACCCCCCCCCCCCCCCCCCCCCCTGCTACTGACTAACATGATCGCAAAGACTTTCGAAGAAATCATCTTTAATAAGCCACTTGTCACTCACCTTAGAAATGCACCAACATTATGAATTATTACGAAATAAGATCATGGCCGCTGTAGTATCAACAATAGGTTTATTAACATAATTTTTAATTGAGTTGATTTTTCGAAAGTCTTTGCTAACGTACTTATTCAATAATTCAATGTTCGATATTAATGGACTTCCAAGTGTGAAATCGACGATTAGATTCCTTGTCCATTTCTGAATAAATTGGGTATAACATTATTTTGTTTAGAGCCAGAAGGGCATTTACTCTATAATAAAATTGCAAGCATGAACGCCCTTCCGGCTTTCAAGAGACGATAAAATATCTGCTGTGGGTAGGACATTTTTCGAACAATTCGAAGTTTATTGGGGAACATGAACTTTAATTCATTTTTGTTTTTTAATACTTCCATTTTATCTTCTCCTTTAATTTCCGTTCCATTCATGCTATACAGACGAGCATAGTGTACATCGCAAATATCTTAACGTTTGTCCAGCAGCTAGTAGGCGGGTTCATTGATCCGGAATCATCATTGCTTCTTGATATCATTGAGCGTAAGTCATATATGTTCAAATATGGCGTATAACAAATTATTTGAGCTTTTAAACATTTTTTTTTACTCGAACATTCCGCTGACGACGCTTGAGATCTGTTGGGATTTTACGCGTCGCTCCTGATATTCTGATCTTAAATTATAACGGAGATTTGTACTTGTAGCCAACTCATCACGAGAGGCATTGTGTTTTTTTCCGAACTTTCATAATTCCGAACATTGGAAATTCCGAAGTTTCGTAATTCAGAAATTGAAATATAATGGCCCGAATTCACAAAGGAGGTTTGTAGACAACCCTAGGTTTATGTGCGTCATATGACGCGTTTTGATGCGTTTAAGACCAAGGTTTGTCTGAACCTTGGTCTGAAACGCATCGAAACGCGTCATATGACGCCCATAAACCTCCTTTGTGAATTCGGGCCACAGGGTTCGTTATTTAGAAAAGCGATACAGGGTTCGGCTATGTCAGTTTCGGAATGATATTCTTGGAGTCATGAACCCCATTTCTTTTTCGGAAAAACAAACCGAATTTACGAACCTTTGGTACAACATGCTTTCGGAATTATGAGCCTTCGGATTAATAGAAAGTCATCATTATACTGTTAAATTAACCAAATCAAGATATTTTGATAGTAATTGCTTCGGCATTGTCTTCTTTTGTGTAGAATATCAATTATTTGCCATCCTCGTCAGTTTGCAAATGTTCTCTTTCAAACGAGTTGAGTCTCACATGTTATACCATCCTTTTTATTTCTATCTTCTTTTGACAGTCTCCTTTAATCTGTCAAGTTATCCTGCTATGTGCATATCGTTCTTCAATTGTCTTCTCTTCTTGCGGAATTACAGGTTAGTCAAAAGTGAAAAAAAGTTCTTCATACCATACCCAATACGAACGCGAACCAAAAGCAACCCACTGTTCAACAACTCATATTAGGGGCGGACCAAGGTTTTTTGCCAAAAGGGTAAGGGCACTATTCTTAAGAAGAAAACAAATGACAAGACAGAAAAGCGGGAATGTTATGATCGGAATTATTTGAAGGTGCCCTTTGGTCGAAAAATTACAAGAAGTACAATTATCTTTCGTGTGATTAAGGTATATTACATTCATTTTGTTTTAAAACATCAATATCAGTCAAAAAATGCGTGAATTCTGAAAGTCTCTTCATACTGATCCTTTAGCAACATCAGTTTATGCTTTGTTTCAAGTGCTGAATTTTAACAAAATTCCTTATATTTTATAGAGAGAACACAAGAGATTTATGGAAAGGTGACAGAATCAGCCATAAGCCCATTCAACCACATTCTATTGTTGTAAGTAAGACTGTTTTTTGGAATTTGTTTCTTTAAAAAGACAAATCGATGTATGTACGTGTTTTTGCAGTTAACACGTGATATCGGCCATTGATAGAGGATGTGAGAAAAGAGGGCGGAGGGGAGGGGGCAATAATTAAGAATTAATATTAATGAAGCCTTTGACAAGTTTCACATGAAGACATGATATATCAGTGCTGGAAAGACAATCTGCTCATTATAAATGTGCCTATTTGTGCCTCAACAACTGTATTTTTTTAAAACAAGATTTTCACACCGGGTGCTCCAAAAATCGAAATAAAATTTCAAACATCAGGAGAAAGTAGGCCATCATAAAATTAGAATATAGAAATTATTGAAAGTAGTGTTCAATTTTGTATATTGAATACACGAAATATATCAATAAGTACGAAAATTAATATACCAAAATATATATTTTTCTTCTTCTTCATTTTTACAGATTTCATGTTTAAGTTTCTCCAGTCTCAGCGTCGCCTATACATTCTGGGGTATGTATAGATTAAGGTCAGAAATATATTTATGTTACTTAGTTATGAGGATTTAAAAAAAAAAACAGAAATCTGATACACATACGTAATGAAAATGTTTTACGAGCCTTCCGAATAATGAAGGGGTGTGAAAAGGAAGCTGTGCTTGGAATATTATTATTTCTATTATTATCATTATTATAATTATCATTATTATCATCATCATCGCCATCATAATTATTATTATTCATATCAATATATATATAACGTTTTTATGTATTGTATTGAAATAGTACATTTAGCAATGCTTTTGTTGTTTGATTACTAATGGGTAGGTTTTCTGGTGCTTCAGATAATCTTGTGGATAATCATGTCCGGTATCGTCGTTATCATCCGATTTAATCTCCTGCTTGCATTACTACAAAGCTATTGGTAAGGGAGGAACATGAACTTGTAATCTCTAATTTTTAAAGCCTGTCTGCACTATTTGTATCTACTTGCGCCCTCTATATAGTAAACAATGCTAAGCGGTACCCGTTGGTCCCCCATGATCCCCTTTTTCTTATGTTAATTGAGAGCTGATTTGATGAGATAACCACCTGTCAGTGACCACGGCAGGGGAGGTCTAATCCCTCCTGGCCAAATTAGTGCAGACAGGATTCAATGTGTGTAGTATGTAAACATATATGTATGTATGAATCCCTACTAGTTTACACATGTATTTGTAACTATTTCATTGTTCAATTTTTAGTATTTTGTTTATTACTTTAATTTGTAATGTTAAACGCTTTGAGAACCTACTCTGAGGTGAACTGCACTTTACGAAAATATTATTATCATCATCATCATCATTTTCATTTTTATTATCATCATCATTATTATAATTCTTCGTCTACTTCTTCTTCTATTATATATTATTATTATTATTATTATTATTATTATTATTACTATTATTATTATTATTATTATTATTATTATTATTATTATTATTATTATTATTATTATTATTATTATTATTAGTAGTAGTAGTAGTAGTATAGTAGTAGTAGTAGTAGAATTTATATTATCATCATCTTTATCATCATTATTATTATCATTATAATAAAGAGCTACTACATTAACATAACATAGGCCTATTATCTCTTCGTCATATAGATGTAAGATAGATGTAAGAAGGCACGTAGCCCGGGGGGGGGGGGGGGGGGGGGGGGGCGGGGGGGGGGGGGGGGGGGGGGGGGGGGGGGGGGCCATGTCCCCCCCCAAAAAAAAAATTCCAAGATCGGTTGAACTTTTTAGACCCCTTTTTTGACCTCGATCGATTACATGTTTGTGCCCCCCCCCCCCAAAAAAAAAAAAAAAAAAAAAAAAAACCCATCAAACTCTGGCTACGTGCCTGGATGTAATAGATGTAAGAAATGTAAAATCAGAAGCAGTGAATGTTCTTAAGTCATTTTATATCCTAAGTGACAAGAGATAAATCTGTTTTTCATAAAATAACTGGAATTTCAGAACATTTACATGTTTGAAGTGAAATTTATCCATGACTTATATATATTTTTATCACACTTATTCCAGGACGTACCTGTTTGGCATTGTATTGTTTGTGGTGATGCAACAAATTTTGGCAAGATTTGTTCTCCTTCAACGAAACACCAACGGTGCACTGGTTATAAATAACAGGTTTGTCATACATATCTCTTGATCGGCCGGCATCTTTGTTATTTCCTCGATCCATCACCATCAACCCGCTGCTGCCATCTCTTTAAATCTTTAAGGGCAAATCCATCCTGATATTAAGTTGGTTTCAATAAAAGCAGAAAATGCGAGAAATAAAGAAAGAAAGTTTGAGCCTTATCCGATTAAAAGTAGGAACATTATGCATATCAGGGTGGACTTTCAAGGACTGTCTTTAATACCACATTCATGAAAATGTTACTCCTAAGTTCAATGGTACTATTTCTATGATTTCTTAATCAAGCTGATATGTTAGGTTATTCTTTTGTCCGATGAGTCCATTGCTAGCTTTAGAGAAGTCGAGTTATATTGCTTTATCCCTCCTTCAGTGTTATTATGGTGGTGGTGAGGGTGGGGGTGAGGGGGGGGGGGTTGTGCTGCCCCTAATTGAGAAAAATAGTCCGTATCAGTATCCTTAATATCCTGGAATCTGGGTTTTTTCTTTTTGTGCTTGTCCCAGAAAATAAAATGTCGTTTTAAACACTTCTGCCCCCCCCTTTTTTTAGACGAGCCTGGTTCTGCCCTTGGGCATGTTGGTTGGTTATGTTAATTCATGTAATTACCAGTGAATTTCTCTTCGTTACTGCTCTCTTTTCTAGACATCTGTTCCACATCATCGTCCACTTCTTCTTCTTTCTCAACATCATTGTCGGTCTCGTAGGAAGTCTTCTTCGAATAATTAAAGTCGCTGTCGTCGGTATCTTGCTCATTGGCCGAGTCGACTTGTGTCTGGCGCCGCGCGGCTTTGAATGGGCCGATAAGGTACATCTCAATTAAAATCAATTACTTGATTAATTTTTCTTCTTTTTATCTGCATTTTTCAACATAGTTAAAAAGTAATATATTAGATACGTACATATATATTATTGATAAAAGTTGAAATACATATATAATCATATCATCATATAAATCAATTAAATAATTGTACCTCTGAGAAAACACACGGTTGACAAATCATTTAAAAATTGGCAAATGCAGAAGACCGCCATCTTAAAGGGATCGTTTAACAATGTTAAATCTGAGATACACGGCCCTACGTGTTATCAGTGTCTGTGATATGGTGTAATATTGAAGCCCTAAAAAAATTGCGCTTCAAATGATCCAGAAGTGCCTCAAAAAAGTAAAAATCTTTGAGTGACCGGTTTTACCATACTCGTTTTCCCCAATAGACTGTAGTGTTATGAAAACCGTCAGGCGAACGGTTTTCAAAATTTGTAATTTCAATCATAAATATCTTGATAATCAGACAGGCGATCGGCTTGTAAAAGTCATGGGGTTCCTGACTGACCTAAAGGTTTATAATTATCATTGCATCATAAGCTAAATCCAGAATGTTATTTCAGAATCTGAGACAAAGTTACCGGATCCCTTTAAGCTAGAGATTGAACGTAATCGAACAATATAACCATGGTTATTTTTAAAGACAAGGATTATTCTGCAGATGGCGCACATATTGGTCATGACTGAATAATTATTAGAAGGTATATATGTATATAGGAGGATTTTCTGGGCATGTTGGTTAGTTGATTTCTGGTTTGATATGGATGCAGTTCGGGAGAGGGGGAAAGGGAACACGGGAATAAGATGCTACGACCTCATCCACCCATGACATAATAGCGTTTTAAATTTGCATTGCATCCTCCAACTACGAATACTATATTCCTTGACACACTGATTGATGCTAGTTCCTCTCAAAATCTGTCACATGCATTTCAAAGCGGAAGTACATGTTATTTGTATTTCTCTTCTCAAGGTTTCGGGGCCTACCGCTCCTTTCTCGAGTTGGAAGTCAGTCTCACTCACCCGGTGGTCGTCACATTCTGTAATCTACTTAACCAATCACGGATGAAAAGTGTAGGTGGTGGGGACGACGATGTCGAGATGCAAAATAGAGAAGGTCCTGTCGACGGAGACATCGCTATCAAAGGTAATTTTGATGATCTCACCATGACCTGCGTACATGTTTCCAATATCCCAGTTTCAGCTATATGCCCCGGCGTTGCAAACAAAGCATCATTTCGATTGCTTCATTATACCTACGCAACTAAATCCCCTCTTGGGTCCCGTCTTGTGAACTGTTGCAAGTGATTGATCCGAATCAATCGCAAGTCCTCATATCTATCGCAAGTTTACAGTCTCCTATCTCTTATGTACATAGTTGCGATTGATATCAATCACAAATAAGTTGCGATTAAAGCGCAACTGTTTATAAGACAAAGCCCTGATCATCAGTACATGGACCATCAATTCAACGCATTGTTTGCCCGTAGGGACTATTTTGAATTCATTTTGTGTCCTATGTTACTCTCACATATTGCGTCAACGACTGCCACAGCTGCTGACGCAGTCCTGCGTCGAGTAAAAGGACACTTCGCGTGCAGCAAGGCCAATGGCAGCTGCGCACGATATGCCATGTTGACTGGTTGCGCTAAAATTATCCTAATCATGCCTATAGAAGTGAGTAGTGTATGCGTCATTCATTCATTTACTGTGTTTTCAAGGATGCATTCAGTTTATATACGATGTCAATCTTATATGGAGCGTCACAGATGGTAATGACGCCCCATGCGCAAGACAGATAATGGAAACCGAGCAGTTTTCGAAAATACTATCCCTTCATGGTTTGTCTATCAATTATTAGTCATCATATTTCAAAGATGTATGTTAAAACTACATTAAGCTACTTGTTGCAATTCAATAATTGTTGCTGTCCTAATAATCACTGTGTTGCAACATTGAAAGAGTGGTTTCACATGAAGAAAAAGTGCCCGATATATTGTTGGCCTATCACTGTTTTAAATAAAGACGTAATCATTACATAAAGCTGTCATTTTATTTTATCCTATATAGATGTTGCAGCTTCTTGGGGCACAAAAGACAAAACATCCAAGAGCAGAAGAGTGCGAAATCGTTGGTTCAAAGCATTGACGATGATTCGAAACAAACGACTGGTGTACGAGAGACTACACAAGCTCGAAGAAATCCGAGATGAAACGTGGAATATGGATCCAACAAAACCTCAACAGATATAAATGGCATAAAAGCTGTTTGTTGTAGATTAAAGCGGAATTCCACCCTGAATTTCAAATAGGCTCACTTCCATTTTCTTAATATTGTTGAACTATTGATGAAGGGATAGAATTGTTTCAAACAGAGGTTGTGAAAAACATATTGTATATAATCATACAAAGGGGCACTGTTTTATTGATTTTTTAAAAAAAAAAGAGAGAATTGAATTGTAATGATTTTTTTATAGTAAGGATCAAACAGCACAGGTTCTCGAAAGATACGATACAGAGTTGCCAATTCATTTAAGTTTTCTGCCCCTATAAACTTCATGTAAGGTATTTCCCTAAAAGCCCATCTACTGCGTTTAGTTGAATGGCAATTACCTTTTTATTCGAACTCCATTTGTAATTCCAATCATAATGATATATCTTTACAAAATATTGTAAAATTGAATGTATAGAGGGGGCACATTTCCCTCGGATGGATATATGCCTTTGGACAGAAGCGTATGCGGGATTTTTTCCAAGGGGGGGGGGGGGGGGGTTAAAATTAGAAAATCGAGCCGAAAATTTCGCATCGACTCAGCCAGCCGGTTGATAAGTGGGGGGGGGGGGGGGGGGGTAAGAGCACAATTTGTTTTCCCCGGAATATGGAAAAATTAGGCCGACCGATATTTCGTTCAGTAGGGGGGGGGGGGGGGGGAGGTCACTTTTTTTATCACCCTTTAGTACCAACAAAAAAAATAAAGGAGGGGGGGTTTCCTTCAAAACACACACATCAAAATAATGAGGGAAGGGGGGCTTAACCCCCCCCCCCCCTGCGTACGCGCCTGCCTTTGGACTTACAACTTATTGACCATTTAGATATTTTTTTTTCTTGTCCAGTTTTTGAGGGGAAAATTTCGCAACGACTCAGCCAGTCGGTGAATAAGCGGGAGGGGGGGGGGGGGGGGGGTAAGGGCACATATTTGTTTTTTGTCCCGGAATATGGACAATTAGGCCGACCGATATTTCGTTCAGTAGGGGGGGGGGTTCAGTTTTTTTGTATCACCCTTTAGCACCAAAAACAAAATGAGGGGGGGGGGGGGGTTCCTTCAAAACACACGCATTCAAAAAAATGAGAGGGGGGGGGGGTCCCCCCCCCCTGCGTACGCGCCTGCCTTTGGACTTACAAATTATTTACCATTTGGATAACCGTTAAAATTATTTAAAATGGAAAACGATATGTATTTAATACGTATTTAATGAAATATTATGTACACTTATTATTCAGCAGCTGCTTGTGCCTTTCGCTATCAATTCTGACTATGCAATTTCATGCTTTAAAATGTGTTTTTTTATCCACACCATGCATTATCATATTCAAAGTTGTTAAGTTATCTACTTTACTCGAAATTATGTACTTGAAATTAGTGAATTAGTTCAAACAAATAAATTACTTCGAAAATATAGCCTTAGCAGAAGGAAAAGTAGTTTATCCAGGATTCTTTGACTGCAGGGAGCGGGGGAGGGGTGGGGGAGGGGCAGGGGAGGGGCGGGGGAGGCGTGGCGGAGATATAGGGGGTATAGTTTTGTGATCAATTCCCAAATTTTGAGTGGTTGCAATTTTGAGTGGTTGCTTGTATCATGTAAAGTAGATATTGATGTGAGGTAAACAAAATCCAATATATTATATTTAAATTGATAAAGGATATAAAATGATTATTCTTTCTTTTATGAACAGAAATAAACACATTCAAAACGAGAAAATGTATGTTCTATTTGTTTCATAAACTGTATTTTGACTGTTCGTATATTGTTTCATTCTGCGTTATTCTTATACTCACATGCATGGATTTTTGGCTATGTGTTTTCCCCGTCAGGTATATGCTTTAATATTTGTTTGAACATGACCGATAGGATGTCGGGGGGGGGGGGGGGGGGGGGGGGGGGGGAGGAGGAGGGTGCAGTGTTCGATTCCTTTTTTAATATTTTGCTGTAATTAATTTTTTGTTGGTAAAAGTGTTCAGGGAACACGTTGTTGACCTTAACTGACGCCCCCTTTCATTTCATTTCATTTTATACACAAAAAGTTTCGGCTTGACAAGTTAAGCCAAACTTTGTGTACACCCTATGTATGCCTTGTTTTCAAATAAATTTAATTTGACGAGTTCGGATCTAAGAGAAATGTATACGAAAAAAGCTATAGGCCTATACATATTATACTCTTGCACTTTTTGCCCGTGCATGGATTTTCTTTTTCGATAACCAGAATAATTGAACCGAGGCCCATGACTACTTTATGTTTCTACAGGGGGGGGGGGGGGGGGGGGGGGGTGGGAGCAGTGTGTCCGATTCCCCCTTTTTAAATATTTTGCTGTAATTAATTTTTTTTGTGATAAAAGTGTTCAGGGAACACGTTCTTGACCTTAACTGACGCCCCCTTTCATTTCATTTCATTTTATACCCCCGTGCGCACATGCCTTATTAGTCCTATAACTTACATCAACAAATGATAACGCACCCGTCCCCTCCTTTCCAAAAAGTTTCGGCTTGACAAGTTAAGCCAAACTTTGTGTACACCCTATGCATGCCTTGTTTTCAAATAAATTTAATTTACGAGTTCGGATCTAAGAGAAATTAATTTAAAAAAAAGCTATAGGCCTATACATATTATACTCTTGCACTTTTTGCCCATGGATGATTTTCTTTTTCGATAACCAGAATAATTGAACCGAGGCCCATGACTACTTTATGTTTCTACAGTAACATTGTTGGCGTCGTGTATTTTTAAAGTTGCGATCCCATGGATTTCGAACCAACAAACAAAAAACAACAAAAGCATGATTAAAAGAGATACAAAACAAAATAAAAACAGATTTCTCGTTCAGCTACTGATACGGTTTGGAACAAGGGTTCTCTTTAAAATCTAGAAAAATATTAATATCTTCAATGGATATTATACAATAATCAAATACTGTAATACAATGCCCGCTAGCCTGATATGTGATTCCTTTGTGAAATACTTGTTATGCTTACTTGTCACCCCCTTGAACAGAGAGAGGGACATAGAGAGAGAGAGAGAGAGAGAGAGAGAGAACCAGCAACATCTATTAAATATCTGAATGAATGAGAGCGGAGAGAGAGAGAGGGGAGACACAAACCTAGACAACGGACTTGGGGAAGTACAGCATGTTATCAGTGGGGAAGTACAGATATCAGTGTATACCATAGAGATATGGTGTATACAAAGACCGGGTTCCATGAAACCTGAGCAAACCTACTTTTCATGCTTTTCGACTGGCATGTATTTCGAATGACACTTTGTTGGCAGCTACGTGCTATATAACTTCCTCTTCCCGGGGTTCATGTAGTTGATCTGGCTGAAAGTCGCTGTGCACAGTGAACGATTTTCAATTGCTCTGCGACACTATCTTGATTAAATCATTTTGCAATTAATGTAAATATAGGGTTCTGTGATAGTACTGCACACTGCATGGTACGACCACGTGTTTTAATTTCTACTACAGTGTTTCTTCCAAGTCACAGTTTATACCTTCCTGGTTTATACATGTATGACATTGAGCTAATATATATATATGGTCTAAAAGTGAAATCACCAGGAAATTTACGTGAAAAGGTACGTTACGGTCTATCGGATCTAGCATAGATATACGAGCAACTTGACAGAAATGGCTTTGACTACAGCACAAACCATTAACCTGACTAACGGGTCAGCGATGGACACTTGTGATGTTGTCAGTCTCACCACGCAGTTTTACTGGATCGCCTACAATATTCCTCCAACGGTAAGTACTTGGTCATGAAATACTTGTAGTATTATTATCTTGATAAATACAAAGGTGTAGAAAGGAGAGAGAGAGAGAGAGAGAGAGAGAGAGAGTTAGAGTGGTGAGAGAGAGAGAGAGAGAGAGAGGTAGAGAGATATATGGAGATAAATGGAGGGGAGAGTGAGAGAGGGGGAGGAGGGGGAGAAAGAGATTTGGAGAGAGAGAGAGGAACGGGGGGGGGGGGGTCAATAGGATAGTGCACACGTGCGAGAAGGAGCGGCAAATTCTAAATAGATCACTCTGATCTATAAACTAAAGTGTCGGGAGCCCCAATTCGCCCCATACAAATTTGATGGCAAAATTTCACTTACTTTGTATCATATTAAGAGTTAAGACACACTTCTGCAAAGATCCCTCCCCCTCAAAAAAGTTTTTGAAGACAAAATGATTTTAAAAATATATATGTTGGGTTTCCTGTTGTACAGAAATACTAATTTTGTATTCTTTCATCAATATTCGACTTCAAACACATTTTATTTTTGAAAACCCTCGCAGAAAAGTGTCTTAAATTACATCCCACTTCTTGTAATGACCAAACTTAAACTGATTGAGTCTTTGTGCAGCACAAAACGTACGACCATTCGGTACAATGGTCTGAAAATCAGACTATTACTGACTTGGTAGCAACTAATAGTCGTCATTTTCCCACTTAAAGACATTTTCAAGCCCCGCGCCCCCCCTTTTTTTTAGGGAAGTTCAAAATTAGTATTATCTTTCAAATGCGTTGGAATTTAACCTTTCTGGCCTGCAAATGAGACATAGTAGCATACCTTTAAAAGATGTGTTAATACCTTTGTAGTGATAGTTACTATTAATATTGAAGATATCTCTTTTATAGAAATCGTTAGTTTTGTTGGATTTTGAATTCTAACCAGATTTTTCTCCTACTTGTGGCTACGTTCTGCCAATGCCAACCAAACACCTTCAAGTGGGATCGCCGTCCAAAACTGTCTAGTATGTTTTTTTAAAATTTCAAACACGGTTTTATATTGACTCATTGTTTTATGCTTTATTTGTAATCCTTTTCATGTAACAAACACGTTTATGGATGGGGTTTTGGGTCTGCTTTTGGATGGTTGGGGGTATGTTTATTAGAGTGAACAAAATGTGGTATGTTGTAGTTATTTAAATAAATTATTTCTCTCGTTTTTATGATTTTTTCTAGGACCCCTGGATAGAACTGTTTTGGTATAATAGCTGAGCCGAGTGTTCATTCCGAATTCTTTTGTCATATTATGGTATCATGTTATTGTCTATATTGTACTCGGTAAATAAAATCAATCAATCAATACTGCATTACCTTTAAATGGCAAAAACTGTCAAACTGTTAACCAATTCAAAACTTGTCTTAAAACACATTTATTCAAAATTACTTTTGTTGATTAACTTACCCTGTTCACATTGATGTGTGTTTCATATGTAAAGTCATTTGTAGGTTTATTTGCACTTTTTTGTTTTGTTTAATATGTAATTGTTAATCAGTCTATTTTGTTTGTTATAGCGCTTAGATTTTTCGGTGGTAAGCGCTTTATAAGCAACGTTTTTATTATTATTATTATTATTATTATTATTATCTTATGCAGCCCCATGAACTTGCTTGACAGCTACTCGAATCGGCTCCCGTACGTCTTCGCTTTCTTGGTGACGAGCAACGTGGTCATCGACCTCCTACAGCTCAACCCCGGTGGCTCATCTCTGGATCATATTAATCCAACAGTGCGATGTAAGCTTATACTAATTAATATGTCTACCGCGTACTACCACCACCCCCGGCAACCGCCTCTGGGCAACCTCCCCCGGGCAACCACCTCCGTAGTATATAACCGGACAACTTACTTTAAAACCCATCTGTACTAGTGTACAGGCAGCATTAGACCACCCTGCAAGCCACTGGACAGGTGGTTCTCTTATCAACACAGTCTCTCACTTAACATAAGAAAAAGAGGATCATGGGGGACCAATGGTCACCGATTATGCATTGTTTGTTATATAGAGGGCGCAAGTAGCTATAAGTAGTCAGTGCCATCGATTATGTGTATAGATGGCTCTGTTAGTAGTACAGTGGGGCTTTAGAACAATCTCCACCATTGCATATTCACCATTATTAATTATTAATTCATTAGAACAGGAACTCTTTCTGGCAACCAGCTGACAATGCTGACAACTACCTCTAAAGTGAATATTCATTTAACTATGTATATTTTCCCGAAAATTATTTGGTTTATAGTCGTCTAAGTGGATAGTTACAAAAAAAATAGTAATCGTCTATGAATATAGTTTCCCCAGGAGAAGTTATTCCGTGAGTATAAGCCTGGAAGAAGAGGGAAGAGCGATTTTTCCATATATAAGAGATATTTGTTCATAGAGGGGGTGGGTGGTCATTCTTCTTCTTGTCGAAATTCTTCTGAACGTCCCATCAGGAACCAACCGAGAAGGGTTGTCCGAAGCTGAAAGTCCAGGAGCGGGATAGTTGTCCAAGAATCAAAGTGGAAAACTGCCAATGTACAGGCTATTTCCATGATCTATTTACGTTTGAATTGCGAGGTGCCTGGATGTGGGACGTCGCTCGTATTGTTGGATGTAAAGCCATTGATGTTATGTTATTATTATGTTTTATAATCTGTATTGTGTACACTGTTTGTAACAAACCTGTACCAGTGAGCAACGAATTTCCATTTGTATGGACAATAAATCAATTCAATTCAATTCTATTCATTCAATTCAAGGGATGCATATCCTCCAGGAAAATAACAATCCTCAACGCAGTCATCCGTCTAGAATCGTAGTTATTCTCATAGATGAGATATCTCTCCGGATGACAGTTGTCCGGGCCACAATCAGTGTGCATAGTTTATCCAGGTTGTATTTGTTGCCCTAAGGAGGCTTCACACTGATAGTTTTAAAAAAACACAGTAACATTGACGAAGTGAGAATATAGGAATGTCTATAATCTCCGAGGAAGCAGAATAGGTAGCTACAGTATATGTATAAGTGATATGGCCCTGAAATAGTGCCTCTGATGAATGTGATACTGCTCATTGAAAATCAACGAAGTTATCCCTAATAACCTTACAATTTTAAAATACTCGTGTAATAGTTGCAAATCTGAAATATCCTTTGATGTACTTTTTTCACGAATATGAGATCAAAACATTATCTGGGCTCAAACAGAACGAGAAAATATCATTTTTTCTTCTTATTTTTTCTTGCACTTTTCATTTTGCTCTCGGGGTCATTCAGTTCTTGTATGGGCCCTCGTCAAGTACGCGTACATCATCATAGGAGGTCTGGTTTTCTACCCTCTGCTGCTGTGCATCACGTATAGTAACTTCTTGACAGACGTCCTTGGCTTTGTCTTCACCTGCAACTGGTACATTAGAAAGCCATAGTCATTTTTTTTTCTTTTATTTAGTTTTTTTTTTCGTCCCCCATTTAATGGTTGTTTAACAATGTCGCAGCTCTTTTCGTAAATTGATAACATCCTATGATAAAATCATGACGAGCCTATTAGATGCTCTGCAATACGGCAACATAGGGAAGGGGCTGGATATTTTGATATTTGATTATACTGTCTATGTTTTATCACTTTTTATTCTTCAAAAGTGGAAGATTGTCGGCTATTAATTAAAATAGTAAACTTATCATTTCCATAGTTATGAAACAATGTAATCTTTTTGTGCTATTGTGTACGTCTCTCATTGTGTCGCGAATTATGGCGATAAAAAGTTATCATTTGGAAAAATGGGTCTATTTAATAGTGATCTCCAAAATCAACTCTTCAAAAGTTATATACCATACCAATAATGTACAAGTAAGGTATATAGGGCAGATAGAATGTACAGTATCATACAAGTACCAAAATCTAAACAAAGGTAAACATGATTCCAGAGTGAAGTGTTGTTTTAAGGACCATGAAACGTGAGATATGATTAAGTAGGTCATGAGAAAAAAGTCTAAATAGATTCATATTTCATCTCTTCTCTTTCACCAGGTTTGCTATGTATGTTTATATTTACACCCTCTGCCCTGTCGGGGTAAGTGAAACTAAATTTGTTAATTGAGTAATACTGTACGGTAGTGTAGTGTGGGCAGGGGCGTACGCAGGGGGGGGGGGGGTTGGGGGTTAAACCCCCCTTGGTATTTTTATGTGTGTTAACCCCCCTAAAAAAACCTAAAACGCCCCCTTTGGTTTAAAAAAAAAAAATTTAATTTGTTTTTTTTAATTATAAAAAAAAAATATATGCCCACGTCTAACCTAAAAAAGGTAACCTTACCCCCCCCCAACGACGAAAAAATGTCAAATATTCAATTTCGAGACCCCCCCCCCCCCCAAAAAAAAGTGTCCCGCTTACCCCTCCCCCCCCCCCCCCCCCCCCCCCACTGAGTGTATTTTCGGCTGGCTGAGTCGTTGCGATTATTTTTTGGACTCCAAAAAAAAAAATAAAAAGAGTGTCCGCTTACCCCCCCCCCCCCCCCCCCCCCCCCCCCCCCTTGAAAAAATCCTGCGTACGCCCCTGAGTGTGGGAAACGAGAAAGGGGGAGTCCGGTCTATGGCTTGTTTCGTGAAGGGAATGCCACCTAGCTACACGTTCGATAATTAGGGAGGGGTGGGAGAGATCCTATTACCTTCTTTTCACGTTTCTCTTTCGATTTATTCCCCCCTTTTCCCCCTGAAAATCTTCCTGATATTATTGGTTGCCAAAGGTGGGGTGCCAACGTGTCGCCTGCCTACATGCCCCTTGAACCAGCTACGTCACTGATACTAGAACAATGATTCGACATTTTGTGACATTGAATCAAGTCGAAACGAAAGTGAAACAATAAGTTATAACAAATATAATAATGGCCTACAGTGCGATTAATCATTATAGGCCTACGCTATAATACACACATTATTATACGGCTCAATCCTTATGAAATTAATTAATCATTTTGATACACGCCTTGTTACATTACTTTTGACAGTCAAGAGAAGGGATACTGAACGGTCTAAGTTACATCCCGTCTCTGATTTCGTGTCTTGGTTTGGCCTGTTTCTTCCTCTGGCGGATAGTAAGGCGGTTACAGAGGAGGTGCATGAAATTGAGAAACAGGGTTAGTAAATTGTGGAGTATTACCTATACAAGGCATTTTAGCTGCTAAATAAAAAGTTGTATTTTGCACGCTGCACCGAATACGAAACCGGAGCGGGGATATTGCCATATCGCCCTCTTCCGGGTTTTCCCCGTAGATCACTTAAAGGTAAAGACCAGTATTGGAAACGCCCCAATTTCAAAAAATGAAATGGAAGCTCTCATTACCAATCATGTGAAAGAATATGTTTTGACTAATACATGATGATAAAAAAGAAACCGCCTACTAATCCATATATTTGGTAAATTTGTTTCTCTCATGGTCTGTGAGAGATATAGGGTAGTCCCATATACATCTTTCTGTGTATAGTGCTTGTAACTTTACGAAGAATGGGCAAATTTCTTATCATTTTGATGATTCCAGAACCTTGCAGATGCTAGATGCTAGATGATCAACCTTCTGATCGATTCCACAACGTTTCTTTCACAATGCAATTCGCATGACCATAACTGGTCTTTACCTTTAACTGTACTAGATCAGAGGGCAATATTGAGCCATATTCCATCAGTGCGCTTGCGCAGTAGGATTCAATTTACGATCGCTAATTTCAATTCACTTGGCTGCCGTGGGAAAATGTAAAATCCCATATGCTTGTATAGCATTTGTACACAAAAATGCCTTGTATAGGGGGATTAATAATTATATTGACATAGCTATTTTCGGGGTATATCTTAAATATTGACCGCACTAAGACCATATTGCCCCTGGATATTGCTTTCCGGGTTTTCGCCTCCTTCCGTATCTGAATTAATTACTGTATACTCTATGTTGAAATAATTGTTACATATATCATGTATATATACATTGTGTTTTATATTGTGCTGTAGAGAAGAAAATAAATGTTAATAAATACAAATAAATACAAAAAGCCCAGTCAAATATTGAAGGGCCGTGTTTGTAGGGAGTACAAACATCGTGACTTTGGTTTGATTTTGTTGTTGTAATCACAACAATATAACCTAAAGTACCTGTTATGTACTTATAGTACTTCCAAACGTTTCTTCAAAAACTAGAAACATAACATCTGTATTATTTCTTAGTTAGTCAGCTTCATTATTTTCTGTGATTTTCTTTTTTTAAAGAATTTTAGTCTCGTTGAAGACGGCACGGATAATAGATTGATGAAAAGCCACTACGTCGAACGTGTTAAATACCTACTGCGACGCGATGACAAACGACACGGGTAGGTGAACTTATTTATTAGTTATTATTATTTTCTTTAAATACTTTTCCTTTTTTTCTTCCATTTAGATAAATCATAATTTAGAGTTCAGAACTAGTTTCAATCAACCTGAAACTGAAATTAGTGTGATCATTGAAAGAGGATAAAGACGGGCTAAGTCGGTAGCGGATACAAGATGCTATTTTCGGGGGGCGGGAGGGAAGGCACGATTTAGAAAATATCTGACAAGTCCCCTAACAAATTCTCATGTTATAAAGCTTTTATTTAGTTTAAAATGTCGGGGGGGGGGGGGACGGTATTGATAATATACCTCTGACAGCATCCTTCTTTCAATTATTAAATGCTTACACAAACGTTTTTTTTAAGGTTTTTTTAAACTTTCTTTTTGACTTACATATCCTAAGATGTTTAGTTTATGAACCCAATGGACAGATGAAGCGACTCGCGCTATGGATTTATCCCACCTTTGCAGGTAAGAATGTTTTACTGTCACCATGGCAACACATGTTTTATGTTTCTCAGAGGATCGTCCCATAATTCATTTGGATGTTGTTCTCGTTCACGCGAATATAAGATACAAATTATAGTCATTAGGCCTACTATTATATCATAGTCAAATCGGAGCACAGCTATGCTTACCAAAACAATGGAACACTCGAATTAGGTATATTTGTATATAGATGCGGGTAGAAAACCATCACTTTTACTTTTATCTCCTCATGTTTTTTTTTTACATGTGATAGAGATTTACTGTATCAATTAAACACCTAAACAGTAAAAAAAAAAAAAAATCACTGATTTATGCTGGCAATAAAGGTTATTGTGATTTTGACTTAGAGCGATGATGTAAATGCTATTAAAATCCTAAAGTACTATATTTTAAAAGGAAAATGAAGAGTAGGAGACATGACTTTAATAACACAATAATTATTATTTCTGCAACTGCAATAGCAGATAGCAAACTATTTTCATAAATAATACTACTCTTTTAGAATTATTAATATAATTCCTAACGATCTAAAAAAAAAAAAACCTTTCCTCCTTTACAGGCTTCAGGTATTCAACTCGAATCGTGTGTACATTTGGACTTTCCCTTATTGTTCTTTATCAGGTGAGTTTTATTTTTATCATTCTTTGAAGAAAAAAGTCCAACGTATAGATAGTTCTCTGCTTCAAGCTCGAATGGGTTCGTGAATATTAAATTCATCGCCAACGACCCGTTTAGGTAAACGGTGTGTTTGTCTGCAAGTTGTTTCTTAAAACCTTTTTCCCCTTTTCGTTCGTGTGAAGAAGGTCGTGATGTGAAATAGCTTGTTTACAAAGCTCCATGTCGAACTTTAATTTGTGAACTATGATGAAATAAACAACATGCGTAAGTTAAGATCAATAATTGTAAAAAAAAATTCTCCTATCAATGCGTGTGTCAGTTTTTATGTAATATACATTGGATAGCTTTCTCTGCGGACATTTGTCACTTAATTTGATAGTGAAATGAAACAGTTTTATCAAACGTTACAGGGGATAATTGCATTATATAAATTATGATTCAAGTCTTTTAGAGCTTTTGCAAATAGCTAACAATATTTAGTCGTGATAATCAACGAAACTTAATGTTGTATGTGATTGAAATTGGATTGAGAACGTTTTTTGTGTTCATTTTTTTCTCCAACCATGCTTAGATGAGCATAATCTACATCACTAGAACGCTGATAATATTTCAAGACTTGGTACTTCAGTTCGTAACCACCAGTCCCGAGATGACCAAGTTCTTTGAAACGATCAGGCGTAAGTAAATATAATGATCCTTTGCCTACTGGTACCGGTTGGTCCATGTATTAAGCCTAAGGGAACTAGAGAATTCACTAGTCAGCCGGTTAAGATGTTCTGAAGTCTGACAGAATCTACGGTTGAAATTAAATAATATTATGTTTACTGTTTATTTTTATGAAATCAGATAATCATACTTCCGTCAACGTTTTTCTTGTTTAAAGATACTTACACTTGACGTTCTTGATCGCATTTGTTAGTTCGTTGATGTAATTACGACCATTAGAATGAATATTAAGAAAAAACACGTAAAACGTGTACTAACTCCCAAAACATATACCTCCCGAAAACGCCCTTAATAACATAATCTGTGTTTCATCCGTTTGTAAAATTTCAGCGTTATCTTTCTCCGTTTTATACAGTCGCATTTCATCTTTCAAGTTATCCTGCGATATGCATATCTTTCATCAACTGCATCCTTCTCTTGCGAAACTACAGGTTGGTTATGATTTTTTCATTGTATTAAGGAATAGTATTTTGTAGAGCTTGTATCTTTAGGTCCAAGAAAAGGGGTGAATTATTTTCTTCTTGATTTGCAAAAGAAAGCGTTGTCGATGCAGTATGTTCATCATGCTGGATTCAAAATGCAGGTATCGAGGTAATGATTTCTAGCTCAATACAATCTGATTCTATTTGTTTAAGGGTTGTTTTGTCTCTCTCTATATATTCTCCATCTGTTCGATGAACATATCATTGAAATTTATGGAGTTTTAAATATAATATTTTGCATCATTGTAATGATATTATGACACCTTTTCCCAGGGAGAATACGAGAGAATTGTGGAAGGGCGACCGATCTCGATTCCGAAACCGAACCAGGGCACCACATTCTATTATCGTAAGTCATTCAAAGTGTTTTCTAGTTTCATCTGCTTTGTTCGAAAAGTAATCAATGATTCAAGCACAAGTATGAGGAAGTACAGTTAACAACTAAATTATTCATACCCTAACCAGATTTTTGTAATTTTGTTAATTATGTGATAAATTGTTTTGTCCCATTTCATGTTTCTTGACAATGCCACATATTAAAGCTTACATCTAAAAGTATTCGACATTGGCCCCATTTCAACCAGTCCATCTTTGATTCTTGAGTTACGGAAAACACCAACAAATATCAAATTTACAAGGGGTATGAATAATTAAGTTGTTAATTGTATGTCATTGAACGTTGTGTTTTGTCTTGTTTTACACGCAGCAGGAAACTGTTCATAATCGTATATTATCATCGTCTATATCTTTATCCTTTTTTCAAGTGAAAAAACATGTGTTATACTGTCTAGGATGTAAATAAATTGGACTAGATCATTATCAAATATTTTACAATTATTTTCCTAATATTTTTAGTTTACTGTAGTTTTCCATCAACTCTTCGGATACCGAATAGTCAGTTGACATCGCGGGGGCGGGGGGGGGGGGGGGGGGGGCGTTTCATGAAACAATTAGTCGGTGGTTTTCACGGACTAATATATCATGTTCACCGACAATTTATTCAGCGCTGACTAAATTTGACAAATTACAGACTTGGAAAATAGTCGGTGACAAAAGAATTGTCGGTGAACATGATATAGTCGGTGAAAACCACCGACTACTTGTTTCATGAAACGCCCCCCAAAATAATGGAAAATCACTTTTGTTAGTGTATGATTTTCCTTTAATTGTCGTTCATATCATTGTCTATAACTTTATTCTTTTGTCCAGTGAAAATATAAAATTTACCGTCTGGTATGTGAAATAATTTGACTGGATCATTTTTCAAACATTTTATGAATATTTTTCCTTTGTTGGACACGTAGACCATTTACTACATTTTCTTTTTGCCAGGTCTCGTGTTTGAGTTTCTCTAGCTTCAGCGTTGCCTACACATTCTATGGTAAAAACATTTGTTCGTTATATTTCGTTATTAATGTTGCTTCCATCATCAAATAATTATTGTAAACTAATGTTCCTCCATTCCCCTCACTCTTAATTGTTCACTTTCACTTTTACTTTACTTCCTTGTGCTACACAAGTTGTTGAAAACGCTATGAAACATCTCTATGAAATAATAATATCTCATTTTGAACAGAGAATCATGCATATACATCATATTTCATCAAATGAACAAAAGGTATTGGACTCCCAACTATGTTCTATATTCCCTATAATTTCTTTTTCTCAGTTTGCATTACAATCTATTGTCGTATCATGGTCCACTTATTAACATCTTATGAATAGGGACCTGCGGAACTAAGTGAATATGATTATGAAATATCTGTTAAAACACAGAATTTTAATGATTATCAAAACCTTATGGTTGTATTCATTTCACCTAGGTTTTCTGGTGCTTCAAATCGTTCTTTGGATAATTATGTCGTGTGTGGTTGCCATTATCCGATACAATTTCTTGATTCAACTGCTCGATCATTATTGGTGAGTATATAAAGCTTTTTTTTTTTTTTTTTTTTTTTTTGGGGGGGGGGGGGGATTCGTGTTCTATACACATTTTAAAAATACATCAATATTTTTTGTTAAGCTCTTAAAATAACACGAATGTTTATGATGGGGGAAGCGATTGGCTCGTATAGTAAAAGTAGATTTTTTTCTCCTTTTGAAGTCGTTCTTTATGTCAGTTTGTGGTTGTAATTATTATGATTATCTAGTATAAAGTACTGCTAGGATTGCTTTAAACTTTTAAATTTGTTTGGCGTATCGTGATTACTTAAGAAAAACCATGATGACAGAGATATATGTGAATGTGAATACTGATAATGCTTTGTTTGTTTGTTTTAAAACACCAGGTCGCATATCTTTCTCATCGTACTCTTAATAGTGATTCAGCAACTTTTAGCCAGATTTGTTCTTCTCGATCGGAAGACAAAGGGAGCGTTGGTCATAAACAACAGGTTTGTCATTCTCTTCGTTCTGTCGAATCTCATCTTCATTCCCTGTTGAGCGGTTGTAATAGAAGGCAGGATAAAGTAAACTATATGTACTTTTTAAAAAGAGTTCTTCAAAATCCACGGTTACGCGAATATAAAATAAAAACAATAGTAAATTCACTGCTCTGATTATTATCATTAGAAAGTGTGTTTCCTCTTTAACCCTTACTGTACTGGGGGGGGGGGGGGGCTGGGAGGCCCCCTTGACATTTTTGGAGATTGCGCCGCAACCGCTTGGAATTTTGAATTGTCGTTTCATGAATTTTTCCCTCAAGTATTACGCACGTTTTGATACCATTTTCGTCAAAATCGGATATACCTGTAAGGTGTTACATAATAATTAGTGTGCGCATGTCATCAAAAATATGCTATAATTGCATATATTCATGTACAAGCAGAAATGTGAATACTATGAATTGATATCAAATTGCTTTTATATGTTTCTCAAAGTAACTTGATGTATTCCAGAACATAAGAATACATTAGAAATAAAACAATAGATATAATAAGAAAAAAAAAACAATAAATACAAACGAAAATAAATATTTGAAAATCGCATCAAATTTGCATAAATTGTCATTATTAATTACATCAAAATAACCATTTTTTTAAAAAAAGAAGTTTCATAGGAATAATAGGTTTCAATTAACATTCAAAAGTGGAGTCTGACAATTTTTGTAATGATTCGAGTTCCCTGTATATTTCTAGATTTGATATTCAAGAATGCGTATTCATAATTTATGCAAATTAACCTATGCATTTTCAAATATCATAAAAATAATGTAACCTCATGAATTTGATATGAAGGAAACATTTATTCAATACATTTTCAACATTCTTCACAAGTCTACAGACAAATATGAAGAGTTTTCTGTAGAATGCATAAATTTAGCATTTTGCATAATTAATTAGGCTATAACGACAAAAATTTGCATATTAGGAAAAAACTAATTATACCATCTTGTTCCTTACGTAAATATCTACAAACATGCAAATTTTCGCGCTCATCGGACTTTCGACGGCCGAGATCATAGGGGGGGGGCCTCCCAGCCCCCCCCCCCCCCCCCCCGTCACGAGGTGCTCAAAATAGCCCAGTACAGTAAGGGTTAAAGTGATACCACATTTGTTATGATTTTGCAGCCATGAAGTGAGCAGTACATCGGAATAAGGGTCATGGTCAAAAGTGTCTTTGATTCATCGCACCTTAAACAAATTTCATAACGTTCTTAATTTTTAATCGGCGTTTGCTCAAACTTTCCCCTACCTTTTTCTCTCCTTTTTCTGCTTCTATTTAAACCAAATTAAAAACAGGGTGGACTTCCCCTTTTAATGGCCATTGAACTATTGGTATATAGTGGTGTGATCCCTAAGGTCCCCTAAAATTATTGTTCCCCCCAGGATTGAAATGGGTGATACAAAGGTTGCAAAATTGTTTTTGAGTTTCTGATGGTATAACTCTATTATCAAATAAAAATTTACTATACTTGTTATAAAGAGAAGTGTTGCTGAGCTAGCACCACGATCGTCCCTTGACGGTGTGTGCGCTCTATAAGTTTACACTATTATTATACTTATTATTATTATTTATTTCCCCTAGACATCTGTTCAACATCATCATCCACTTCTTCTTCTTTCTCACATCATCATCGTCGGCCTCCTGGGAAGTCTTCTTCGCATAATCAAAGTCACGTTCATCGGTATCTTGCTCATTGGCCGAGTCGACTTGTGTCTGGCGCGCCTGGGTTTGAATGGGCTGATAAAGGTAAGACGATAATAAAAAAAATGATGGAAAAAATGAAGAAAAAAGAAGAAGATAATTCTACAATTCAGATTATTGCAATGAAAGAAGTAAGATAATATCTTAATCAAATTTCAATCCGAGAAGTGAGATCATTTTCTATACAGACTTTATGAAGATCCACGAAAGGACTATTGCATCTCCTGACGATGCCATCTACGTCTACAATTAAGGAAAGAATATAACAACTTGTGTAACTAAATTTCAAAGGCTCTTGATTTGATCGATTGAGGCCTAATTTCTCACGTTTTTGCAAGGTTTTAAATATTTCCATTTGAAAGCCGACGAGCCTCTGGTAATATCCTCACCAGTTGTGAATCTACAGGGTCACTTCACCAAGCGAAATGACCCCCAAACTGACAGATCCTCGAAAGAAATGGCCGTGTTATGTTGTCGGTCTCGTTTTGGGCTGGGCCCGGGGGCTGGGGGGGGGGGAGGGTACGGCAGGAGGGGATGGGGGGGGGGGGGGGGGGGGCCGGGGGGGGGCGGGGGGCGGGGGGGGGGACGGGCACGTAGCGTTACAGGCTTTCTTAGAGGGGGGCTGGGGGGGGGGGGGGGGGGTCAAGACCCTCCCAGATTTCTTCAAGCCCGAGCCAAAATGTAGAAAATAAATGTAAAACCCAAAGTCCCTCCCCCCATAGTTAGCGATTGCATTGTTAGATCTTGCGCAGAGCCATATCACAGATTGCAAAATGAGTGGTGCACACACACACGAAAATCTGGGGTCTGTGCTATAAATTGCTATCGCAGACTCGATTAGCAAAGTGGTAACGCACCTAAAACTCTTTCAAATTCTCTCGAGGTTTCAAAGCCTATCGCTCCTTTCTCGAGTTGGAAGTCAGCCTGACTCACCCAGTGGTCGTCACATTCTGTCATTTACTTAACCAATCACGGAGAAACAGAAGTGCCGATGGATGGAGATAACGATGTCGAGAGCGGGCACGACCTCCAAGCGGAGGTAGATAGTGACGTCGCTATTATTGGTAAGTCTATCTTTAAATGAAATCACGTTGAATAAATATCTCAATATTTAACAAACAGGCTATAGGCTTGTAAAAGTCATGGGATTCCTGACTGACCTATAGGTTTATAATTATGATTGCAGCATGAACTCAATCATTGATTTAGTGTTGGATCCAAGGCAAAGTTACCCACTCCCTTTTAATAATAGATTCTTGTAATAAAATGTATTTTCCTTAAACAATGTTTATTGATATAAAAAACAACCACAACAGGAACAAGAGTAGCAATAATAATACTACTAATACTTTTACTACTACTATACTACTACTACTACTACTTATACTATTAATGCTGATGAATAGTCTTATATTAAGGGGTGGGTAGCTTTTTTGTATTACTAGTGCCCTCCAACCTCTTTATATGTGATATGAGTATTTTGTGTCAAATATTTTACCAGAAATTCAACGGCCAGAATTCTACTAAAATGTTAACCCGATAGCTGGGTTAAGCCTTATCATCTTCAAAATCGGGTTTAACAAAGGAACTTGAAAGTCTTCCAGTTTTCATTTCTTGAACCTAATGCTTTTTACTGAATTCGTTTTATTTCATTGACGATGTTTCTCTTTTATGTTTCTCATTTCACCAAAGATGTTGCCGCTTCCTGGGGCGCAAGTAGTGAACACCTCCTGAGAAGAAGAGTTAGAAATCGTTGGCTCAAAGCATTCACATTGATTCATAACAAACGACTGGTGTACGAGAGACTACACAAGCTGGATGAAGCGAACAGAGAGGAACAGCATAATAGGATGTTCTACATGATGCCCCAGGAAACGGAAGCAGTGTAGAGGTCAGGTCAGGTTCATCGGTGGACTACGGAAGCTCCACTGTCCCGAGCAATGCGATGGTTTGTGGTATCGACCGACCCTCAACAAAAAAATAACGACTGTGCCAGAATTAGAAGTAGACGTTTGATACATTTTTCCTCGTTTACTTATGTTATATTTCAGAGGGGAAAATTCTTTTATGACGTTGTAAATGACTTTTCATTCAAGACTTCCGGTCTAATTATCTTAAAGGAAGGCCGAGGCTATCGAGCGAATTTTGTCGTCGCCGAAAAGCGTAACTCCCTGAACCCTAGGTTATACAAACTTCGCGCGTATGTGTCTGTGCTTACGTTAGGCGTAAACAAACAGAAATATTGCACTTTGCGACCTTAAAACAAATCTTAAAATCTACGGTCGGTTTTAAAAAAGTGTTTTTTTTTTTTTTTTATCGTTTTTTAGAAAAATAAAGAAATATGTATTTTGTTTGTAAGAAGTTGAGTTCTGTTTTTAGACCGCAAATGTCTTCAAAGTGCATAGTTATTGCTCTTATTCTTATCTAAGACATTTCTAGTGCCCTTTTAGGGCCTAAAATTGATATTAAGGTAATTTTAGACCCCAAAATGTGTGAAATTTAGCCAATACGATCATACCAATTTAGCTCCACTTTCAGAAAAATACAGTGACCGTTAATTAATTAATTATTTGATGATAACAATACATGGGCCGGCTGGTTGTGCGTAATATAACCAGGACGAAAAACCAACAAAAAAGCCAACATCGGCATTGGTTGAAATACAACGTAAAAGGCGCAATTACGTTTTTTCAACGGCTTTTTCAAATTATCGAATGTTTGTGGTGGTACACAAATATTAGAAATCGTTATATTTGTGTGTGTGCGATTCCCGAATGATCGTAAAATTCAGGCAACTTTCCAGCGGAGATTAACCGACAGTGTCTCAGATTATCTGTGATGAAGTTTTAACCAGTCTTTACTCAAGAAAAGGATAATAAGGCAAGAATTCTTTGTAGACTATAAATGGACTGCTTTAATATTCGAGGCATACCTGTCTCTATGCTGTCTTTCGGGGTGCCGCGGAGCGCCGAGGGGGTCATAGCAGGATGTAACGTCTCTTTGAGCCTATAGATACAGCCATCCCTCTCATAGCAGTCAATATCTATACCATTATCATTTTTTTAACATGTCTGTGTGTGAGCTATTATAATCATCATAAGCATTCATTTTCATTTTTTAAAGAATAAAGTCTACTTGAATTAATACTTCATATTTTGTTTATTATTTTGTGTAATACTCTCTAGAAAGCCATACGTTAGAAGGTAGAATTTGAGAGATGTAATATTACGGTCACACCGACGAGACTGATACCGAACACAGACAAGAAACCGGACAATATATTACATTATTACCCGTATCAGACATCTGAGCAGTGGTTTTAAAATCTCATATTACACTTGTTTGTAATCCTAAAAGAGAGCTAATCAGTAAATAATGAAGAAAAGAGGAAAATTCATGTGACCAAAGGTTAATAAGGTATCGCAGACCTCTAGAAACCAAATTAACACAGCGAAAAAGGCATGACCTTTTCCGCTGTGACCAAGACATTCAAGAAGTAGAAGGTCTGCGGAAAAATAATTCCTGGTCTGATCACTCTCGTGGGCTGCAACTGTTTTTTATAGGGCTCACAAGATCGACGGTTAGAAATACCGAATTATTTGGTCTGGTGTGCCTTCTAATATGTAGTAAGAAGGTCTACGACATTGAAACAGTGAGCTTAGGCCTTAGGACTCGTGAGTAACTTGTGTCATCGCCTTAGCCCCGCCAAAGTTTACTTTAGGAAGAAATAAGAAGAAAAAGAAAAATAAGAAACAGAAAAGGGAGTAGGAGAAGAGAAAGAGAGTGAGAGATGTAATAAAAAGAACGGCATTGTGAAAAAATGTGCTCGAGCACATTGAAAACATGCTCGCAACGACTCTCATGTAATCGGCCTAGTAGGTAAATTACTGTAGCTTGAATATCACTATAATTAAACGTGCGAACTTTACCATATTCTATAATCCGAACATTTTCTATCCACGACACATTAACCCTTGGGATGATTTCTCTAAAGTTTTTGCGATTGTGTTTAAGTAACATTTTCCTTGAGAAAAAGGACAAGACCATGATTTCTTTAAAAAGATAAAGAATACAGCTACAGTTGATAACCAAATTATTCATACCCTTAACAAGTTTTGAGCGCCTTGAGCACTCTTTTTAGAATGGATATGTGCGCTTTATATTGTTTGATTGTTCAAGTATGTAAAAAAAAAATTTGTACCGATTTATGTTTCTTGAGAATGTGACATATTCATCAAAAGCCCATATTCAACAAGACCATCTTTCATTCTGGAGTTACGAAACACAAAAATAACATCAAATATACAAAGGCTACGAACAATTTAGTTGTTAACTGAGTGTAGATAAGAAGAAAGAGGTAGAAAACGTGGACTACGGCACAAACGATATCCATCAATATGAGGGCAATACACTCATCCACTAAACAAAGGAACAGAAATTGATTCAATAAAAATACATGTATTTTTTAATAAAAAGTTTAAACATTCATAAAGATTTTCTTAAAGGAAACAATCATGATCGCGATAGGCAGGTGACCGCAATAGAGGGTCTACAACACCGTAATCCCCCCGGACCTTCTATAGCGGCCGCTATCGACAGGTGGTCGCAATAACAAGCTTACATCATTGACAACACTTCTGCAATAATATATTGTCGAATTTCCATTTTTGAGAAGGAATACACGATGGACTAGGTATACCAGGACAGGAACATTGGAACTATCAAGACCAAGCCAATATGGATAGGTTCCAGAGAGATATAATGCGGTATTGTACACTCTTGCATTGGAAATAATAGGAACTGGATGAACTCGATCTGGAGCTACGAAATCGACCCTATAGCGACAAATTGACCGGTTTTCAACACTTTTTGGCCCGTGGAATCAAATATTCATATCATTCCAGTTCGCTCCTGATTATAAAGAACAAACATATACAGTGCGTCCCAGAAAAAACGAAACCGAGAATTATCGATGTTTTATCATAACTTAATCACATTTATATTAAAAAATGACACATATTTGGAAAGCTTAGATCCTCCACTTTCATTTGATGCAACTCATTTTGATGCATATTTCACGCATGAGTGATTAAAATGAATTTGAAGAGAGGGAACCGAAAAGTCATTTGGCGGGCGGTATCTGAATTTCAAAGAGAAAATCACATTTCTAGAAAGTTGGGTTTCTGCCATTTCATATGACACCTTAATCAGGAAAAATGAGCAAGGAATGACAAAGTTCTGTTTGTTTAAAGTAGCCCTTACATTTTCATGATTTTAGCAAACAAAATCGTTTTCACTGGCTGCCTGTCGTAGCAAAAAGCAGAATTGACAAAAGACGTAACTCCGTTTCGTTGACAATCAGCCATGCATGAGGTCTTTCGTCTACGGCTAATTGTCAACGAAACGGAGTTAAATCTTTTGTCAATTCTGCATTTTGTTATGGCAGGCACACAGTGAAAACGAATTCGTTTGATAAAATTATGGAAATGCAAGCACTACTTTAAACAAACAGAACTTTGTCATTCCTTGCTCATTTTTCCTGATTAAGGTGTCATATGAAATGGCAGAAACCCAACTTTCTAGAAATGTGATTTTCTCTTTGAAATTCAGATACCGCCCGCCAAATGACTTGTTGGTTTCCTCTCTTCAAATTCATTTTAATCACTCATGCGTGAAATATGCGTCAAAATGAGTTGCATCAAGTGAAAGTGGAGGATCTTACCCCCCCCCCCCAACGAAGAAAAATGTCACATTTTCAAATTTCGAGACCAAAAAAAAAAAAGTGTCCTCTTACCCCCCCCCCCCCCCCCCCCCCCCCCCCCCGCTTATTCAACTCCATGATAGTCGATATTATCATGTTCATTTTTTGAGTCAGTCGTATTTCGTTTTAACATGATTTCAGATGACTATATTTTCATACAAAATCAGCATTTATATTCCTGGGCACAGAGTCGAACCATATATTATCGAAGTATCATCAGAAACACCGACTGTGTGATAGACATAGGGCAACTACAAGTCTACCCTCTTCTGGACTGATGGACGCCCACAAAGTGCATGTGACTAAACATCGGGTGATTTTTCGCGACACTGATGCATATAAATGGACGGACTATATCAGAGGGTACGACTCAATTCAGTTTTAATATCGGAAGTTAACTTGGCTCAAGTGGACGCTATTAAATTGAAAGGGCAAATTTTGATCTTTATCACCTTACAACCATTGTTCTTTGACCAAGTCAGCGTGATAAATATATTCCTAAGGATTGTCAACATGTCTTCACTGTATGCAAATGTTATCGTTATTTGTCCACTGCAAACGTCCTTCAAGGACGGAGAGCTAAGAGATATAATAGCAATGCCAGTAAACATGTCCAAGGTATCAAATCTCCAATCTTGTGTAATAAATACAAATCATGTTGATGCATACGTAGTCAGGTAGTGCCCGTAGTGACAAAACGTTTGATACGTTAGTACTCTATGGATAATGAACGTACGGTACACATTTGAAATTAAAACCAACTATTAAATGTATATTTGAGTGATTTGCCACACAATATATGACGTATTAGTATATGGCATGAATATATGACTTGAATATATGACTTGAATATATGACTTGCATATTCATAAGTTTAACTACCATACGTATTAAAAACTAACTTCACTCTTGTCCTTTGCGGCGACAATGAATGTTCAATAACGTTAGGTTCATGCTATGAATCCATATTTCTCTAGATGCACCAATAAAAGCGAAGGGATGTCACTTTGAAAGATTTTTTGTCTTTTTTTAGGGTTGCCGTAAATTTTTGGCTCCACACGTATAGGGCAGTCAGAGTACACATTAGTTCTATTTCCAAATTATCTTTTCTCCAAGTAATCATCTTATTCGGACATTATTCCGACCAAAATACAGTTGTCAGGTTTCAATTGTTATTTTCAAATGATCCAATTGAAATGATTTATTCAGTTATATGTCAGAGAAAGAAAGGCTGCATTAAAATTATGCTGCACCGTAGAATGGTACGTATATCATGTACCCGAGGCACACACAATGAATAGATACAGTATCCCTGCAACCGGAAATGAAATTTTGGTGAGGGGTGTAGTCTTCCACACTTTCCAGTCTAAATGATTCGTTTTCCAAATGTTATCATGTGACTGTATCACAAGCGCTGTGCAAAATAGATGCATATCCCCAATCCTAACAATTTAGTTCGGCTTTATTTTCAGTACCAAAAAACACATACATACATACATATGAATATACAAGTAATGATAATTATTATAAACAAAATACAACTGGATTGCTCTTTTCAAAGCTATTTATTTAATGGATCTGTATATCCTAAAAGATCCAGACAGATAGGGTGAAAGAAATAAGAGAAGAATTAAACATGCATAAAAATTACAAAAAATATTGAAAAAAACGTGCACATGAATATACATATAACATGAACTATTATAATTATATTGTACAGCCCTGTTCTATAAAAAAAAAAAAATTATCACCCCCACACGATTATAATTTTGATGCACTATTAGGAAGACATTTTTTTTATATCAAAATCTGTTATCCATTCTGATGACGTGGATCCTAATCAAGTGATTGGTTGAGAGCGTACACGTGACCAGGCATTTGTTTTGCCTAATACGTAATTTAAACAATCACCGGTCATTAGTAAAATCATGTTATATAACATTATTTTTTTAAACAAATTAAACATAATCTTATGAGTGTCGTGGTCGAGTGGATATGTCACCGGACTGTCGATCACAAGGTCCGCGGTTTGAGTCCCGCGGCACTAATGTCCTTTGAAAGACAATGATCTACATTCTCGACGCACTCAAGCCAGGTGATGTAAATGGGTACCTGGCAGGAATTAATTCCTTAAAATGCTAGAGCGCCGTGATGGCAGCCGTGCAAAAGACAGGGTAATAATCGGGAGCGCCAGGAGTGTCAAGTCTGACAGACATGAGCACTATACAAGAACCCACTATTATTAATATTATTATCATCATAATACAAAAAATACACATAATTTTGTCCAGGCATTAGTAAAATTACCCACACTCGGCCTTCAAAATAGTCCAAACACTCGGCTATCGCCTCGGGCGTGTACGTAAGACTGTTCCAAAGGTACCTTGTGTCGGTAATTCTTACTAATGCCCCCAATGTATATTGTTAGGGACATTTTTTAAATAAGGCAAGTGTGTTTGATCAACTTAAACTGATTGGTAAGTCATTATACATCCTAGATCCGCGATAAATGATCATCCCTGTTCTCGAAAGAGGCCTCCTCCTCCTCCTCCTCCTCCTCCTTCTCCACCTGCATCTGTTTCTTAAGTTCATAATTTGCCGATATCGTCATTCCAATTGCGCTTCCGACGACCAAGATCGCTCCGACAACGGTCCACGCATTGGGTACGATGTGGAATATAAGAAAGTCGAAAGCAAAAGCGAGGAAAATATCATTGGTTCGAATAATGGAAACAACAAGGGCCGGTTCGGTCTTGAGAGCGAGTGTCACTGTGACCTGCTCCAGGAACCCAGATACTGCCATCCCTAATACAAACCAGCGGTCAATCCCGCAGTGAGGGGTCGTCCATTCACCGAGTGCTGTGGTCACGGCACAACTGCAGAACATGGCAATGAATCCATAGATGAATATGATGGCGTGTGCATCGATGCGTAAGATCTGCATGAATCGCAAGATGATGGTGGCCCCGGCCATGACAACAGCACCCACGGTCGCGCATAGTATTCCAGTCAAATTTCCGATGTCACCACCGCCGAATATGAACGGTGGTTGAACAACAAGGTTGACGGCGATGACGGTGAGTAACGAGAAGAACGCTATTGCAACTGAGCAATGTTCTCCCAGACAAACACGTGCAAAGATACCAGTAAATAGCGGAGAACTGTAGAGCAACGCTTTAGCAGTTGCGACTGGAATGACTTGAAACGCGAAGTAGTTCAGAAATGAGCTCAGAGATCCAACTAATGCTCTCGACAATATCAGCATTACTACTTTCAAAGGGAATCGAAGTGAAATCCTATAAAACACCAGGTGCGGCAAAGAGAATATTACCTGAGCTAGCCCGCGGAAGAAGAGTATCTGAGTAGCTGCCACTTTACCTGTGAGCAGTTTGATACATAAGGATAATGCTGTAGCCACAAAGACGGACAAAACGGCCCATATCACACCTCTATGATGGTGCAACGTCCCAAGAATAAGTTTCCATGAAGACACAGATGGGGGTGCAATACTGTCGCTGCGGACACTCCCATTACCCGTCGTAATCTCCTTGACGTTAACATCATGATAATCGATGTCATCATGTCTTTTCTGGCAGTCAGCTCTCCTTCGCTTGAACATTATTCGAGACGGCCGGATATCCTGTGAATGCCGCTTATAGCCGCCCTCGTGATGTGATGTCACCTAACGCTGTCCACCTAAAATAAATAAATATTCAACAAGAGTTCAATTTCTACAATCATGGAAGGTCTGTGATCAATGTGGCACACCGCAATTATGACTTGACATCACAATGGTTGATTACGTGTCAGCGATAAATTACTCTTCGTCAAAGATCCAGGCCAGCTTTTCATGAAACCGTCATAAGTACAAGTTCACCGACATCCCATTAAACCGCGTGTTAAACTTAATAAACGCATTTCAATTGGATGTCGGTAAACTTGTACTTATAACGTTTTCGTGAGACGCTGCCACGAAAAAAGGCCATAAAACCATTGTGACGGGGTCACTGTTGGAAAAAGATTGATTGAGTTGAATAAACGTTGAAAGACTGTTTGCACATCTCACGGGCGTCGCTAACGGGGGGGGGGGGGGGGGGGGGGGGGGTAAGACACCCCAGGGGCGGATCTAGCCGGCGTCACGGGAGGGGTCCATATAGAGGGCCCAATTCGTGAGAAAATATTTAGCGGCGAATCAGCCAGCCAGTGAATAAGCCAGGGGGAGGGGACCCGTCTTCTTTTATTTTGTAAACAAAGATTACATTTACCCGTTTTGGGGGCCAGGGAAGGTGGCCGTGGCCCCGAGATCCGCCACTGGACACTCCGCCCACCCCCCCCCCCACCTAACAGGATATTGTCGGTAAAATTGCGCTGCCGTCGGGAAGAATGATAAAAGAGGGGGGTGGTGAGAGTGTACTGAGGGAAAGAAGAAAAGGAAAATACGAAAAGAAAGGAAAGAGAAGAGAAGAAAGACAGAGAAAAACGAAAAAGAGGAAGGAAAGAAAGAAAGAAAAAAAAGGAAAAGGAATAGAAAAGAAAGAAAAGAAAGAAAAGCAGATTAAAATATGTTTAAGAGGTTATCATGAGGGTTTAGAGTAGCATAATATTCATAACGATACAAAATATGGCCGCCATTTTGGGGGAAATATGATTAATTTGCGATATCTATATCTAATATTTTAAAAGTTGATTTCATTATATTTTACTTAGTGTATAGGTCTAGATCTGCATAACACACGTCGTATCTACATGTATATACTTGTAATCTGTATCTTATACACTGTCGCTCATATAGGGGGAATATTTTTGTTTTACCCCAATTTATGGAATTATTTTAAAATAATATAAAAATAATAGATCTAGATAAAAGTATACATTCTCAGATTTAATTGAATAATAATTTGCCAATGTGTGTTTTGCGTGACTGCTAAAGCATGTGTATGCTTCTATGCTTATCAAATAGAGGACCTACGCCCTTAAGTCATAAATGACAGTAATGAGGATTAATGTCCTACAAAAGGGCACTAATATAGCACATCGACACGGTTTGGATCCTGAGGCCTCACAGTTACGAGGCCATTGCTTTGTCACAAAATTCCATGCTGAGCTTGCCAATATAACATGGGAATCAGTTTATGCAGCGGATGATGCTGATCTCGCATACTCCCGTTTTTGTGAAATCATGACAAAAGTGTGTGATGAGCATGCACCAGTTGTAGCTCAACACGGTAAAAGGAGAAAGAACGAACCTAAGAAACCTTGGATTACAAAAGCTATAATGAATTCCATAAAAAAGAAACATACAATGTATTCACAGGTTCTTGCCACCAACCACAATCCTGTCTATTTAACAACATACAAGAAGTACAGGAATATGTTAACTACAATAATCAGAAACTCAAAGAGAAATTACTATAGTAGGATATTCCTTGAAAATAAGGGTGATACTAGCAAAACATGGAAGACTGTAAACGAGATTTTAAGTGGTGGAAACAATTCGTTTAAGCCAACAGTGGTGGATAAATTGTGTGTGAATGATACTGGTACTAATGAAACCCTGTGTAATGAACAAGATATTGCAAATGCATTTAATGACTTCTTTGTTAATGTTGGTCCAAATTTGGCGAATGCCATACCAAACACGAATCGTAATACAGAGAAAGTTTTAGACGATGGTGTAGACAAATCTTTCTTCTGGAAACCAGTTACTGAGACTGAGGTTAACAACCATTTAATAGCCTTGAATGTAAAGAAAGCTAGTGGGTATGATAATATGCCAATCAAGCTGATAAAAGATGCTGTGCATTATGTAACTTCTCCCCTTACATTTATTTTCAATCTGTCTTTCACCTCTGGTAAATTCCCAGATGCCTTTAAAATAGCAAAAGTGACACCTGTTTATAAGAAAGGACCTAAAGATGAAGCAGGAAATTATAGACCTATTTCAGTATTACCTGTTCTTGGGAAGGTTTTTGAAAAAATTGTAAATAATAGGCTTCTTGACTTTCTTGAAAAAAAATCATGTATTATATGAGCACCAGTATGGCTTCCGTAAAAAATACAGTACAAAATTGTCAATGATAAATTTAGTTAACACTTTGAGGAATTCAATGGATGAGGGAAGAATCACACTTGGGATATTTGTAGACTTTAAGAAAGCATTTGATACAATTAATCATGATATTCTATACAGCAAACTTTCACACTATGGAATACGAGGAATAGCATTACAGTGGTTTAAGGACTATTTTTATAGAAGATTTCAATTTGTACAGTACGGAAATGTAACATCTCCCATGCTGCCTTTAACATGTGGTGTACCGCAAGGCTCTGTCCTAGGCCCAACGCTTTTCCTACTTTATATTAATGATATGCCATTTGCTACACGTTACTTTAACTTTCGACTCTTTGCGGATGACTCAAACTTATTCCATACATTTCCTGAAGGGCAAAAAGAAATTGATATGACTGAAGTGAACACAAATCTTCAAATTGTTTCAGACTGGTGTAATGCTAATAAACTGACAATTAATTTACAAAAGACGAGTTATATGCTAATAAGAAACCAGAGACGGCAGATTAATGTTCAAGGGCAACTGGCTATATCAGAAGCTGAAATAATAGAAGTTGATTCTTCGCTCTTTGTTGGGATAAAGATTGATAAACACTTGACTTGGAAACCCCACATACAAATGGTTAATAAATGCATCAGACAAAAAATAGGAATCCTCTTCCGCTTACGGCATTTTGTGCCTAGAAATATCCTAGTGTTGTTGTATAAAACCTTTATTCAACCTCATATATCATACGGAATTGAAGTGTGGGGGAGCACTTACAAGTCTCACTTAAATTGCATACTGTATACACAGAAGATGGCCATACGGACAATCACATTTAGCCATTTTATGAGTCGTTCAGCACCATTGTTTTACGAATTGAAAATCTTAGATATTAACAAGTTCTATGAGTTGTCTCTATGTACATTTATGTATGACCTAGTACATAATAATTTACCTCACTGTTTGACGGATTATTGTGATAAAATTGAGCATAGATACAATACAAGAAAAAGAGAAAAGGGCCATCTACGTATACCACTGTATAAAACAACACAAGGCAAATTTTCAGTAACTTGTGTAGGAACCCGATTATGGAATGAACTTCCCGATGAAATCAAAAACAAAGGGTCTAGAAACACTTTTCGTAAACATCTCAACGATTACTTGATGAATAAGTGATTGAATTATGCAAGTACACATGTATATATTGTAAATAATCTCCATATTACATTTTTGTTGTTTTTTTTTGTCAAAAAAATGCAATTTTTTGTATAAATAATCTGTAGATACATGTATCTATGACTTTTTAACCTGGTATATCCTCTTCATAATTATATTTGGAGTGTAGAAATTGTGCTACGGTATTACTCAACATGTATACTTCTACTGTCAAGTTTTATTTTTTGATAATGATATATTTATTTTTGCCAAGTGTGTGCTAAGAACAGGGGCCAGACTCGACTAGCACATGTGCTATTATTTGGCTCCTTTTCATCACCTTCTATATTCTATGAGAAAAGACATATGTCTAGCATATCAATACTTTGTTAGGTTTTTCTTTAATATGATCTATAATATTCATTTATGAACATGTACCATTCACGTTGTATTCAAATGTTTAATCACTGATGTTATTGATGATGAATAAATAAAATAAAATAAAATCAAATCAAATCAAACTGAACCATGACTGTACGCAGCGGGGGCCAGGGTAGGGGGCAGTTCCATAAATTAAAAAAAAACACAGAAAATGCAATAATTTTCCAATAATTTATTACATTTTACCCCGGTTCCCAACATAAAAAAAATCCTCGGTGTGCCCATGCCTTAAACCATAATGCATGGCCATCCAGAGGATTTGTTTATGTTGGGGACACAGTCGAAATATTTTTCATTTTACATCAATATATGGAATTATTTTGACAATGATTTATTCTTAATAGATCTAGATAATAGTATACATTCTCAGATTTTAATGAATAATAATTTGCCAGTGTTTGTTTTGCGTTACTGCTAAAGCATGTGTATGCTACTATGCTTATCAACTAGGGAACCTACGCCCTTAAGTCATAAATGACAGAAATGAGGATTAATGCCCCTCAAAAGGGCACTAATATGGCACATGGACACGATTTTTATCCTGGGGCCCCAGAGTTACGAGGCCATTGCTTTGCCACTAAACCATGACTGTACACAACGGGGGCTAGAGTAGGGGGCAGGTCCCACAAATAAAAAAAAAATGCAATAAATTATCAATAATTCATTGAAATTCCCCCCCCCCCCTTGTGTGCCCATGCCTTGAGCCATAATGCATGGGCGGCCGTACAGAGGATTTTTTTATGTTGGGGACCGGGGTCAAATGCAATGAATTATTGATAATTTATTACATTTTTATTTTTTTTTTTATTTGTGGGAACTGCCCCTACTCTAGCCCCTACTGCGTACAGTCATGGTTCAGTGGTAAAGCAATGGCCTCGTTACTTTTTTTTTGCTATTTTATCAGTCTAAACGCTGCACTCTTGGGCCCTCTGGAGCCTAAACGTGTATTGCAGTCATTATTCAG